TCCCAGGTCTTCCTCACATTTTTGTTTTACATTTTTTGTGTTGTTGGGAAAAGCCTCTATCAACCCTTGATACAGTTTGGAAATAAACTGTAGAGGTTTGTCAGACTTCCTTAGAATACAGTTGAAGCTTCTGGCTTGTCTAGTGTTTGCTGCACAGAGAGAATAAAGTGTTGCATCTGTAAGAGTTCACCTCAGCGCTGTTACAGACTGGTCTTCCCTGGTTGCCTGACCCTGCTGAGACCCCTGTCACTATCTGAGGCATGACAAATAATTACCTTGGTGTACATTTATACATTATATTATCCAAGAATAGAATCAATGGTTCAATCATTGAAATGACCATTATTCCCAAATCCTAGACTGTAGCCTACCCATCAACTCAAGATGGAACTTTGTATCCATTCACTGATTGTTATAATATACTGCAAAATTCACCTCAGCTCCGTAGACTGGTCTTCCCTGGCTGTCTGACCCTGCTGGGACACCTGTCACCATCTGACCCTGCTAAGACATGATGAGCATAGTGTTGTGTACTGACTGTGCACCATGACAGTGTAGCCTGTAGAGCTGTTTATACCATGTCAGTGTGAAAAGTAGGGAATTATCTTGGGAAATTGACAGATCAATAACGTTACATTGTAGAATAGTGAAAATTAACTTTGTCTGAGGATGACAGAGAATTAGTGTAGAGGGTCTAAGACCTTAATATATAATGTACTATCTGACTCCATTATTATTCGAAGGCTATAGGCCCATAATCGTATCCAGTGGGTATAGCCAAGGTTGCGAGCCTTACGTCACCACTCGGAATACTATAAGATGCACGTGTCTAGGTTTATTGTTATGCAATTATTATGAGGCTAATGAACAAAGACCTAATATCTTGCGATCAATGTCCTAGCATAAAGTGTTTGAGTTAACCTTAGCTCAGAGATGCACAGTTAGAGACCGAGAATATATGCTATGTATATTGCAGAGCATATGAGCGGAGTGGAGCGGTGAGAATCTCAGCTCCTCGCTCACGGAGCTGTTCACCCCTCCGCTCCCCCCGCTCAAAGCCACATCAGGCCAGTCCGCTCATTATCGCTCAGCGCTCAACGCAGTTTGCATCGCGCTCCACTCAAATCGCCCCCCCCCCACTCACTCCAAAAAAGGAACAAAATCTGCATGTATTTCACTTTTAGCTTAAACCACAGCCTTACTTTATCTCCCCGAATTTGTTGCATACAGACTCATCTCGGATTATCCATTCTGTCTTGAAACGGGGATCTAACACTGACGCTAAAATGAGATGTTAATCAGTATAGTATATTCCATAGCGAATTGACACGTTGTTTGCCAATGTTTCTGCAAAATCAGCGATGCCCATTGGAAGTGCAGCGTGAGTGTAATCGGTGAGCAGGGATTTGATTTCTGTGACAGCAGGGAGGATCATCCCCAGGTTCCCCAGCTCCTTCTGTATTTTGTCTGTGAGGTCTGCTAGTGGTGTCAGCACACTGACAAGGTGCGTCAGCTGCCGTACTTGATTCAGGGTGATGTTAGCAACATTAGACTTGAGTTTGTTTTGCCATAACAGGTCTTTTTGGAACAACCGGATGAACGACTGAATCATCCGCAGCTGGCTGCTCCATCGAATGGCACAGGCATTTGTGGGGCGGACACCTAATTGGTCGGTTTCCTCTGTGCTCTTGCGTACACTTTTCACCAGGTGCCCGACTTTCACTAACAGCCTATTAATGTTATCGTGCTCGTTAACGGCGTTTTTGATCGCCAGCTGAAGCATGTGAATGGGGCATCTCAGATGTAAATTTGACAAAGTAAAGTACTGATTTATCATAGTTTCTTGGGGGGTGTAGCCCGGTTGAGCTGCGCTGGTGAAGTGTTGCATCCCTTCGCGTTCTCCTTTACTCAGCGGTTCATTGTCCATGAAAATCATTTTAAAAAATGCTACATCCAGCTCTCTTTTTCTCTCCCTTGTTATGGTTGGGCCTTTGCATGCAGTGAATACACTTTTGAATTCCTCAACCCTTTTCTCTTGTTGCTGCTGCTGCTCCTCTCGCTCTATAAAATACAAATTCATGGACGACACAAATTAAATTAAACAGATGGATTCTGGGTCAGGCTTGAGCATGCTTCAGACTTGTGGTGTGAGCGAGCGAAATTGGAGCGGGACATAGGGCGACGCTCCGTCCTTTTAAAAATGCCGCTCTGCGCTCTGTTCAAAATCTGCCTGCTCACGCTCCATGCTCGCTCCCGCTCCACTCCGCTCATATGCTCTGGTATATTGTGAATAACATTTACCATTAAACATTTAACCAAATAATAATTCAATAAATATTACACAGAAATGTGAGGATTACAGTTCGTAACCATTTAAAAAGAATACGATTTATTACAGTTTCACAATAAGAATACAAATAACAAATGGTACATACCAGAAATCTTCACGAGGAAAAAAATAAATTTACGTCATTTAGCAGACGCTCTTATCCAGAGCAACTTACAAATTGGTGCATTCAACTTATTAACCCCTTTTTTATGGGGGGGTGGGGGGGGGGGGGGTAGAAGGATTACTTTTATACTATTCCAGGTATTCCTTAAAGAGGTAGGGTTTCAAGTGTCTCCGGAAGGTGGTCAGTGACTCCGCTGTCCTGGCATCGTGGGGGAACTTGTTCCACCATTTGGGTGGCAGAACAGCGAATAAGCTTTGACTGGGCTGAGCGGGAACTGTGCTTCCGTAGAGGTAGGGGGGCTAGCAGGCCAGAGGTGGATGAACGTAGTGCCCTCGTTTGGGTGTAGGGTCTGATCAGAGCCTGAAGGTAAGGAGGTGCAGTTCCCCTCACAGCTCCGTAGGCAAGCACCATGGTCTTGTAGTAGATGCGAGCCTCAACTGGAAGCCAGTGGAGTGTGCGGAAGAGCGGGGTGACATGAGAGAACTTGGGAAGGTTGAACACCAGACGGGCTGCAGCGTTCTGAATAAGTTGTAGGGGTTTAATGGCACAGGCAGGGAGCCCAGCCAACAGCGAATTGCAGTAATCCAGACGGGAGATGACAAGTGCCTGGATTAGGACCTGTGCCACTTTCTGTGTAAGGTAGCGTCGTACTCTGCGAATGTTGTAGAGCATGAGCCTGCAGGATCGGGTCACCGCTTTGATGTTAGCAGAGAATGACAGGGTCTTGTCCAGGGTCACACCAAGGTTATTTGCACTCTGGGAGGAGAAAACAATGGAGTTGTCAACCGTGATGGCGAGATCATGGAGCGGGCAGTCCAATAAGAATACAATTATCAAATGCTACATACCAGAAATCTTCACGATGAAAATAATACATTTACTATGACATACAAACGTATATCAGGAGATCGGTTTATCAATGACTCCATGATCAACGTTTAAACCCAGCTTTTATTCTGAGCGCCAAATCCCAGTATCTCCCATCGTCTAATTAACATCCCTTTGCATGGCCCAAAACATTCAAACAAAGGCATGAAAACAACACATACATTCTTGGATCTAATCATCACAACTTTTATCTAAATTATATGGGCCCACCCCTGTGTCGCTCCTCTTTGAACTATTCGCCATCCGACGAACAGAATAACACAGTTTCTCTGTAACAATAAATCCATAGTACTTACAGTACAATGAAACATATAAAAATTCATAGCTCTTTATGAACTCTTGAAACAATCCAAACATGACAATTTAATTCACACAGTGACATTCATTTAGTCGATTCAAGTTTCATCAGTCTTCACCTCTCCTGGCTTCGGTAACCCTTCACCGAAATTGCCACAGATGAGGTGTGTTTGACCCCTGTGATAGCCCACAGATGGTCTGTCATGCAAATAATGGCATAAATCGTGATTGTGTCATCATGCTGGGCCTCGGTGCCAGCAAGTCGCTAGACGCATCTTCATCACTGGCCTTCATCATCGTTCACATTTGTGAACAACATTGCTATACTGACTCTAATAAAAACTCACATTGCGCTGTCAAAAAAACTTAGACTCAGAATATCAGTCTTCAATAATTTGGCCGCTGGTTTCATCGTTTGATTCATGTCTAGTGTGGTTGAGGTAAAAAAAAGAATAGCTAACGTTAGCCAACTTTTGGCTAGCTCAACTGGCGAAAACGAGCCAAGTTTACTTCTGTTGAAACGGGACATAGCAAAGGCTACAAAACATTTCCATACACGCAACAGCTGTTAGCTATTGCTACCTGACAAACTGGCTGTGGTAGCTACAGTTCATTCACTTCAGACAGAACTTCAGTCGAGAGGGGATGAAACATTAGCTAATGTTACATGTCAGTTACACTACTAGCTTAGCACTGGGAATAAAATTAAAAAAATTCTGTTATGTTAAACAGCAGTTACCTTGCCACCTATTTCAGTCAAATAAAGAGTAGCCAATTTCTGCTCTGCTTGCTTTTACAACTCGGAGAAAAAGCACAACACACACAGCTGCCTCTGTTCGCACGCTCTGTGGTGTCCGCGTGGTCCTAAATCCAGCCGTCTGAAACTTCCAAACAGCCTACCCGACCGCTCTGAGGCGAGTGCATAGTCCTAAAGCACACCGATACCGCTTTTTGTATCGCAGTGCGGTAAAACTGGGGGGGGACAAAAATGTCCCCCCCATCCCCAGTAAAAGTTGTGCCCCTGGCCCAGTGTAATCCATTGTTTATTCCAAACATAGCCAATAAATATGATGATAAGATGACGGTCGGGATAGTGAGACAGTCAGACTGGTCCGAGGTTATCAAGTGACGGTATTTACTATCAATATTATGGGTGACATCGGGAACACGCTGGCTCAGAGTGTGTGTGTGTGTGTGAGTGTGTGTGTGTGAGAGCGAGAGAGAGATAGTCTCTCTGTGTGAGAGTCTGTGTGTGTGTGTGTGTGTGTGTGTGTGTGTGTGTGTCTGTGTCCCAATCTAAGGCCACAGTCACAGACCTTATAAAGACATGGTGTTTATAAAGTCACACTTTGTTTGCACTGAGGGGGCCAGTCGCTTGTCAAGGTGGTTGGGTTGGCTAGTGTGTGGTGCAGGTAAGTTTAAGCTTTTCCATTTACGTTACTCTTATAAATAGTATTTTAAGTTATTGTGATAATATTGTGCAAGATGAAAAATTATAATGCTAATGTTACTGGAAATGATCAACAATGCAAATGTTTTAACTCAATTTGAAATGTTCAATTTGAAAATATTTGGTTCATAAAATGGATAATTAACTGTTCATTTTTGTATTATTACTATAGTTATTTTCTTATTTATCATTGCCATCATGCAACATTTTTACCGCTCCATACAATTGCACAGAGTTACATGAAGAAACCCACAGGAAAGCTCTCAAGGTGTAACAGAGGGATAGGGACAATGCATTTACTATTTACATGATATAAATGTAATTGTCACTTTGTTAGTTATAAGAACTGTCCAAAATAGGTTTGATAGTTGTGCAAATATCAATTTCAATTGCAATCATTGTATTTGTACTGTGTTTTGAGGTTGAGATCTGAGATGCTAGTCGTTTTCCACCTCATTTACACTGTGTATATTTCCATGAGTTATCCATACAAAACTCATGCTGGATCAATTTGTATACATCTACACAGACACCCACCCAACCACACACGTGCTCACACACACACACACACACACACACACACACACACACACACACACACACACACACACACACACATACACACATACATACATGCACACACACGCACAACATTTCTATTAAAAAATATATATTATTTAGTTTCAGTTGTAGTTTTAGTGTTAAGGACAGAGAGTAGCCTATGCGTGGGAGGCTAGCAGCCATTTACAGTATGTGTTGTATAGTTTATGTGTTTTTGGGGATGTCACTTCTTGCCACTTTGGGGCAGTAATGCATAAGATGATGGGTCAGGTCATAGGTTAGGTTAGGTTTATAGGTAGACTCTGCGGGATGACGTAGATGCACAAAGTAAACAGTAGTAGTGCTGGGTCAATTTCCGCAAAAACGTTTTGGTCCCATAGCTACCACATTGTAGCAGTGTGAAGCACACCCGTGTACATCCGCAGATACTCCGTATGACTGTATGAGAGCAAAGTTTTGCATCGTGCTCATCGCAATGCTTGAGATCTCCTGATATACAAGCTGATCAAACGGATCAATTTTGTCAAGTCAGTGACCATCTTTGGTCACCACCTTTCAAAGTGTGTTGCATTGAACTGCATGAACTGCATGAACTTTACAAAAACCATGTGATCAATGGTCATGAAGTTTTGACTGCAGTCGACCGCAAGTTTGTGCAGTTGCTCTTCACCAACTTCATCCTGCAGCTATCACCTGCATTTTGGGAGGCTCTATTGTCAACCAATCATAAGGGGGGGTTTATTTGACCCATGTGAATGTGACCAAAGATATGACTGAAACAGGAACCAATTTGCCGCGATTTATGGGTACTGTGAATATATACAAATAAATGTGATATTTGAGGCTCTATCTCACTAAGTGATTGTACAATGTGTACACATAATATTGTATAAAAATGTCAGTTTTTGAGTGTGTGATATGGGGGTAAGAGATATGTTTATTTCGACATTATAAAGAAAACCTTTTATAAACAATGGCAACACTGCCATGTTGATCTGAGCCTTGCTGTTGGAAATCTACATTAGTGTCTGACTTTCAGCTGTTGCAGAAAGTGATCAATGGTCATGAACCTCCGACTTCACTCCTCCACTTTCGTCTACAGTCGTTTGCTTTAGCCTTTATCACTCAAACGAGCCCAATATCAGCGGTGCTGTTCATTGCAACGTCATCTCACTGAGTCTACCTTTCAATTATAAAGTTAATTTCAGTGTGACCCGCCAGATTCAGAAGCTTTAAAACATTAGAAAAAAAATACTGGGCATAGATGTCAATTCAACGTCTATTCCATATTGGTTCAACATAATTTCATTGAAATGACGTGGAAACAACATTGCAACGTCATCTCACTGAGTCTACCTTTCAATTATAAAGTTAATTTCAGTGTGAACCGCCAGATTCAGAAGCTTTAAAACATTAGAAAAAAAATACTGGGCATAGATGTCAATTCAACGTCTATTCCATATTGGTTCAACATAATTTCATTGAAATGACGTGGAAACAACATTGCAACGTCATCTCACTGAGTCTACCTTTCAATTATAAAGTTAATTTCAGTGTGACCCGCCAGATTCAGAAGCTTTAAAACATTAGAAAAAAATATACTGGGCATAGATGTCAATTCAACGTCTATTCCATATTGGTTCAACATAATTTCATTGGAATGACGTGGAAACAACCCCCCCCCCCCCCCCCCCCCCCCCCCCCCCCTTAAATGAACAACAACTGAACATAATTCACATGGTTTTAATTTTATTTTAGTTAGTTTTGAAGTGAAAGATAATAGTTTCAGTATAAGTTTGGTTTTTCAAACGGGTTTATTAATCGTTATTTCATAATTAGTTTAAATTTTAGTTTCAGTTTTAGTTTACTATAATAACCTTGACACACACACCTGTCTAGTCTGTCTAATCTGACTCTCTACTACCCTTTACCTTGCTCTGTTTTGGAAATAATCCATACTGTTGTCACAGACAACTTCTATCCTCAGCTCCCGTCAGAGATTTGTGGATGCTGTGACAGGCCACAACAGACTTTATGTAACAAGGAAGACAGGACCACAGGAATACATGTAGACATGCACTCATGCACTCATACATTCATGAGCTGAATAAAGAGTTATTTGACCACGCACACCAGTGGTATCATGAACTTTACCCAGTACCAGGACATTTTAGCCCAAAACCTGTTTACCTCTGCCCGGAGGCTGAAACTTGGCCACAAGTTGCTCTTCCAGCAAGACAATATCCCCAAGGACACATACAAATCCATAGAGAAATGATTAATTGGCCACAAAATCAACATTTTGCAATGGCCATCTCATTCTCCGGACTTGAAAACCTGTAGTTTGAATTGAAGAGGGCAGTCCGTAAGCACAGACGAAGGATATCAAGGATCTGGAAGGATTCTGTATGGAGGAATGGTCTAAGATCCCTCCCAATGTGTTCTCCAACTCATAAAACATTTTAGAAAAAGGCTCAGTGCCATTTTCCTCTCAAGGTGAGGTATTGAAAGGTATTGTAAACAGGGGTGTCAATATTTTTTACACTTACCTTTTTGAGAAAAAATTATTTCCAAAGTGTTTAGAGCATATAATATAGCTCAGTACTACAGAATTATTACTTTTCCATAGTCATTTTTGCTCATCATTATCAAGGGTGTAAATAATTTCAAACTCCACTGTATACCCACTCATTCAATCAATAAGGGCAGAATCCTAACATTAACTCACATTTTTGTGCAAATCTGTTATACACTGAACAAAAATATGAACGCAATATGTAAAGTGTTGGACCCATGTTTCATGACCTGAAATAAAAGATCCCAGAAATGTTCCATACGTACAAAAAGCTTATTTCTCTCAAATGTTGTGAACAAATTTGTTTACATCCCTGTTAGTGAGCATTTCTCCTTTGCCAAGATAATCCATCCACCTGACAGGTGTGGCATATCAAGAAGCTGATTAAACAGCAGGTGCACCTTGTCCTGGGGACAATTAAAGGTCACTCTAAAATGTGCAGTTTTGTCACACAACACAATGCCACAGATGTCTCAACTTTTGAGGGAGCGAACATTTGGCATGCTGACTGCAGGAATGTCTACCAGTGCTGTGGCCAGAGAATTTAATGTTAATTTCTCTGCCATAAGCCTATACCATTGGAGGCCAATGTTGTTTTAGGGAATTTGGCAGTACCTCCAACCGGCCTCACAACCGCAGACCACGTGTAATCACGCCAGGCCAGAACCTCCACATCCGTCTTCTTCACCTGCGGGAAAGTATGGTCGTGTCTACACTTGACACTTATATGTGACTTCTGCTATCAGAATACAAAGCTCGCATTGAAAAGATGGGTGTGTGTGGATTTCTCCTCAATCTGGACGCAATCAGGCTACCGAAAGCGCATACAGTGGGCGACATAATCAGCACTCCTCCCACAAGTCTCCAGAAAACATGTGTTTTGGGACCGAGACGCACCTTTTCATTATATCGTTAGAGGAAATATGTTCCTAGCATGTGGGGAACGTGTTTGCTGTTCTCATAAATGCTAGCCAGCTAGCTAATATTTAGAACAATTATTTTTTGTTTGGCTAGAGTTATGCTAACTCATTTGCAATCCCTTTAGCATTGCTTGCTAACTTGCTGGCTAGCTACAGAGGTTAGCTGGCTACTTAGCTACAGCTACTGCCATCAGCTGTTGTTGTGTTATTATCATACAGTATTTTGCCTATTCCACAGTTTATAGAATGCATACTGGCATTTGAATATAGAGCGGGAACGGACCCAATGTGGACATGGTGGACACGTTCGGAATTCCATGATCTGAACTCCATTATCAGAATACAAAAGCTACACGTCCTCTGAAACCAGCCACCCAGACAGATGATGAAACTGTGGGTTTGTACAACCGAAGAAATTCTGCACAAACTGTCAGGGAAGCTCATCTGCGTGCCCGCCGTCCTCACCAGGGTCTTGACCTGACTGCAGTTTGGTGTCGTAACTGACTTCAGTGGAAAAATGCTCACCTTCGATGGCCACTGGCACGCTGGAGAAGTGTGCTCTTCAAGTATGAATCCTGGTTTCAACTGTACCGGGCAGATGGCAGACAGCTTTTATGGCGTAGTGTGGGCTAGCAGTTTGCTGATGTCAACATTGTGGACAGAGTACCCCATGGTGGTGGTGGGGTTATGGTATGGGCAGGCATAAGCTACGGACAACGAACAAAATTGCATTTTATAGATGGCAATTTGAATGCACAGAGATACCGTGACGAGATCTTGATGCCCATTGTCATGCCATTCACCTGCCTCCATCACCTAATGTTTCAGCATGATAATGCACGGCCCCATGTCGTGCAAAAAATTATTAAATCCTGTTTTCGCTTTGTCGTTATGGGGTATTGTGTGTAGATTGATTAGGGGGAAAATGTATTTAATCAATTTTAGAATAAGGTTGTAATGTAACAAAATGTGGAAAAAGTCAAGGGGTCTGAATACTTTCCGAATGCTCTGTAGATTCACTGTATTTCAATCAGTTGCACAGTACAGTATAAAGTGTATAGCAGGGGTGGCAAATTGACGGCCCACAAGCCAAATCCGGCCAGCAAGCCTGCAGTGGATTTGGGGACATTATAATTATGGTTGAAAAACAACTTCTGTTTATACTTGAATGTCTACAACCAAAATGATTGCCCACCCCTCATATAAATCATTTAGAGGATACTGTAGAGAATTTTCATGTTCAGATGTAAAGTGTGTGAATCAGACATGAGATCGGACAACAATGTAAAGACAGTAATAGGAAAGGTTATATACAATGCTTATCAGAGCCTCTTTGCTATGTTCCAGCTGCATTGAACGTTAACACCAACGCCAACCCCAGCAGAGACTGCCAGGTAAGTGGTCCCTCCACACGTTTGTACAGTATATACTCTATACTGTATATAACTCCCTTGGTAAGCATACTAAAACTATTTCAAAGTGTATTAATACTGTGTTTTGTGCTGCCCGTGCTGTCCACTCCTGGGAAAATAGGGTTCCCCATTCAATCTAACTATGACCCCTTTTTGCTATAGTACATTTCAGAAATGGTTTCCTGGACACAGAAGCCTGATCTTGGACTAAGAACCACTTTTAATGGAGAATCACCATTGAACATTTATTTGAGTCTTGGACTAGGCTGAATCTGTGTCTGGAAACCGTCTCTCAGTTTTTTAAGGCTAGGACCTTGTACCACAGCATTAAGACACCTGCAACATGCTGAGCAACCCGCTGGAGATATTTTGTTTTTGATACTGTTGATGTGATTGATTAAGCCATCTGTGGGAAGAGCTAAAAGCCATTGAAGGGCCAGTTTATCAATAGTGTAGTTCATACATGCATACAGACCCTCACTTAAAAGAAGAACAGCACACAAACACACACACACACACACACAATAGGGGGGATTTATACATACATAACCTTTCCTATAGCCAATCCTACGCTACCTTTTTTATACACTACCAGTCAAAAGTTTTAGACACACCTACTCATTCAATGAAATAACACATATGGAATCATGAAGCAATCAAAAAAGGGTTAAACAAACCCTTTGCCTTGATGACAGCTTTGCACACTCTTGGCATTCTCTCAACCAGCTTCATGAGGTAGTCACCTGGAATGCATTTCAATTAACAGCTGTGCCTTCTTAAAAGTTAATTTGTGGAATTTCTTTTCTTCTTAATGCGTTTGCGCCAAACAGTTTGGGGGGGTATACAGAAGATAGCCCTATTTGGTAAAAGACCAAGTCCATATTATGGCAAGAACAGCTCAAATAAGCAAAGAGAAACAACAGTTCATCATTACTTTAAGACACGAAGGTCAGACAATACAGAACATCTCAAGAACTTTGAATGTTTCTTCAAGTGCAGTCGCAAAAACCATCAAGCGCTATGATGAAACTGGCTCTCATGAGGACCGCCACAGGAATGGAAGACCCAGAGTTACCTCTGCTGCAGAGGATATGTTCATTAGAGTTACCAGCTTCAGAAATTGCAGCCCAAATAAATGCTTCACAGAGTTCAAGTAAAAGATACATCAACATCAACTGTTCAGAGGAGACAGGTGAATCAGGCCTTCATGGTCAAAATGCTGCAAAGGAACCACTACTAAAGGACATCAATAAGAAGAATTGGGCCAAGAAACACGAGCAACTCAATTGAATGTTTTAATCATTTGACAGCCCTACATAGAACGTATGTTCACAATTAAACTTCTCTGTTTGAGCTACACCATGGTATCCATCCCCTACCAGCCTTTACAATCATTAGGGGATCCCCTGAAACGCCCTTAATTAAAATGAGGTACACCTGTGACTGGCAGAGGCAGGAGGGTTCGTTCAAGAACCACAACAAACTTCAACCCTGTTACACACACACACACCCTTTCCTCCACACATATACATTTTATCATAGCTGCCACCACTATGTCATAGCTGCCACCGTTGTCACTAAACTGATTGTCACCATTGATAATGTATTCATACATAGGAAAGACATACACACAAACAAACATACACTCCTGTCCTTTGAAACTCTTGTACCCACACACACACTGCCACACGCCATTTATTGACACTCCAAACACAGCCAGCAGCTAATCTGTCACCTCCACACCGACACCAAAAACAACCAGTGGACCAAAACCCTGCAGACAGGGGCTACCGCCACCATGTTTACGCTGTAGACACCAGCTACACCCGGCCTCCCTCGTTGTGGCCACCAGCCGAGCATGTCGGTGCCTTGGCGACCGACCTCACCCCACCCTCACTGCATGCCTTGTAGGTCTGTATGTGTGCCGTGTGCAGGAGTGACAATGCAAAAGTTGATAGAGAGGTCATTGCCGCCAATGTCAATAATGAACACACCTGAATCAGTCTTTTGGTGAAACTGCTAAAACATTTTCAAGTGATGAATGCCTGTGGGTGTTTGAATCACCTGCATTAGTGTGACCAGATTTTTTAGATGCACATATATTGCCACAAGGGTAACACCGATATCGGGCTTTATGGATTATTTCAAATTAGTTTGGCTACAGTGTTCTTTGGCTCCCGTCCATAGGCCAATTACCTTTCTGACATACACATCAGTGTCCTGTGTCTCCTATAGGCCTACTGCTATATTACTTCTATATATCTGTCCATATATGTTTACGTTGATACATCTCCCCATGCTGGAAAATTAAGCAAAAAAAAATGTGGCAACATTTGTGTTACTTTGGGAACTCACTCAGTCCCCATGCATTCCCCCTCAATTCCACCCCGCCAGTATCTTGTGTCTCCCAATGCAGGCCTACGTGGAGCTGAACGAGCTGATGAAGGACCAGCAGAACCAGCAGGGCTTCTGGCAGGAGACGGGCCGATGGGTGGGCTATGAGGAGAGCTACGACCCAGAGGCCGGGGGCTGGGGACCCTCGCACATCTCCTACCTCACCTTCAAGAGCCTCATCCAGCTGCGCCGCACCATGAACACAGGTCAGAACAGGGCCGTGTTCATTAGGGTCACAGTGGAAAATGTTTTGAAACGCTTTGAAATGGAAAACGAAAATTGAAATTTCTTAATCTAGTTAGAACCTTCGTGTTTTGTCCCATTGCTTTTGTTTCGTTCTTAGTGACTATGTCCCTGGGTTGTGATTATTAGGCACCAAACTGAAGAAAATGTACTGAAACAGGAAAGGACTACCTGGGCTTGTCCAATGAGAAATGCACATTTTCATTTTATGTTCTAAAATGTTTTAAGATGTTTTCCGTTGCATGTCCTAATGCAGCATTTACAAACTAGGGGTTGCAACCCCATGTGGGGTCGCTTGATTTGAAAATGGGGTCACGAGGGAAACTCTGCTTGGTTCATAGAACCATTGTGATGTGAGTAACCTTCGATATCCGCTAAACAGGTTGTGACAAACAAAGCGGTTTCTGTTTTCTTCCTATAAATGTGGCTCTAACTTGTGAACGGTTGGAGCTATAAGCTATTACAATGCTCACAGGCCAGGCACAGGACCAGCCACGCACAGGACCAGGCACCAAATCAGACTCGGGGGAAAAGAACATCATCATTGAAAGTAATGATGGTGTTCTTATCTACACAGAATATCATACATACTTATTACCTGATCATCTTCTGAACATCCTAATACCTTTCTGATGCATTTCAGTCACTTCAAACCATATTTCCTTCAGATTTAAGCACTGTCAGACTGATTTTTAATAGACAGTCATAGCGCCAAATAAAAAATTAAACATTAGCTATTGATTACATCACTTTTTTTTACATGGTGATCAGGCCAAAATGGGGTCACAGGCCAAAAACATTTGGGAAAACGACCCAGCATAGAGTTGAATGGAGGAAAAGGTCCCATTCCAATAGTTTTCAAATGCATCCTTCCTCCTTCTCTTATAGAAGTATTACTGATCTGTATGGAATTTATTCAAATTTGAATGGAATAGAATGGACTGAAAAGCCTGCCCACAGGGCACACCACGTCATTTCAACGTTGACATTTGGGTAATATTTGGTTGAGACGTTGATCAATGAGATTTCAACCATTATTCACCCACTCAAAAAGACAGCCAGAAGTTTTCTAAATTCCCAATGTGTTATCACTATACTTTCAACCATCTAAAAGCACAACTCAATTCCAATGGAAAAACTATATCTGCTTGTTGGTTTAGTTGTCATCTAAATGTCTTATCTGCGCTTTCAACCATTTAAAAGCACAACAAAGTTCAAATGCGAATACAATATCAAATATTTTGTATTTATACAACAACTTAATGCGTTATCACTGTGTTTCATCAAATAGCACAGCCAAATAACCTGGATTGCAGTTGTGAATAACATTAAAAGTACATAGTGCAGGGCCTCCCGAGTGGTGCAGTGGTCTAAGGCTACAGACCCGGGTTCGATCCCAGGCTGTGTTGCAACCGGCCGCGACCGGGAGACCAATGAGGTGGTGTACAATTGGCCCAGCGTCGTCCGGGTTAGGGGTGAGTTTGGCCGGCTGGGATGTCCTTGTCCCATTGCGCTCTAGTGACTCCTTCTGGTGGGCCGGGCGCATGCATGCTGACTTCGGTCGCCAGCTGTACAGTGTTTCCTCCGACACATTGGTGTGGCTGGCTTCCAGGTTAAGCGAGCAGTGTGTCAAGAAGCAGTGCGGCTTGGCAGGGTCGTGTTTTGGAGGACACATGGTTCTGAACTCCCGAGTCTGTACGGGAGTTTCAGCGATGGGACAAGACTGTAACTACCAATTGGTATCACAAAATAAATAAAAAAAACGAATAAAAATGTAGTACATAGTGCAAGTGATCAATGCTCCTCAAGCTTCTGTGCAGATTATTACAGCAAGTGTGAAGATCTCCACAGACCTGCGACCTTTGCATGCTATCTTAAACATGAACGCTTTCTATGATTACATAAGAAGATATTTAAAGTTACAGTAAGCTAACCTCAAAATGTAGCCATGGATGTGTTACACATTTTAAGGTTGAAAAAATACAGTTACATTAGGTTGTAAGATAGCCTTTACTTTAAGCTGTTGACAAAGCACGATAGTTTCATATGAGCCACTGGCTTTATCCTATTCTTTAACTTTTATTTTTTGTTGAGATGGAGACGTGAATCCAACATACACTATCGGTCTGACTTAGTCTGGCTTTAATTCCAGTTTGTCTACAAATTAATAATTCATACACTATCGGTCAAAAGTTTTAGAACACCTACTCATTCAAGGGTTTTTCTTAAATTGTACTATTGTCTTGTAGAAAATAGTAAAAATAAAGAAAAACCCTTGAATGAGTAGGTGTTCTAAAACTTTTGACCGATAGTGTATGAATTATTAATTTGTAGACAAACTGGAATTAAAGCCAGACTAAGTCAGTGGCACAGATGGATCTATGCAAGTAGAAGATACATCTCCTTCAAATGCTGATTTTTGGTTTAGTTGACAACCAAACACAATTCAATATCCAGTTTGTCTACAAATTAATCATTTGATACTGTATGTTGGATTCACATCTCCATCTCAACCAAAAATCTAAGTAAAAAAATAGGACTAAATCTAATCTAATCAAACTTTAAATGTGTTTTAAATAAAGTTTGATTTCATTTAGTCCCATTTTTTAACTTAGATTTTTGGTTGAGATGGAGTATAGTGTCATCTGAGCCATTGGCTTTATCCTATTCTTTAAAAAAAACAATTGGTTGAGATGGAGACGTGAATCCAACATATGAATTATTAATTTGTTGACAAACTGGAATTAAAGCCAGACTAAGTCAGTGGCACAGATGGAACTATGCAAGCAGAAGATACATCTCCTTCAAATGTTGATATTTGGTTTCATTGACAACCAAACACAATTCAATATCCAGTTTGTCTCCAAATTAATCATTTGATACTGTATGTTGAATTCACATCTCAATCTAAGTTAAAGAATAGGACTAAATCTAATCTAATCTAATCAAACTTCAAATGCATTTTAAATTAAGTTTGATTCCATTTAGTCCTATGTAGCAACGTTGATTCAACCAGTTTGTGCCCAGTGCGTGGTTCCTTCTTCCTTTTAGTGAAGTAATCACTGATCTGGCATGACTGGATTGGCAAAAGCTATGTTGTAACTCTGTCTTTGATGTATCCTTTTGTTGCATATCAGTAGCTACCTTGGAAAGGGAAAAGGAAGCATTTATTGAAAAGTGTTTGAACAGGGTTAGAAGATGAGTGAATATCATCAAGATGAGATCTTGAGAGAAATTATTCGATTTTGACCTTGAAGCTCGAGTGAGCTCCATCAACTGCCCTTCAACAATAGAACCCATCCGAACCTGTATTTCTAGGTTGTGTTGCAATTTAAGAGGAAATTACCTATAGGGGCATTGCACCTGCATATTTCTCCCCATATAACCATGTTGATGTCCTGATTCAGAGGGGTTGGGTTAAATGCGGAAGACACATTTCGGTTGAATGCATTCAGTTGTGCAACTGACTAGGTATCCCCCTTTCCCTTTCCATTCCTCTGTAGTTACTCTCTCTCTTCCACCCCTCTTACATCATTCATTCTTATTTTTACCCTGGCCCTGTTCAACCCCTCACCCTGTGATGTTTGCTGTGGATTGTTCAGGTGTGGTGATGTTAGACCGGGAGGAGCGCAGTCTCTCCGGCATCGCTGAGAAGATAGTGGACGAGTTGGTCAACAAGAAAGAGATCAGGCCCGGCGATCGGGACGGGGTGCTCCGTTCCCTGCTCCAGAACCGCAGGTAAAGTTCACTAAGTGTTCACTAAGCTACGCTTCTATGATTAGTCATCTTGCCCACGACCTGAATACTTGTGTTTGCTGTCTAAGTAAATGCCTTTAACACAATGGGTTCAGATGGTCTGTCACAGTAAAGTCCTACTCAGATCTTTGTATCGGAGGTGGTTCAAAGCCAAGCCATACCACTGTCCATATAAATACTAACTTAGGGACCAGTGGAGGCTCCTTAGAGGAGGAAGGGGAGGAGTATCCTACTCAGTGAATTTCATTTGTTTTTGTTTTTGAAACTTTCAAAAAGCTATCCTTTTTAGATACAATTATACTAAATATATTCACGTCACCAAATAACTGATTAAAACACACTGTTTTGCAATGAAGATCTACAGTAGCCTCAACAGCCGGTGTAAATGCTAAACTGCTGTACTGCATGATTGTACACATGGATTGGATTGTGGGTTTATTAATGCGTTAGTTCTAGTTTGTTGACTATAACATTAATATTGTGAAAATGATGTTGGCTATGTTGCGGTTAGCGGTTACAAGCAAAGGGAAAAGGTGAGAGGAGGAGAGCACGTAGATGTGAAAAGGAATTATACAACGAGCAAAGTGATGATGCTGTACAGTGCCTTGCAAAAGTATTCATCCCCCTTGGTATTTTTCCTATTTTGTTGCATTACAACCTGTCATTTAAATGTATTTTTATTTGGATTTCATGTAATGGACATACACAAAATAGTCAAAATTGGGGAAGTCAAATGAAAAAAATTCTAAAAAATAAATAACGGAAAAGTGGTGCGGCATTTGTATTCACCCCCTTGGCTATGAAGCCTCTAAATAAGATCTGGTGCAACCAATTACCTTCAGAAGTCACATAATTAGTTAAATAAAGTCCACTGTGTGCAATCTAAGTGTCACATGATCTGTCACATGATCTCAGTATATTTACACCTGTTCTGAAAGGCCCAAGAGTCTGCAAGGGGCACCACCAAGCAAGCAGCACCATGAAGACCAAGGAGCTCTCCAAACAGGTCAGGGACAAAGTTGTGGAGAAGTACAGATCAGGGTTGGGTTATAAAAGAATATCTGAAACTTTGAACATCCCACGGAGCACCAATAAATCCATTATTAAAAAATGGAAAGAACATGGCACCACAACAAACCTGCCAAGAGAGGGCCGCCCACCAAAACTCACGGACCAAGCAAGGAGGGCATTAATCAGAGAGGCAACAAAGAGACAAGAGATAACCCTGAAGGAGCTGCAAAGCTCCACAGCGGAGATTGGAGTATCTGTCCATACGACAACTTTAAGCCGTACACTCCACAGAGCTGGGCTTTACGAAAGAGTGGGCAGAAAAAAGCCATTGCTTAAAGGCATGTGGGAGACTCCCCAAACATATGTAAAAAGGTACTCTGGTCAGATGAGACTAAAATTGAGCTTTTTGGCCATCAAGGAAAACACTATGTCTGGCGCAAACCCAACACCTCTCATCACCCCGAGAACACCATCCCCACAGTGAAGCATGGTGGTGGCAGCATCATGCTGTGGGGATGTTTTTCATCGACAGGGACTGGGAAACTGGTCAGAATTGAAGGAATGATGGATGGCGCTAAATACAGGGAAATTCTTGAGGGAAACCTGTTTCAGTCTTCCAGAGACTTGAGACTGGGACGGAGGTTCACCTTCCAGCAAGACATTGACCCTAAGCATACTGCTAAAGCAACACTTGAGTGGTTTAAGGGGAAACATTTCAATGTCTTGGAATGGCCTAGTTAAAGCCCAGACCTCAATCCAATTGAGAATCTGTGGTATGACTTAAAGATTGCTGTACACCAGCGGAACCCATCCAACTTGAAGGAGCTGGAGCAGGTTTTCCTACTTACAAAGCATGTAGAGGTCTGTAATTTGTATCATAGGTACACTTCAACTGTGAGAGACGGAATCTAAAACAAAAATCCAGAAAATTACATTGTATGATTTTTAAGTAATTAATTTGCATTTTATTGCATGACATAAGTATTTGATCACCTACCAACCAGTAAGAATTCCGGCTCTCACAGACCTGTTAGTTTTTCTTTAAGAAGCCCTCCTGTTCTCCACTCATTACCTGTATTAACTGCACCTGTTTGAACTCGTTACCTGTATAAAAGACACCTGTCCACACACTCAATCAAACAGACTCCAACCTCTCCACAATGGCCAAGACCAGAGAGCTGTGTAAGGACATCAGGGATAAAATTGTAGACCTGCACAAGGCTGGGATGGGCTACAGGACAATAGGCAAGCAGCTTGGTGAGAAGGCAACAACTGTTGGCGCAATCATTAGAAAATGGAAGAAGTTCAAGATGACGGTCAATCACCCTCGGTCTGGGGCTCCATGCAAGATCTCACCTCGTGGGGCATCAATGTTCATGAGGAAGGTGAAGGATCAGCCCAGAACTACACGGCAGGACCTGGTCAATGACCTGAAGAGAGCTGGGACCACAGTCTCAAAGAAAACCATTAGTAACACACTACGCCGTCATGGATTAAAATCCTGCAGCGCACGCAAGGTCCCCCTGCTCAAGCCAGCGCATGTCCAGGCCCGTCTGAAGTTTGCCAATGACCATCTGGATGATCCAGAGGAGGAATGGGAGAAGGTCATGTGGTCTGATGAGACAAAAATAGAGCTTTTTGGTCTAAACTCCACTCGCCGTGTTGGAGGAAGAAGAAGGATGAGTACAACCCCAAGAACACCATCCCAACCGTGAAGCATGGAGGTAGAAACATCATTCTTTGGGAATGCTTTTCTGCAAAGGGGACAGGACGACTGCACCGTATTGAGGGGAGGATTGATGGGGCCATGTATCACGAGATCTTGGCCAACAACCTCCTTCCCTCAGTAAGAGCATTGAAGATGGGTCGTGGCTGGGTCTTCCAGCATGACAACGACCCAAAACACACAGCCAGGGCAACTTAGGAGTGGCTCCATAAGAAGCATCTCAAGGTCCTGGAGTTGCCTAGCCAGTCTCCAGACCTGAACCCAATAGAAAATCTTTGGAGGGAGCTGAAAGTCTGTATTGCCCAGCGACAGCCCCGAAACCTGAAGGATCTGGAGAAGGTCTGTAAGGAGGAGTGGGCCAAAATCCCTGCTGCAGTGTGTGCAAACCTGGTCAAGACCTACAGGAAACGTATGATCTCTGTAATTGCAAACAAAGGTTTCTGTAACAAATATTAAGTTCTGCTTTTCTGATGTATCAACTACTTATGTCATGCAATAAAATGCAAATTAATTACTTAAAAATCATACAATGTGATTTTCTGGATTTTTGTTTTAGATTCCGTCTCTCACAGTTGAAGTGTACCTATGATAAAATTACAGACCTCTACATGCTTTGTAAGTAGGAAAACCTGCAAAATCGGCAGTGTATCAAATACTTGTTCTCCCCACTGTATATGGCGGGTGATCAGGGTGCATTCATTCCGCCGATTCTGTTGCAAAACGTTTTTTAAACAGAAGCAAACGGAACAAAACGTGGAGGACATACCTGAGTTTGTCCAACAGAAACTCTCGTTTTAGTTTTCTGCAACAGTTTGGACTAATGATTACACTGTCTGTCACCTTGATTACTCCAATTTGTCTCTCGACCGGTGCACCCACATTATAAACTTTCATTTGTAGGTTAGGTTGTAGCAACCTCATGATGGGTATAGGGCAAATTCTAGTATCATGTAGTAGCCTAAACCTATTGATGTTACATTGAGCTAAGTGAATGGAATATGAATGACAGTCATCCAATATGCAGTAGTAGAAATAAGGCCATACTCATAAAAAAAAATCTTCCTCCTTAATCTTAAACGCCACCGACCGCCACTGTTAGGGACAGACCAGGGGCCTGTTAAACCAGTTGAGTATATGTCTGGTCGTAACTCTACAACTGACTTAGAATGCGGACCTAAGAATTATACCTGTTACATTACCTAGGCATAAGCCTTTCTATGAGCTATACATACAGTACATGAATACATATACATCTATATGGTTCTGAGACAAACTGTTAATAAATATAAGGTGTGATTCTCTCCCCAGGCAAACTGCAGGAGATAGCCAACCCTTGATCGGGGGGACTGAGATGCAGACCTTTTCTGTCAAAGAGAGGGTACGTCACCCTGTCCTGTAATATGTCATTCAGTCAGCAGTCACCCAAAACAGTAATAGATCAACAATACCAACATTTAAAAACACACAAATTAAATGTAAATGTGTTCAAACAGCCATTTCAGATCATTGATTTTACTACATACTATAAACATCACGTTTCTTCCCTCAGAGAGATGCAACTGACACTGTAGAGGCCTCTATGGTGCTTGTTGGTAAGTGCAAATCTGAATTGGTTATCAGTACAGTGTGTGTGTGTGTGTGTGTGTGTGTGTGTGTGTGTGTGTGTGTGTGTGTGTGTGTGTGTGTGTGTGTGTGTGTGTGTGTGTGTGTGTGTGTGTGTGTGTGTGTGTGTGCGCATCTTCATGCCTGTGCACGTGTGCATGTGTATGTATACGCATACCTCACAGGAGGTTGGTGGCACCTTAATTGGGGAGGATGGCTCATAATAATGTCTGGAATGGAGGGAATTGAATGGTATAAAACACATGGAAACCATACTGTATGTTTGATGAGTTCGATACCATTCCATTGATTCCGTTCCAGCCATTACTATAAGCCCGTCCTCCCCAATTAAGGTGCCACCAACATCCTGTGTCATACCTATGTATGCTTATGTTTGTTTGTGTGTGTGTGTGTGTGTGTGTGTGTGTACCAGGAGCTCTGGACTTCCTGGAGAGGCCAACGGTGGCGTTTGTGCGTCTGAAGGAGGCTCTTGTTCTGGATTCGGCCCTGGAGGCCCCAGTGCCAGTCCGCTTCGTCTTTATCCTGGTGGGCCCCACCAAGAGTGACATGGACTACCACGAGACCGGCCGCGCAATGGCAGCACTCATGGCCGACAAAGTGAGTTAGCGAATTAAAAGGTCCAATGAAAGAGCAGGAAGTGGAGAAGAGCTAAACTGTACAGGAAATGAGAGCACGTAAACAGGAAATGGTAATCATAAAAAAAGAGATTCATGACACATTTTGTAACCAGTATCAGTACATGTTTGTAAGATATGGTTGTTTCTAGGACTACAACCATGATACACTCTCCATTTAGGAGAAATGCAAAACAATTTCTCCATTGAGCATGTTTATTATTCCAGGACTAGGCTTATCTAGTGTCTGGGAACTTTTTCACATCCCCATTTCTTTGCCCTCTCTTCTTTTCCCTCCATCCCAGGTGTTCAACCAGGCGGTGTTCCAGGCGCAAGGCGAGCGAGAGCTGACGGACGCGGTGGCTGACTTCATGGACTGCAGCATTGTGATCCCTCCCACGGAGATCCAGGATGGGGCAATGCTCCAGTCCATCATCGGCTTCCAGAAGAAACTGCTGCAGGAGAGGCTCAGCCCCTCCGGCCCCGTGTTGCGTCTGGACATGAATCCACGCAAACGTGGGTGGAGGCTCATTGACATATTCTACAATAATACAATAGAATAGAATAAAATAAAATAGCATCAATACATGAGCATACACATACATAAGTGTTACAAAAACCCACTTTCATCTACAGCACCTGTTTTGTAGTTGGTTGATGGAGGTCTCCCTCTGTTAAAAAATCTCTCAAAACATAACCTTTCCCCCAAAAAATGGAACATATCAGCATTTCTCCCTTATTTAAATATGTTTTATTAGAAGTATATTCCAAACCTTCCCAGCTTAGCTGTACCTAATATTTTCCTAGTTTCCAAACCATCTGGGCCTCCTCCTGAGGATCCTCTGGTCCGTACGGGTCGGCCGTTCGGCGGCATGATACGAGATGCGAAGAGACGCTACCAGCACTATGTGAGTGACTTCACCGATGCCCTCAACGCTCAAGTTCTCGCCGCTGTCATCTTTATCTACTTCGCCGCCCTGTCCCCTGCCGTCACCTTCGGAGGACTGCTAGGTAAGTACTGTGTGTGTTGAGTGTGTGTGTTGAGCGTGCGTGCGTGCTTGCTTACGTGTTCGCATGTATGTGTGTGTGTGTGTATATATGTGTGTTCGTGTTATCTATGTGTCAGAGTGAGCCTGTCAGGTGTGCCAGATGGGTGTGGTTTGTACTTTAGGGACTATTCCATTGGGCTAGGCAAGCTCAATCAAACGCAGCTAAAATATTTGAAAGAAAACAAATACTATTCAAACCCATGTCTGTAACGCCATAACCTCTCCTTTCCCACTCCCCTACTTCAGCTGATAAGGTGGACAACATGATGGGTGTGTCTGAGCTCCTGGTCTCCACCTGTGTCCAGGGGGTCATTTTCTGCTGCATCGCAGCCCAGCCTGTCCTGGTCATTGGCTTCTCAGGCCCACTGCTCGTGTTTGAGGAGGCCTTCTTTGCCGTGAGTGATTCCTCTAGTAACGCAACACCTGCAAAATGGCTGAGGAGCTATGGCTCTCTATATTTGATTGACAAAAAATGGATATTCCATCGTGCATGCAATGATGCATCTTATTGAAGTGTTTTTGTTAGTGTGTTTTTTTCTTTCTGTTATGTTTGTGGTGTCATATGTGTTTCATCATATTTAATTAAATGTATGAATGGTAAATGATCATATGAGAATGCTAAAGATATTAGTCCAGGCAATATGTGCCACATTTGAGGTGATATGTTAACTTTTTCATTAAAGTATGAAACTTGGTACACTTGTACAGTTTGGGGCCCTGAACATTTTCAAATATGGAGCCAGGTGGTTGTGGCGGTATAGCAAAATGGCCACCATGGCTGCCTGGAGTGGTTTTTGATTGTAAACATAGGGGTAGACATAATATTTCCATGTTATTATGTTTGGTTGAGGAGATATGACGTAAAATACATAGGAATGGAAAATGGCTGCCACAGCCGTCATGAGATGTTTTTGCGATGGATCCATATCTGAAAATGTTCAGGGCTCCAAAATGTACAAGTTTCATGTTTTTATGAAAAAGTTCACATAATTTTCACATATCGCCTTGACTATTTGTAGAATACCACTAAATATCACTGACCACTGGCAATAACCTGGAGTCATTCCATTCCATCCCATTCAGTTCTGTAAGTCTCAGGACATTGAGTACATTGTGGGGCGAGTGTGGGTGGGCGTGTGGCTGGTGGTCATCGTGGTGGTCATCGTGGCGTTCGAGGGAAGTTTCTTGGTCCGCTTCATCTCCCGCTTCACCCAGGAGATCTTCTCCATCCTCATCTCCCTCATCTTCATCTACGAGACCTTCTCCAAGCTGGGCAGGGTATACATCACCATCCCACCTCTGCCCATCCTGTTACATAACACTACTCAACTGTCATTAATGTTACATTTATTCAGTCTACTGTCATTATTGTTCCATTACATTACTCCACTGTCATTAGCGTTACATTACGTTATTCCACTGTCATTACTGTTACATTACTCCACTGTCTCCAATCCTCTTGCTCTCTCTCAACTTTATTTCAATATCAATTACTGGTATCTGACTCGAAGGACCGGATAAATAAATAATTGTTTTAGCTCAAAAACAGGAATTCATCCAATCGCTGTCTGTAGATTTTCAAGGCCCACCCATTGATCCTGAACTACGACCACCTCAACAACACGGTGGAGGACCCATGGCACCCAGTGGTGATGCACAACTACCTGTATGACAACAGCACGGGCAACACCACCACCACAGTCAACATCCTGGACCGGGCCTACCCCAACACGGCCCTGCTCTCCATGTGCCTCATGTTTGGATGCTTCTTCATCGCCTTCTTCCTGCGCCAGTTCAAGAATGGGACCTTCCTACCTGGAAAGGTAATGATATGAATTAATTAATGATCTCTATTCAACAATTTAATGTACATTTAAAGTGGCCTCAGCCATGTGAATACAACAATGCATATATTGAGGATAAAGTCAACAGACTCATTTCCATTGTCAACAGACTCATTTCCATTGTAACATGATTTCATTTCAATAGGGCTTGCATCTTTAGTTTTAACAACTTTTTTTACATCCTCATCCCCTCTCACATTGGGGATCAATAAAGTTAAACTCAATGAAATTATTCAAGTTCTATAAGCACTTTAAATTATAAGACAGGGGACTCGGCACTAGCCTAGGAGCCAGTCAGATACACTTGTCAAGCTTTGTTGTTATGTGTTTGTCTGCCTTTCAGATCCGGCGCTTGATTGGGGACTTTGGGGTGCCCATTGCTATTTTCTTAATGTGTGTTGTGGACATCAACATAGAGGATGCCTACACCCAGGTTAGTCCTTGCTAGCCTGGTCTCAGATATGTTTGTGCTCTTTCCAACTCCATTGCTCTGTCATTGTCGGATCAAACATGTTCGCATGGTGGCACATACAGACTGGCACTCAGGCTAAGTCCTTAAGTCTATGACTGCAGGCGTTCTGGAAATTTTCAACCCTACGTTCAACTAAAGTATCAATTCACTTTGTTATAGAATAAACTTGTAGTGTGAGTTGAGCATAATAAACGTAACTTACCTGATGTAGGAATAGATCAAATGAATTAAAAGTTGGCCACCCTAACTGGTGTCTTTCCCTGGTTAGAAACTGGTGGTGCCCAAGGGTCTGACGGTGTCAAACCCCGCTGCCAGAGGTTGGCTCATCAACCCGTTTGGCGAACACAAGGCTTTCCCCGTGTGGGTGATGTTCGCTTGCTGTGTGCCCGCTTGTCTCGTCTTCATCCTCATCTTCCTCGAGTCCCAGATCACCACGTGAGTGACAGCTGTCAATCAGTAATCAGGCCATTTACAAAGTTTACAGTTTAAAATCAGTCCATTTACAAAATCAGTCTATTTCACTTGTAAGTCCTGCCATTTACAAGTGAAATGATGAAATTGTGTGATTGTGAAATAAATAATTGGATAGAAATTACATTTACAAAGGTAACTGAGATATGAAATAATAATTTCTTGTGGAAAACATACTCAGACAGCAATATGCTTGTATCTCCACTTTGCCCTCAGAAAGGCTACCATAGGTTGTAGGTGCTAGGTTTTTTTTCTGGACAGGGTTTTGTAATGATGGCCCTGTCCAAAACCCCTAATCCCCATCTCCTAGAAACTTGTTTCTAAGGATTGTTTCTGGACAAGGCCATCGATACACGACCCTTACCCCTAATACTTACCCTTACCCATAACCTAACCTATATTGTTTTCCTTGTCAGTCTGATTGTGAGTAAGCCGGAGAGGAAGATGGTCAAGGGATCCGGCTTCCATCTGGACCTTCTCATCCTGGTGGGCATGGGCGGGTTTGGTGCCATGTTTGGTGTGCCGTGGCTGAGTGCCGCCACCGTGCGTTCGGTTACCCACGCCAACGCCCTCACTGTCATGAGCAAGGGGCCCAAGCCGGAGATCGAGAAGGTTGTGGAGCAGAGGGTCAGTGGGATTCTGGTGGCTCTACTCGTCGGTGAGTGACCTCACTACTTGATCACAGTGCTGGAAAAAGTACCCAATTGTCATACTTGAGTAAAAGTAAAGATACCTTAATAGAAAATGACTCAAGTAAAAGTGAAAGTCACCCAGTAAAATACTACTTCAGTAAAAGTCTAAAAGTATATGGTTTTAAATATACTTAAGTATCAAAAGTAAAAGTATAAATCATTTCAAATTCCTTACATTAAGCAAACCCGATGGCACCATTATTTATTTATTTTTTACTTATGGATAGCCAGGGGCACACTCCAACACTCAAACATCACCTACAAACTAAGCATGTGTGTTTAGTGAGTCCGTCAGATCAGAGGCAGTACGGATGACCAGGGATGTTCTCTTGATAAGTGCGTGAATTGGACCATTTTCCTGTCCTGCTAAGCATTCAAAATGTAACAAGCACTTTTGGGTGTCAGGGAAAATGTATGGAGTAAAAAGTACATTATTTTCTTTAGGAATGTAGTGAAAAGAAAGTTAAAGTTGTCAATAATATAAATAGTAAAGTAGAGTACAGATACCCAAAAAAAAATACTTAAGTAGTACTTTAAAGTATTTTGACTTAAATACTTTACACCACTGCTTGATCAGTCAATTCTTATTCGTATATGGAAAAAAAATACATTTCAAATATATGTTTTTATACATCTTTTAGGATACATGTGAAATATTTTTATTTTATTGATTTTTTTAACCACCTTTTTCTCCCCAATTTTGTGATATCCAATTGCGGTCCAATTACGATCTTGTCTCATCACTGCAACTCCCCAATGGGCTCGGGAGAGGTGAAGGTCGAGTCATGCGTCCTCCGAAACATGACCCGCCAAGCCGCACTTCTTAACACACGTTCGCTTAACCCGGAAGCCAGCTGCACCAATGTGTTATTCTACTATGTAGAAAATAGTAAAAAGAAAGAAAAACCCTTGAATGAGTAGGTGTTCTAAAACTTTTGACCGATAGTGTATCTTTTTATTAAAATGTATGGTAAAAAAAAATTAAAAGGCCAAATCATATTGTAACGAAATGGTAACTGTCCTAACAATGCAACTTTAAAGATGCACTATGCAGGAATCGCTCCACCATTTCCTGGTCGCTAAAATTCTAATCGTTTGCCTAATTTCAGTTTATGTGACAAAACAAGCAAGTATAGTGTAGAGAACCATTGTACCATCTAAACCAATGTGAAATATATTTTCCAAAACAAACGTATTTTTAAATGTTTGAAGCTGGTGTACAAAACCGAAAGTAAAAGACGCAAAAACTAAACTTAAGAACGGGAAACATAGAAATAGCGCTCATGGAACAGATCTACCGCTTCTTAGACTTGCTTTCAATGAGAATGACAGATCTACACTAAACAATAATATAAACACAACATGCAACAATTCCAATGATTTTACTGAGATACAGTTCATATAAGGAAATCAGTTAATAAATTCATTAGACCCTAATCTATGGATTTCACATTACTGGGAATAAAGATATGTATCTGTTGATCACAGATACCTTAGAAAGAAGGTAGGGGCATCGATCAGAAAACCAGTAAGTATCTGGTGTGACCATCATTTGCCTCATGTAGCGCGATACATCTCCTTCGCATAGAGTTGATCAAGCTGTTGATTGTGGCCTGTAGAATGTTGTCCCACTCCTCTTCAATGGCTGTGCGAAATTGCTGGACATTATCGGGAACTGGAACAAGCTGTCGTACACGTCGATCCAGAGCATCCCAAACATGCTCAATGGGTGACATGTCTGGTGAGTATACAGGCCATGGAAGAACTGTGTAAAGATCCTTGTGACATGGGGCCATGCATTATCATGCTGAAACATGACGTGATGGTAGTGGATGAATGGCACGACAATGGGCCTCAGGATCTCGTCACGGTATCTCTATGCATTCAAATTGCCATCGATAAAATGCAGTTGTGTTCATTGTCCATAGCTTATGCCTGTCCATACCATAATCCCACTGCCATGATAGGGCACTCTGTTCACAACGTTGACATCAGCAAACCGCTCGCCCACATGACGCCATACACACTACGCTGTCTGCCATCTGCCCGATACAGATGAAACTGGGATTCATCCGTGAACAGCACACTTCTCCAGTGTGCCAGTGGCCATCAAAGGTGAGTATTTGCCCATTGAAGTCAGGTTACAACGCCGAACTGCAGTCATATCAAGACCATGGAGAGGACGACGAGCACGCAGATGAGCTTCCCTGAGACGGTTTCTGGCAGTTTGTGCAAAATGTGTCCGTTGTGCAAACCCACAGTTTCATTTGCAGTCCGGGTGGCTGGTCTTAGACGATCCCGCAGGTGAAGAAGCCGGATGTGGAGGTCCTGGGCTGGCGTGGTTACACGTGGTCTGCGGTTGTGAGGCCGGTTGGACGTACTGCCAAATTCTATAAAACGATGTTGGAGGCAGCTTATGGTAGAGAAATTAACATTAAATTCTCTGGCAACAGCTCTGGTAAAGTAATTTTCTCTGATGAATCCCCTTTCCGATTGTTTGGGGCATCCGGAAAAAAGCTTGACCGGAGAAGACAAGGTGAGCGCTACCATCAGTCCTGTGTCATGCCAACAGTAAAGCATCCTGAAACCATTCATGTGTGGGGTTGCTTCTCAGCCAATGGAGTGGGCTCACTCACAATTTTGCCGAAGAACACAGCCATGAATAAAGAATGGTACCAACACATCCTCCGAGAGCAACTTCTCCCAACCATCCAAGAACAGTTTGGTGACGAACAATGCCTTTTCCAGCATGATGGAGCACCTTGCCATAAGGCAAAAGTGATAACTAAGTGGCTTGGGGAACAAAACATCAACATTTTGGGTCCATGGCCAGGAAACTCCCCAAACCTTAATCCCATTGAGAACTTGTGGTCAATCCTCAAGAGGCGGGTGGACAAACAAAAACCCACAAATTCTGACAAACTCCAAGCATTGATTATGCAAGAATGGGCTGCTATCAGTCAGGATGTGGCCCAGAAGTTAATTGACAGCATGCCAGGGCGGATTGCACAGGTCTTGAAAAAGAAGGGTCAACACTGCAAATATATACCTTAATGTAATTGTCAATAAATGCTTTTGACACTTATGGAATGCTTGTAATTATACTTCAGTATACCATAGTAACATCTGACAAAAATATTTAAAAACACTGAAGCAGCAAACTTTGTGAAGACCATTACTTGTGTCATTCTCAAAACTTTTGACCACGACTGTACATGACCCCATGGGTACTTTTTCCACCACTGAAATTAGTAAACAATTTTCATACTTGAGTAAAAGTAAAGATACCTTAATAGAAAATGGCTCAAGTAAAACTACTTAAGTAGTGTTTTAAAGTATCTTTACTTAAGTACTTTACACCACTGACTAATTACAAAAAACTTGAGAAACATACACATAGGATATTGCCATAAACCAGAGGAGGCTGGTGGGAGGAGTTATAGAAGGACGGGCTCATTGTAATGGCTGGAATGGAATAATAGGAACAGAGTCAAACACATTGTTTCCATGGGTTTGATGTGTTTGGTACCATTCCGTTGATTCCATTCCAGCCATTACAATGAGTTCCTCCCTATAGCTCCTCCCACCAGCCTCCTCTGCCATAAACAATACACTAACTGTTCACTGTGTCCTTCTTGCAGTATCATTGTTAGATAGTGGCCCATTTTATACTGTAATATTGTTTTCCCTAGGTTAAAACAGATCTAGGATAATCTTCCCCTCCCCCAATCCTAACCATTAGTGGGGGAATGCAAAACTGACCCCATCAGTGTCTAGGGGCAACTTCACCCTTCACCTGTATTGACAAGGCTAATACCTGTCTGTATCCAGGTCTGTCCATTCTCATGGAGCCCATCCTGAAGATGATTCCGATGACGGCTCTGTTCGGGATCTTCCTCTACATGGGAATCACCTCGCTCAACGGGATCCAGTTGTGGGATCGCATTCTGCTCCTGCTCGTCCCCAAGAAATACCACCCCAACGAGCCCTACGCCACCAGGGTATATTAACAGACAGCAGATCCCTGACACAGTATGCCCACTGTGTGTCAGGGATCTGGGCAAAATGTGGCATATAATGTGACGTCTTTATGACACCATTTTCTGGTTATAAACCGTTTTTTGGTTGAGAAGATGTCATATAACCAGACTATATCCAACTGGACTCTTACAACCAGTTAAAGACATATTTTTTCATGACAAGATCAAGACGCCATGGGAAAGACGTCATATTTAGGTTATTATGTGTTAGTTTTTTTGGTCAGATTACAACCAGATAAAGGCGTCACGCTGTATGCCTCTGTATTCTTATGTATTGGCTAGGACTCCCTCAAAAAGGAGATGGTATAAGTAAATAAATAACAATCAGAATTCCCTTTCTCCTTATTCCTGCTTGCACTAGGTGTCAACGGGCAGGATGCACCTTTACACAGCCATCCAGGTGGTGTGTCTGGCAGTGCTGTGGATCGTCAAGTCCAGCCCCGCCTCCCTGGCCCTGCCCTTTGTTCTCATCCTCACTATCCCCCTCCGCATGGCCATGACCGGACGCTTCTTCACCGAACTGGAGATGAAATGTGTAAGTAGACATCAGGGTGTTGCGTGTGGTCCTATTATAAAGCTTGGTGCTGGTAATAGTAAGGTTGTGGGTTCGATTCCCGAAGGGGATCACATACACATACGAAAAAAGGAATGCACCCACTGTACTGCAAGTTGCTTTGAATAAAATAATCTACTAAGTGGTATATATTATTATTATCTGTACAATACAGAACAATACAGTACAATGCAGCATACCAACAGCCAACCTCACTCCCACCCTCATCTATACCATGCTGTTCATCATTGTGGGTTGATTCTTCATTTGAAATCAGTTCTTTCGAAGGCCTTTGTTTGGTTTGGTCTCATACACAAAGCTTCCAATGAGCACAACGTTTGTTGAGGTTGACATCGAATGAGATCGTTCCTTACTGTTATGTGTTTCCTTGTTCTGTTGTGTTTCAGTTGGACGCTGACGATGCTAAGGTGACATTCGAGGAGGAGCCTGGACAGGACATGTACAATGAAACTCAGATGCCATTGTAGACATCTGGACCTGCCATTTTGATCCAAAAGCCCTTTATTTTATTTATCTGACATGACTGAAAGTGTTTTAATAGGGTTCTTGTTTTTGTCTATTACCGTATGAACTGACATATATATTTTTTGGAGTGTTTTTAAACCATCATGAAGCCCAAATAGTAGGCTTTACCTTTGACATGACCCTTAGATTTCAAATAGAAGTAATTGTCAGTAAAAGAAAATGATTTTTAAAGAGTTTAATATATCTGCTGTATATTTGCATATTTCGTTCAAGTCAAACATTCCTGCAGCCATAAATGTGTGTATTTATGCAGCAAACAGCTCTTCCGGCCATAGTAACACTTTGGCCTATGATAGTGTGTTAATTTCAAATTGCCATATTGACTTTCCACCTTTGTAAGGCTGTTTAACCTTTAAAAATGTTTTTACTTAGAACTATTATCTGCAAATATTGTACAAGAAGGCTTTATTCCATATAAGAATTATGTTTTGCACTTATCTGCCCACTATAATGGTATTTTTTAACAGTTGAGCTGAAAAGCAGACAGCTGTAGACTGAGGCCATATCAGTGTCAATATCTTTCACATTTTTGAATTACAAACCTACCATATGACTGAAGAAGCTACATCACTCAAAAGTGCCTTTCAAATAACTTTTAGGTATTGTTTTACGTATTGATATGAAGTACCATGGAGATGGGGAATGTTATTGATTTAAATATTGTATAACAGAGCTTTGAACAATAGAGATCGCGAGCTTGTAGTCCTAAAATATTGAAATGAGTTACCTCTGGTTCGTTTAGCCATTCCTATGGGGGAAATTTATGGGGAAAGAATGGGGTTTTGGGATAAATGCTGAAAAAAAGTCTGAGGAGATCTTACACGTTTTGATCTATGAGATAATATCAGTCAGTTAACATGACCTTTATGAATTATGAAGCCTTTATGTGCTTGTTCTGATTACATAAATGCTTCAAAATTGACGATAGTAGATGAAGATTATCTCATAGAACAAAACGTATAAGATCTCCTAAGACTGTGTTTACCACAGACCTTATTTTCAGCATTTATCCAAAAACCCTCGAAAAACCCCATTCATTTTCGCATAGGCTTTGGCAAACTAAATATGGCGGAGTTGGTGCCTACAGAAAGACACAATTACTACTGTTCTCTATATGTACATACATCAAAGCTAAAATCATAAATTAAAAATATATTTGAAGAGGGGATGGAGGGATGCATAGGGGTGTGTTTAATTGAACTTTTTATTGATAGGTCTGACAGTGTTTCTTTGTTGTTGTGATCTCTTCTCAACATCAATTAAATGCTTCTAAAAAATATATGGTGATTTCACTTTTTTTGTATTTGTCACTAATCGGTTGCCGTCGGTGAAGGCAACTTGCATTGGCGGAGTAGAGATGGAGTCCTTCGATGAAGCAAGAAAGAGATTTCACTGTGGAAAAGTTGAATATTTTCACAAGGAGTCGTTTAATTGGATTTCGGAGGAGGAATGGAGGGAAAAAGAGAGGAAGAAAAGGTTAAAGAGAATGAGGGAGGCAGAGGTAGAGTCTCAATATGTTGAAGATTGCGGAAAAGAGGGAGGAGGTGTGTCAAACAAAGTGAGCCCTAAACCAGACCGAGTTCTGGAGGTGAAAGGGAAGTGAATGAGGGCGAGTTAAGTGAGGTGGAAAGTGTGGTGAAGACGGAGCCCGATCCATTTGGGTTTCAGGGTGGGTGGGAAAGGAGTTGGTTGCAGTTGAATCAGTTTGGAATTATGATATTTGTTTGTGTTTCTTCTACCCAGAGGGAGTGGGCGATCTGTGTCACGCAACTTGAGTCAAGATCTGTTTCTTGCTTTGGGCAGGGAAGTGTGCAGGAGGGCATGGGACAGAGGATTGTGTAGTTTTGGTGGATAAAGTTGTGTTAGTCAACTGTAGGGGTGCCCATGTTGCTGGGGATCGGAAGTGTCCGGTGCGAGACAGGCAGGTTGAGGTGGCCAGTCAGAGTAGTGCAGAAGGTGTAGTATGCTGAGGCAGTGAATAAAGTAGAGGAGGATGGGTCAAGGGTGAGGGATCCTGAAAGTCCCTGTGAGTAGTAGATCTGTGCCAGCACAGAGGGATAGGCCAACAAGTGAAATATGCTTCAATAAGGTTGGCTTCTTAGCATTCATAGCAATGATTATCAACTGTACCGTAGAAATTGAAAATAAATCACAGAAAATAGATGTTGTGGTGGGTATACAAGATTTTTGCGTATATTTGGGTGTACGAGATATGACTTCAGAAGAGTTACAGGGTGTGAGTTGAGTTGTGATGTCCTGTCCACCCAGCCCGTTGGCATGGTGCAGGAGCAGATAGGGTGAAAGTAGAGGAATGGGATAGTGGGTTTTTAATGTGTGTAGGTTTATTTGGAAGTGGATTTTTTTAATACACATATTTTCTGGTAGTTTTTTCCTTTTCCAATTTTTACTTAAAAAGTACAATGGATTTATATTATAGTCCAGTTGGTGGCGGTAATGCAACATATTGGATGCCAACCGCCGTTAAATCCCAAAGAAGAAGAAGAAGAACTACGAGAGAACCACGATGCAATGAAAGCAGGTTTTGTCTAGATGGAATACAGCTTTAGTCAAAATTGAGTTTTCGTAGCACGGTATAATTTTTTTCACACCAAATTAGGAGAATTAACGTAGCAGTTTACGATAATTAGGTTAAGGTTAGGGAAAGGGTTAACTAAAATGCAAAGAAATCTACTTTTGACATTTGACAAAAGCTGTATTCCATTTAGACATGACCATGATAACGGGAGAGTCTATATGGACACGCCTGGTGCCCAGAATTGATGACGGATGTCGTGCACCGAGAGTTGAGTGGGGAGTCTGGGGACGAACCGTTCTTATTGTGGTGCTTTCAAGACAACAGGGAAACATTTTAAAAAGTCAAAGTTGTCTTCATGTCGAAAGCCGGATCTCTAGAAAGATGCTGGAGTTCCCGACTTGAAATTCCGTGTTGGATGACAATTCAAAACGATTTTTCCCAGTCGGTGCTCGTTTTTCCCCGAGGTCCCAGTTGTCTTGAACGCACTGAAGTCGGAAAACAGACTTTTCGTGGGAAACGACCAATCAGATGAGAGTGTGATGACGCGCCCGATCAGTTTGCAGGGGCAGACTAATAATTTATAAATACACTAGATGACTAATAGGAGGCGCTGTGTTGAAGCCACCGTGCCTCCATCTTGGCAATCCCCCCCTCCACATTTTATTATATTACAGACACCTAAATGCATACTTTTACAACAACAAAATACTTAAACACATGCAATTTTGTCCTTGAAACGTTTAATTGAAATACTGTAGAATTCAGTTCATTCCTATGGAGGACTGCTTTTACTGGGGAGTGCCAATATGGCCAACCGGTAGATTCAAATGGTCGTCACTAGTTACCACAGCCACAAAGTCATAAACCCCGCCTATTTCAATAATGTATCTTCTTAAAATCTTATTTTAAACCTAACTTTAAGCACACTGCTAACCTTATGCATAACCCTAACCTTTAAATTAAGACCAAAAATCACATTTTTGTATTCATACATTTTTACAATATTGACTATCTAGTGTATATATAAATCATTGGGACAAACGGATTCGTTTCAGTGTTGCCAATTTAGCGACATTGTCGCTATATTTACCGAGTTTTCAGACCCCTCTAGCGACACATTTTCAAAAAAGCGACTAGCGACAAATCTAGCAACTTTTTCTGGTGTTATTGGAGACTTTTGGAGACTGACGTGAAAGCACGTATCGTTCTTACTCTTCTCAACAAGCAGCGGGTGCTTTGTTACCCCGTCCCAAAGCACTCACAGGTGGCCCAGTCCTCGCGCAGCAGTCAGAGCAGGAGATGTTCACCCCTCCGCGTCCAGACTGCAAATGAATCGCGCATGAAGGAAGCCGCCGCTGGCTGATCCCGCCCTGGCTTACATTCAGGTCGGGATGTAAATGTAGGGTGTTCTTTACTCACTTTTTGTCTCTCCCACGACTCCTAGAGCGTCCATCACAATTACATGCACATGGCCAATTATGCAAATTAGGTGATGACGTCATTTAGCGACTTCTAGCGACTTTTAGGACAGCCAATAGCTACTTTCCTTACTGAGGAGTTGACAACACTGATTCGGTTCAGTCAGTTGAGTTTAGTCCGTTGACATATGAGCCCTATCTTGCTAGGAACTTCAGCAATCATTTTAAACTTGTCTGCCGAAGTTGGGACTTGGTTGTGTTCAGAATCATTCCGTTTTTATCGGACTACAAAAGCAATACATGTGCTTTTTAGCTGTCACCCTGGCCTGATTAGCAACACTATCTAGCTACTTCTCTCTTAGTTACTGTAGGACTAGGCCACATTTTTTAAAATAACTAACCTATCTGTGACAAGACGGCAACTCCGTATGCATCCGGTTTTCAGGGATACAACTCCATTACACTGGATTCACACCGGCTTGTCGTTACGTTAGCTAGCCTACATTGGCATGTCAAGGTGACATCCATATTTCTCCCAATTTTACAAGTTCTAACTAGCGCCATACTGCTGTTATCATAATATACCTAGCTGGGAAGGGCTCATCAGGACGTGGGACCAGCCGCTAGGGTAGGAGTCGGAGGAGTTGGTGAAGGAAGCGGGCAGCGCGCAAACTCAAACGAAACTGGAGTTTGAATCAGGAATGACGTCAGGCAATTGGGGATTATGTGGCGGACCAAATTTTTTCAGATGGAAGACGCAAGCCAAGATGTCGACACAAGTCCAGAGGATAGAATAGATGCCGGAGGGAGCAATGAATAGGTCAATGTGGACTGTGAGGCCGAGGATAGAGTAGACGCCGGAAGGGAAAGGAGGGGGAAAATTGAGTCCTTTGAGAAGGCAAGAAATAGATATTGGTCAGGAGAAATGCAGTATTATCATAAGGAGACGTATACTTGGATGAATGAGGAGGAATGAGGGGAAAAGAGAGGCAGAGGAAGTCTAAGAGAGAGAGGGAGGAAGACTGTGAGTTTGAGTGTAAAAAATGGCGGGAAAAAGGGAGAAGGTTTGTTAAAGAAGAGTGGTAGGAAATGTAAGCAAAGTGAGCTGAAGACAGGAATAGAAATGGAAGAGGGTGAAGTATTGGAGGTGGTAGGTATGGTGAAGTGCTCGGAGCCAGAGGCTTGCGCAGAGGGTCAGGATAAAGATGAGTCTGTGACAGTAGGAGTGAAGTTTGTGGAAAAAGTGGATCCTTGCCTTTTGGCTGATCTATTTGTGGTTTCAAGATGGGTGAAAAAAGCGTTGGGTATAGTGGAATCGGTGAGGGTAACCAGAAGTGGTCTAGTGATAATTGTTTGTGTTTCTGTTGGGCAGAGGGAGAAGGCGCTCAGAGTTAAACAAATGGGGGAAAGAATTGTGAATTGTTTCGCTCTTAAGAAAAGGGCGCCATTGAGAGGAGTGATTACTGGGGTAGCAGTAAATGTAAAAGTGGATCAACTGAAGGAGAAGATTCCCGGTGTGTGTGATGCTCGTCGTTTGGTGCGACGTAAACAGGGTGGCGAGAGTGGGGAAACAGAAGAGTCATTGTCTGTTCTTTTGAGTTTTGCAGTTGAGTCTTTGCCGGATAAAGTGAAGTTAGGATATATAAGTTATCCTGTGCGAGCTTATGTGCAGAGTACATTACGATGTTACAGGTGTCAAACTTATGGGCATGTGGCAGCAGTATGTAGGAGGGAGATTCCAAGGTGTGAGAAGTGTGCAGAAGGGCATGAGACTAAGGAGTGTGAAGCAGTGGGGAAAGTGGTGGTATGTGCTAATTGTAGGGGTGGCCATGGGGCTGGGGATCAGACATGTCCAGTGTGAGAGAAGCAGGTTGAGGTTTCCAGGGTAAGAGTAGAGAAGAAGTTGTCATATGCGGAGGCAGTGAAGAAAGTAGAGGAAGAGGGGTAAAGGGGGGGAGTGGTGACAGTAGGAGATATATACCAGTACAGTGGGATAGGCAAGCCCCGTGTAGCTCAGTTGGTAGAGCATGGCGCTTGCAACGCCAGGGTTGTGGGTTCGATTCCCACGGGGGCCAGTATGAAAATGTATGCACTCACTAACTGTAAGTCGCTCTGGATAAGAGCGTCTGCTAAATGACTAAAATGTAAATGTCAATATATGTTTCAGTAAGATTGGGTTTTTAGCATTTATAGCAATGGTTATTAATTGTACTGCAGGGATGGAACGCAAATCGAAGAAAATTGAGGTTGTGGTGGCAGCTGAAGAGTTACAGGGAGTGTTAAGTGGTGATGTCCCATCATTTCAGGTTGAGGGCATGAGGTAGGAGTGAGTATATTTAAATAGTGGAGAAGGGTGGGGTTAATTATTAGTAGTAGTTTTGAAGTTGTGAGTGTAGTGTTAGATGGTAGGATATCTCTTTGCTTGTTTTATTTTATTTTTCAAGAAAAGATAAGGGAGTTATACTCCAGTCTAGTAGGTGGCGGTAATGCAACAAATTGGATGCCAACCGCCGTTAAACCTCATTGAAGAAGAAGAAAGCTCATCAGGACGACTCGACTGTCTGAACCGAATCCATTCATCTCGACTCCCAGTTTCAGCTGCGCGACACTACGTCATCAAGTTCGGCACCAGGCGTTTCCGTATAGTCTCTCCCAATTAAAATGCACAACTTTAGCTAGCTAGAAGTTAGCTGGGTATATCAGTCGTTTCTGAATTTGAAGTTGAGTATTTCATTTAGCTAAACATTATTGTGTGCACCAGCACCGTGAAAGGGGAACGTCTCACGTGCTTACAATGACCACACTGCTGAATTTTAAATAGCCATGTGGTTCTTTAGCAGCTAAACTAGCTAGCTAACGTTACCTACCTAGCCGGTAGTTGTGTTTCAGTATCATTCAAAGGGCTGTTACTCGTGCAAACATCGACACTTGTTTGTGATGGACTACACAGAGGATGAAGAAATGGAGACAAGTGATGAAGAGCAAGGTAGGTAATATGAAGGTTTTTTTCAAGACTTCGCTAACTATCCCCGGGGTGTGAAGTGACTTGACCAGCTGGTTGGGATCATTGGGCTGTGACTTTTGGATGAGTTCAAGCAACCCTTTTGTATGTAGCTCAAGCAACCCTTTTGTATGTAGCTCAATTAGGCATGATATCTTTGTTCACTGTAAGTTAGCTTGAAATTCAGTAAAGTTTTGCCTGTCACTCTGTCATTGCCCCCTGTCCTTCTATTCTATGGACTGTCTGTTTGTCTGACTAGTTGGTTGTCTGTTTGACTGATTGGTCGTCTGTCTGTCTACTTGTGGTTGTTCATCTGTCTGTATGTCTGTCTTTCTGTATATAGGGCTGTCTATTTGACTTGTCGATACATATGTCTGTCTGGTTGGTCGTCTGTTTGATTTCTTAGACATCTGTCTGACTGGTTGGTCATCTGTCTGGTTGGTTTGCTGTCTGACTGTCTGTCTATTCTTGTCTTTCTGGTTGGTTGGCCATCTGTCTCTCTGACCGCCTCTGTTCTGTGGATGTCTGTCTGTCTGTGTCTGATTGGCTGGTTGGTCTTCTGTATATCTGTCCTTTGGTTACAGCCTGGGGTAGGGAGGATCTGATAAAGCTCCTGCATGGTATCAAAGAAAACATCCCCAAAGGTGACACGAGTATATACACTAAAGGGGAGAGGACACTGGAGTGGGACAAGGTGGCTTTCCATCCCTACTCTCCACAGATGTGTCATCAGAAGTGGAAGGAGCTATCAATAAAGGTGGGTGACTTTTGGCCTAAAAATCCTAGCCTGGACCCAGATCTGTTTGTACTGTATAGCTGAGTTGGCTATACAGCACTAACAGATCTGGGACCAGGATAGGCAAATCCTCCTGAGACAGACAGCATTTAATCTGAGTTGGCTACCTTGCTATCCACTAAGTAAATGAGTTAGGCTACTCTTGTATGTTTGTTCTTGGTTCTCATGGAATATGAAATGTCATTCAAAATATTCATACATTGGTTCACGTGAACTTAGACATTACTATGTATATCTCTGTACTATCATTTACGTTTTAGTCATTTGGCAGACGCTCGTATCCAGAGCGACTTACAAATGTGAGTGTGTACATTTTCGCACTGGTCCCCCGTGGGAATCGAACCCACAACCCTGTCGTTGCAAGCGCCAAGCTCTACCAACTGAGCCACACGGGATACTGTCAAAATTTAATATCTCTGTGTTTCTCTCTAAGCTGCGCAAGATGCGTTCTCTAGCAGAGCTGGTCACTGAAGCTGAGGGTGCCTTTGAAAACCCTTTCCAGGGCCAGAACTGGAAGGTAAGTGAGAACTTGGTCTAACTCCTGTAAATGTCCCTCATGAACCTATAAAATGCTGCTTAAATTAATAGAGTAGACCAGGGGTCTCCAATCTTTCCTAGCATGAGAGCTACTTTTAAAAAATGAAACATGTCGCAAGCTACTAATTATTTTCTAGCTTTCAAATAGGCACGTTCTTCTCTTCTCCCCTGCAACTCTTCCCCGTCCTTAGTGTACAAGATAAAGTAGTGCACTATGTTTTCTGTCAATATACCAGGTAAACTAATGGTTAATAAACAACTAAGGGGGGCCCTATAAAATCCAAGATTTTTGTCTCCCAAATTCAGTTTAATATTTTCCCAAATTATGTTTTCTCAGTTGTATTTTTCCTGGTTTTAGATTAGTTTTTGTTTTTCACACTCAAAATTCCAATTGTTCATAGAGAAACAACAAAATTGGATGTTCTGAGTCCATGTCAATGCTAAACTCACATCAGAATACCCTTCTTTTTTTTTTTTGGGGGGGGGGGGGGGGGTCTGAAAGAAAACAAACAAATTCAGATTTTTTTGTCTAATTCCCCTTTAATTGTGCATCTTGTGAGTGAGGAATGTGTATCTAATGTGCTGGTCTAGCGATGGTTCTGTACTGCTGCTGCTCAATTCATGGAAAGTTTGCAAATTAATAGATACCAATTATATACTTACTCATGATATACTTCTGCCAGGTAAGCCTACTTTGCAGTTAACATTTAATTAGGTTTTGGGGAAAGTATTTCTGTCAACCGACAAGACGGTTATCACAAACGCACGCACCACACAGACAGACGGGCAATATTGCTGGAAATTAATTGGCAGATATTGTGTTATGTTTGGCTTTTTAAGCCAATAGTGGCTAACCAGGGGTGGGATAATGTCAATGTTGCGTTGAGGAAATAGTAGCTGGGAGCTTGCGGTGTCTGATACTTCAGAGATTTGTTTATGACAGTTTGTGGTGGAACATGTGAAAATTGCATGTAGTTTCAGAACTGTTTGGCGAGCTACTCATAGGTGGGCTGTGAGCTACTGGTAGCTCACGATCGACCTGTTGGAGACCCCTGGAGTAGACGTAGAAGCTTCCACCTGCTGTAGGCACTGGCTCAGGGAAATTCAACATGCCAACTGCCTGCCCTTAAACCAAGACACTAGCTAGTGTTTCATCAAATTGGCGACAGATTTTCATGTGAATATTCTAAAATCTGCTTAAAACAATATGCACATTTTCCCACCAGAGATGTTTCCATCAAACGGACCAAATGCAGATCAAAGGAAGTGCGTGTTGACGTAGTGCACATAAAATAACTTTTGCGGTTAAATTCCCATGTTCCGAATGAAAAATACAAGTTAAATGGGTTTCCATCGCATTTTTGAAAAGCTACTGATGGTTTTGTGACAAAAACTGTTGCGTTATATATAGCAAATGTACACACTCAGGTCTTGTCATGTCCACTCTAGCCAACAGCTCGAAGATACAGTGCGGGTAGGCAACCTACATGATGAGATTATTATTGACAAGAGCAAGATAATTTGTATTTGTCAACCGGCAGCCAAGCATCGATCATCATGTCACTAGAATAAGACCACAATTTCTCGCACATACATTTTACAGACAAAAAAGATCCCACCATGTCGAACGAACAAATTGTCTGTCCACATTTATAAAATTGTACCGGCATTTCCTGTTTCCATCAGCCCGGTCCTGACTTTTTTCATGCGTCAGGTAATTGGTTCGATGGAAACCTGGTTAGTGATGCAGAATATTTAGTCATTTTGCTGTAAGATGTGTGTAATTTGGACTTTTGCACAAATCATGCATTGAATTTTAAGAGAAAAACAGGGATCTCAAGTTAGGATTCAAAAGTATAAGTTATAGTCAAGTGGCAAACTGATAATTTTTTTAGTTATTGTCCATTACTTGTTACAGTGAGGATTTGCTTGTAGATGTACTCCAGCTATGTTTGAACTGTTCCTGTTGGAAAAACAATATCCCAAGTATAAATACAGTAATGTACACACACTTAAGGGTAAAACAAATATGTTTTGAGCAAATAGAGTTTTTTAGACACAAGCGCAAACTTCATGGAGTAGGCCATTCAAGGAGTTGGTCTGATGGTGCCATCTGATGTCATCGGCCTCCCCCATGCTTGACGAACAATAGAGGAGCAATCGAGTACAAAAGAGGAAAGGCCCACCCCCCCACACTTGTGCCATGTCAGAGATGTGCCTTTTGTAAAGTAAATCAGGTGGTAAATGAGCTGAAAAGGAGACTGGAGTAGGACTTTAAGAGAGGATGCTTTACGTAATGGAAAAATCTGCTCTGTTCTTTTGCAGATACACCCTGACTTCCCAAGGAGACCTAACCCGCCAAACAGCATCTTCTCCAAAGAGAACTTTAAAAGGTTTGAGAAGCAGCAGCCTGAGATGATGGCCTCTGAGCTCTTTACGTTCATCAATGAGAAGTATAGTGAGCTCCCAGAGCACAAGAAGGTGAGTCAGTGTGTGAAGTGCTTTTTATAGTCATAATGGCAATGATCTCCCATTTTCAAGTTGCTATAGCACGATTTATTTATCCTCGATTTCTTTGGTTTGAGTTAGTCTAAGTGTTATGATGAGTTTCTAGGATATCAAGTAATCAAGGATGTAAGAATATACTTAGACACTTTTGATAGGGAGTTCATATTAGATATTTAATATGGTAACATGGTTAGTTATAACAGAAGGACAGAGCTTTGCCTCTACCATCTCCCTAACTCCAGAACAATGATCCACTCTCTCTATATATACACTCTGTTACAAGTCTCTCCACAAACATCTGGTAATCCTCATGGGCACTCCCATTCTTTGATGTTATTACCCTTTACCCCTGTCAGTATATCCTGTCCATCAATTATTCTAAGATCAACATCAGTAATCTCCTTTGACATAACGGAATGGAGACTCCGTGGCACCAAACCCCTTATCTAGTAACTCTAACCTGGTCCCCACGATACTATGACATGACATCATTACAATCCACATTTTATTTATTTATTTTGTGGCAAGTAAAATTACTTAACCCCCAACAGTTCATATAAAATACAATATTTCCAATCAGTAATATATATCTGACTAGAGCCTAAAGTATGCTAGATAACTTGAGAATTCACCACTTTCTACCTTCTATACCTGAATCCAACCTGATTCTCCATATATTTAATCAAAAGGTATAAATTCTCAGTCATCTATCTTATGCGATATCAAACCTCTATAGACTCAGTCTGAGTAAAAGATAAACACATAATTAACTACTATATATTCATGCTAACAATTTATGTAGTCAAAACCTTACTTTTATTTATATATATATATATATATATATATATATATATACACACACACACACACACACACAGTGGGGAGAACAAGTATTTGATACACTGCCGATTTTGCAGGTTTTCCTACTTACAAAGCATGTAGAGGTCTGTAATTTTTATCATAGGTACACTTCAACTGTGAGAGACGGAATCTAAAACAAAAATCCAGAAAATCACATTGTATGATTTTTAAGTAATTAATTTGCATTTTATTGCATGACATAAGTATTTGATCACCTACCAACCAGTAAGAATTCCGGCTCTCACAGACGAGTTAGTTTTTCTTTAAGAAGCCCTCCTGTTCTCCACTCATTACCTGTATTAACTTCACCTGTTTGAACTCGTTACCTGAATAAAAGACACCTGTCCACACACTCAATCAAACAGACTCCAACCTCTCCACAATGGCCAAGACCAGAGAGCTGTGTAAGGACATCAGGGATAAAATTGTAGACCTGCACAAGGCTGGGATGGGCTACAGGACAATAGGCAAGCAGCTTGGTGAGAAGGCAACAACTGTTGGCGCAATTATTAGAAAATTGAAGAAGTTCAAGATGACGGTCAATCACCCTCGGTCTGGGGCTCCATGCAAGATCTCACCTCGTGGGGCATCAATGATCATGAGGAAGGTGAGGGATCAGCCCAGAACTACACGGCAGGACCTGGTCAATGACCTGTAGAGAGCTGGGACCACAGTCTCAAAGAAAACCATTAGTAACACACTATGCCGTCATGGATTAAAATCCTGCAGCGCACGCAAGGTCCCCCTGCTCAAGCCAGCGCATGTCCAGGCCCGTTTGAAGTTTGCCAATGACCATCTGGATGATCCAGAGGAGGAATGGGAGAAGGTCATGTGGTCTGATGAGACCGAAATATAGCTATTTGGTCTAAACTCCACTCGCCAATGTGATTTTCTGGATTTTTGTTTTAGATTCCGTCTCTCACAGTTGAAGTGTACCTATGATAAAAAATTACAGACCTCTACATGCTTTGTAAGTAGGAAAACCTGCAAAATCAGCAGTGTATCAAATACTTGTTCTCCCCACTGTGTGTGTGTGTGTGTGTGTATATATATATATATATATATATATATATATATATATATATATATATATATATACACACACAATCACACACACACACACACACAGTGGGGAGAACAAGTGTATATATATATACCGGTCTACTAAGCTGGCCATTCATTACTGCTATTAGTACATGCAATATTAGTAATTAAATACTTAAATTAAAATCCCCATCCTGATCTGTATTAAAATTGAGTTCCTATTTTTTGTTTTGGTGCTATGATTCAATATGTTTCGCTGCATTGGCTCCATCTCCTGGCCGTGTTGAGTATTTACAAGGCTCTCTTCTGTTTATGACGATTTATTACGTCAAAGGTCCGTAACCTATTCCTCTCTTTTATAATGTACTTTTACATTAAGGGAATAAACACCCTCTCTCTTTATGACGTATCTAACATCAAGGGTTACCTGAGCCCATTCATTTTATAATGTACTGTTTTACATTAATGGAATCATCCACTCTCTTTATGATGTACTATTACATCATAGATGCCCTGCGCCTACTCTATTGTCCTCTCTTGCCTTCACTCAATACTGTAAACACACCTTATTCTGAATCATATCACCATGTCATTGTCTAATTTGATATTCTCCTTAAATCCCTTCTACACAACTCAATACCACTCATCGTCCCCCTTTAAAAATATTGAATTTCAAATATCCGTTACAGCTAAGCCTTACCACAGATGAGCAGAATTTGACATAATCAAAAAAATGAAAGTCCGCTTACCTGTTAGTTTGGCTGTGAACTGCATCCTGTTCGTTTAGACGCCAATCTGTTATGATGAGTTTCTAGTATATCAAGTAATCTAGGATGTAAGAATATACTTAGACACTTTTGATGGGGAGTTCATATTAGATATTTAATATGGTAACATGGTTAACTATAACAGAAGGACAGAGCTTTGCCTCTACCATCTCCCTAACTCCAGAACAAAGATCCACTCTCTCTATATATACACTCTGTTACAAGTCTCTCCACGAACATCTGGTCATCCTCATGGGCACTCCCATTCTTGGATGTTATTACCCTTTACCACTGTCAGTATATCCTGTCCATCAATTATTCTAAGATCAACATCAGTAATCTCCTTTGACATAACGGAATGTAGACTCCGTGGCACCAAACCCCTTATCTAGTAACTCTAACCTGATCCCCACGATACTATGACATGACATCATTACACTAAGATACCTTAGAGTGAACTACACGCTTGACTGACTGGTTGTTTATTCCTATTTCTGATTTATAGGCAATATACATTGCGAAATTCCAGAAAGAGAAGGAACTGTATGAGAAAAGCATGAGGAGGTTGAGGTAAAAATGTATTGAGCTGTCTCTTGCTTTCTGGATTTCATAGATACATCATGTTTGTTGACTTTCTAAAGTCTCACCTGAACCAATGCTCCTCCAGGAAAGAGTACACTGGGGTGAAGAAGGTACGGAGAGACTGTTTAAAGAACATAAAAGGGCCCCTCACACCCCACGGGCTGTGGTACCGCCACGAGAGGAGGAAATTCCTTCTAGCCAACCCAGATGTGAGTGTCATAGCTGTCAGCCAATTTAATGTCATCTGTTCAAGGCTTATGTTTTTGTTGAAATATCCTACAAGGCTAGCTAGTGGAGGGGTGGGAAATGTTATACTGCAAGGGCCGGTGTGGCTTCAGAGTTCAGCAACCTGCTTCTACTAATCAACTTATAATACTTTTTAATCAAGCCTTTAATTAGTTGAATCACCTACACTACTGGTCAAAAGTTTTTGAACACCTACTCATTCAAGGGTTTTTCTTTATTTAGACTATTTTCTACATTGTAGAATAATAGTGAAGACATCAAAACAATGAAATAACACATATGGAATCATGTAGTAACCAAAAAAGTGTTAAACAAATCAAAATATATGTTATATTTGAGATTCTTCAAATAACCATCCTTTGCCTTGATGACAGCTTTGCATACTCTTGGCATTCTCTCAACCAGCTTCACCTGGAATGCTTTTCCAACAGTCTTGAAGGAGTTCCCACATGCTGAGCACTTGTTGGCTGCTTTTCCTTCACTCTGCGGTCCAACTCATCCCAAACCATCTCAATTTGGTTGAGGTCAGGGGATTGTGGAGGCCAGGTCATCTGATGCAGCACTCCATCACTCTCCTTCTTGGTAAAATAGCCCTTACATAGCCTGGAGGTGTGTTGGGTCAACAAATGACAGTCCCACTAAGCCCAAACCAGATGGGATGGTGTATCACTGCAGAATGCTGTGGTAGCCATGCTGGTTAAGTGTGCCTTGAATTCTAAATAAATCACAGACAGTGTCACCAGCAAAGCACCCCCACACCATAACACCTCCTCCTCCATGCTTTACGGTGGGAACTACACGTGGAGATCATCCATTCACCCACACCCGTCTCACAAAGAATGAGTAGGTGTTCTAAAACTTTTGACCGGTAGTGTATGTTATTGCATGTTCTTTATATAGAGGAATTACTTATTATCCTGACCACCCACTGACTGTTCCAATACACAATTCATTTAATGTAACCATTATTTATACAGGTTAGTCTTACTGATAAATCTACATTGCATAAGAAACAGATTAACTGCAGAAAGATCTAGCAGGTGACATAGCATCATGTCTCTCTCCCCAGGCCAGAGGAGACTGTATCAGGCAGAGTATTGAGCAGAAAAAGCGCTGGTCCGAGCTGCCCGACAAGGAGAAACTCAAGTGGATCAAGCGCTCTCTTGAGCAGCAGACACAGTATGAGGAGGTGGGTGTTTTGCTGGTGTCTTTATCGCCTAGAATACCTAACTGGTCAAAATCGACTGTAAGGAGTCGACATGTATACACTACGGCTAGGCAGAGTCTTATCCAGAGCAGTTGGGAATCTGTTTATTTCAGTCACTGATTTGTACTCTCATTTCTGGACTATGCTCAGTCTGTCAGAGCTATACTGAACAAAAATGTTAATGCAACAATTTCAAAGATTTTACTGAGTTACAGTTCATATAAGGAAATCAGTAAATTGAAATACATTTGTTAGGCCCTAATCTATAGATTTCACATGACTGGGCAGGGGCACAGCCATGGGTGGGCCTGGGAGGGCATAGCCAACCAATTTGGGAGCCAGGCCCACCCACTGGGGAGCCAGGCCCAGCCAATCAGAATGAGTTTCTCCCCACAAAAGGACTTTATTACAGACAAAAGTACTCCTCAGTCATTGTCCCCAGCACAAGGTGCACCTGTGTAATGATCATGCTGTTTAATCAGATTCTTGATATACCTCACCTGTCAGGTGGATGGATTATCTTGGCAAAGGAGAAATGCTCACTAACTGGGATGTAAACAAATTTGTGCACAATTTGAGAAAAAATATGCTTTTTGTACATACAGAACATTTCTGGGATCTTTTTATTTCAGCTCATGAAACATGGGTTCAACACTTTACATCAGGGTTCTTTAATTCCGGTCCTGGAGGGCCGAAACACCTCTGTTTTTCATCCTCTCCTTCTAATCAGGGGCTAATTCAGACCTGGGACACCAGGTGAGTGCAATTAACTACCAGGTATAAATAAAAAACAGAAGTGTTTCGGCCCTCCAGGACCAGAATTGAAGAACCCTGCTTTACATGTTGCGTTATATTGTTGTTCAGTATGTGTTCACTTCACTATCACAACGTTCCACAACACATTTATGGTTTAGGTTGTTGTTTTTGCATCACATGAATCACAGATTATGGTCCTCTGTAGCTCAGCTGGTAGAGCACGGCGCTTGAAACGCCAAGGTAGTAGGTTCGATCCCCGGGACCACCATACACAAAAAATGTATGCGCTCATGACTGTAAGTCGCTTTGGATAAAAGCGTCTGCTAAATGGCATATTTATGAATCACTGAACCATGAACAACTCATGTTGCAGGAGGAGATGGAGGAGCACCCAGAGAGTAAGGGCAGTCGGAAGGCCAAGCATAAGCCGCTTCTGCGCAAGAGTGAGAGACTGTTGAAGGACTTGGCAGACGGCAAGCCTGACAAACCCCCATGGTAAGTCACTGGGCCTACCTTTACCATAAAGGCCTACCTTTTGCCAAAGTGGTAACCATTGCATGAGTAAACAGATAGTCGAACACACTAAATATGCTCCCAATAATTTAGTGGGTAAACAACATTTCTGCACATAGTACCTTCTTCAGGCTTGAACGTTGGTTAACCCATACAATTATTGGGAGTATATTTATTTATGTATACTATTCCGTTAGTCAGCACCTCTCCAACATTATTGGGTGTGTACCCACTCATTTACATTTTACATTTTAGTCATTTAGCAGACGCTCTTATCCAGAGTGACTTACAGTTAGTGAGTGCATACATTATTTTATTTTTCATACTGGCCCCCCTTGGGAATCAAACCCACAACCCTGGCGTTGCAAACGCCATGCTCTACCAACTGAGCTACATCCCTGCCGACCATTCCCTCCCCTACCCTGGACGACGCTGGGCCAATTGTGTGCCGCCCCATGGGTCTCCTGGTCGCGGCCGCCTACGACAGAGCCTGGATTCGAACCAGGATCTCTAGTGGCACAGCTAGTACTGCGATGCAGTGCCTTAGACCACTGCGCCACTCGTGCCTTTTACAGAACTATTGCATGAGTGCCGATTCATTTTCCCATATAGGTCAAAGTTGATTACGTTTTCAATATACAGTGTATTCAGACCCCTTGACTTTTTTACACATTTTGTTACGTTACAGCCTTATTCTAAAAATGATTAAACAATTATTATTAGAATTTTTCCCCCTCATCAATCTGCACACAATACCCCCCCCCCCCCCCCCCCCCCCCCATAATGACAAAGCGAAAACAGGTTTTTAGAAATGTTTGCAATTTATAAAACATTTAAAAAAGAAATATCTTATTTACTTACAGTTGAAGTTGGAAGTTTACATACACTTACAGTGAGGGAAAAAAGTATTTGATCCCTTGCTGATTTTGTACGTTTGCCCACTGACAAAGACATGATCAGTCTATCATTTTAATGGTAGGTTTATTTGAACAGTGAGAGACAGAATAACAACAACAAAATCCAGAAAAATGCATGTCAAAAATGTTATAAATTGATTTGCATTTTAATGAGGGAAATAAGTATTTGACCCCTCTGCAAAACATGACTTAGTACTTGGTGGCAAAACCCTTGTTGGCAATCACAGAGGTCAGACGTTTCTTGTAGTTGGCCACCAGGTTTGCACACATCTCAGGAGGGATTTTGTCCCACTCCTCTTTGCAGATCTTCTCCAAGTCATTAAGGTTTCGAGGCTGACGTTTGGCAACTCAAACCTTCAGCTCCCTCCACAGATTTTCTATGGGATTAAGGTCTGGAGACTGGCTAGGCCACTCCAGGACCTTAATGTGCTTCTTCTTGAGCCACTCCTTTGTTGCCTTGGCCGTGTGTTTTGGGTCATTGTCATGCTGGAATACCCATCCACGACCCATTTTCAATGCCCTAGCTGAGGGAAGGAGGTTCTCACCCAAGATTTGACGGTACATGGCCCCGTCCATCGTCCCTTTGATGTGGTGAAGTTGTCCTGTCCCCTTAGCAGAAAAAAACCACCAAAGCATAATGTTTCCACCTCCATGTTTGACGGTGGGGATGGTGTTCTTGGGGTCATAGGCAGCATTCCTCCTCCTCCAAACACGGTGAGTTGAGTTGATGCCAAAGAGCTCCATTTTGGTCTCATCTGACCACAACACTTTCACCCAGTTCTCCTCTGAATCATTCAGATGTTCATTGGCAAACTTCAGACGGGCCTGTATATGTGCTTTCTTGAGCAGGAGGAGCTTGCGGGCGCTGCAGGATTTCAGTCCTTCACGGCGTAGTGTGTTACCAATTGTTTTCTTGGTGACTATGGTCCCAGCTGCCTTGAGATCATTCACAAGATCCTCCCGTGTAGTTCTGGGCTGATTCCTCACCGTTCTCATGATCATTGCAACTCCACGAGGTGAGATCTTGCATGGAGCCCCAGGCCGAGGGAGATTGATAGTTATTTTGTGTTTCTTCTATTTGCGAATAATCGCACCAACTGTTGTCACCTTCTCACCAAGCTGCTTGGCGATGGTCTTGTAGCCCATTCCAGCCTTGTGTAGGTCTACAATCTTGTTCGTGACATCCTTGGAGAGCTCTTTGGTCTTGGCCATGGTGGAGAGTTTGGAATCTGATTGATTGATTGCTTCTGTGGACAGGTGTCTTTTTATACAGGTAACAAACTGAGATTAGGAGCACTCCCTTTAAGAGTGTGCTCCTAATCTCAGCTTGTTACCTGTATAAAAGACACCTGGGAGCCAGAAATCTTTCTGATTGAGAGGGGGTCAAATACTTATTTCCCTCACTGTAGGTTGGAGTCAATAAAACTCATTTTTCAACCACTCCACACATTTCTTGTTAACAAACTATCGTTTTGGCAAGTCGGTTAGGACATCTACTTTGTGCATGACACAAGTAGTTTTTCCAACAATTGTTTACAGACAGATTATTTCACTTATAATTTACTGTATCATAATTCCAGTGGGTCAGACGTTTACATACACTGAGTTGACTGTGCCTTTAAACAGCTTGGAAAATTCCAGAAAATGATGTCATGGCTTTAGAAGCTTCTGATAGGCTAATTGACATAATTTGAGTCAATTGGAGGTGTACCTGTGGATGTATTTCAAGGCCTACCTTAAAATCCAGTGCCTTTTTGCTTGACATCATGGGAAAATCAAAAGAAATCAGCCAAGACCTCAGAAAATAATTGTAGACCTCCACCTCTGGTTCATCCTTGGGAGCAATTTCCAAACGCCTGAACGTACAACGTTCATCTGTACAAACAATAGTATGCAAATATAAACACCATGGGACCACGCAGCCGTCATACCGCTCAGGAAGGAGACGCGTTCTGTCTCCTAGAGATGAACGTACTTTGGTGCGAAAAGTGCAAATCAATCCCAGAACAACAGCAAAGGACCTTGTGAAGATGCTGGAGGAAACAGGTACAAAAGTATCTATATCCACAGTAAAACGAGTCCTATATCGACATAACCTGAAAGGCCGCTCAGCAAGGAAGAAGCCACTGTTCCAAAACCGCCATAAAAAAGACAGATTACGGTTTGCAACTGCACATGGGGACAAAGATTATACTTTTTGGAGAAATGTCCTCTGGTCTGATGAAACAAAAATATAACTGTTTGGCCATAATGACCATCGTTATGTTTGGAGGAAAAAGAAGGGCCTTGCAAGCCGAAGAACACCATCCCAACCGTGAAGCACGGGGGTAGCAGCATTATTCTGTGGGGGTGCTTTGCTGCAGGAGGGACTGGTGCACATCACAAAATAGATGGCATCATAGCAACATCTCAAGACATCAGTCAGGAAGTTAAAGCTTGGTCGCAAACAGGTCTTCCAAATGGACAATGACCCCAAGCATACTTCCAAAGTTGTGGCAAAATGGCTTAAGGACAATAAAGTCAAGGTATTGGAGTGGCCATCACAAATCCCTGACCTCAATCCTATAGAAAATGTGTGGGCAGAACTGAAAAAGTGAGGCCTCATGGCTTGGTTTAGCTCTGACATGCACTGTCAACTGTGGGACCTTATATAGACAGGTGTGCCTTTCCAAATCATGTCCAATCAATTGAATTTACCACAGGTGGACTTCAACCAAGTTGTAGAAACATCCCAAGGATGATCAATGGAAACAGGATGCACCTGAGCTCAATTGAGAGTCTCATAGCAAAAGGACTGAATACTTACAGTTGAAGTCGGAAGTTTACATACACCTTAGCCAAATACATTTAAACTCAGTTTATCACAATTCCTGACATTTAATCCTAGTAAGAAATCCATGTCTTATGTCAGTTAGGATCACCACTTTATTTTAAGAATGTGAAATGTCAGAATAATAGTTGAGAGACTGATTTATTTCAGCTTTTATTTCTTTCATTATATTCCCAGTGGGTCAGAAGTTTACATACACTCAATTAGTATTTGGTAGCATTGCCTTTACATTGTTTAACTTGGGTCAAATGTTTCAGGTAGCCTTCCACAAGCTTCCCATAATAAGTTGGGTGAATTTTGGCCCATTCCTCCTGACAGAGCTGGTGTAACTAAGTCAGGTTTGTAGGTCTGTCACACCCTGGCCTTGAGAGGCCTGTTGTCTTTAGTTGGTTTGGTCAGGGCGTGAGAATCTATGCTGGAAATTCTATGTTTGTGATCTAGGTAGTGTATTTCTATGTTGGGCCGGGTGTGATTCCCAATCAGAGACAGCTGTCGCTCGTTGTCTCTGATTGGGGATCATACTTAAGTAGCCTGTTTGCCTACCTTAATTGTGGGATCTTGTTCCGTGTTAGGCTTGCATGTGTTTAGCTTGAGGACTTCACGTTACGTTGTTTCTTGTTTTGTTTAATGTTTATTTTGTTTAATAAACATGTTCAAATACCACGCTGCACCTTGGTCTGACCCGTCTCTCAACGATCGTGACAAGGTCGAAGGAATTGTCCGCAGAGCTCCGAAACAGGATTGTGTCGAGGCACAGATCTGGGGAAGGGTACCAAAAAATGTCTCTAGCATTGAAGGTCACCAAGAACACAGTGGCCTCCATCATTCTTAAATGGAAGAAGTTTGGAACCACCAAGACTCTTCCTAGACCAGGCTGCCCGGCCAAACTGAGCAATTGGGGAGAAGGGCCTTGGTCAGGGAGGTGACCAAGAACTCGATGTTCACTCTGACAGAGCTCTAGAGTTCCTCTCTGGAGATGGGAGAACCTTCTAGAAGGACAACCATCTCTGCAGCACTCCACCAATCAGGCCTTTATGGTAGATTGGCCAGACGGAGGCCACTCCTCAGCAAAAGGCACATGACAGCCCGCTTGGAGTTTGGCAAAAGGCATCTAAAGGACTCTGACCATGAGAAACAAGATTCTCTGGTCTGATGAAACCAAGATTGAACTCTTTGGCCTGAATGCCAAGCGTCACGTCTGGAGGAAACCTGGCACCATCCCTACGGTGAAGCATGGTGGTGGCAGCAGCATGCTGTGGGGATGTTTTTCAGCGTTAGGGACTGGGAGACTAGTCAGGATCAAGGGAAAGATGAACGGAGCAAAGTACAGAGAGATCCTTGATGAAAACCTGCTCCAGAGCGCTCAGAACCTCAGACTGGGGCGAAGGTTCACCCTAAGCACACAGCCAAGACAACGCAGGAGTGGTTTCGGGACAAGTCTCTAAATGTCCTTGAGTGGCCCAGTAAGAGCCCGGACTTGAACCCGATCTAACATCTCTGGAGAGACCTGAAAATGGCTGTGCAGCGATGCTGCCCATCCAACCTGACAGAGCTTGAGAGGATCTGCCGAGAAGAATGGGAGAAACTCCCCAAATACAGGTGTGCCAAGCTTGTAGCGTCATACCCAATAAGGCTCAAGGCTGTAATCGCTGCCAAAGGTGCTTCAACAAAGTACTGAGTAAAGCTTCTGAATACTTATGTAAATGTGATATTTCAGATTTGTATTTTTTATAAATTTGCAAAAATATCTAAATCTGTTTTTGCTTTGTCATTATGGGGTAGTGTGTGTAGATTGATGAGGGGGGATTTAAAAAAAAAAAATCAATTTTAGAATAAGGCTGTAATTTAACAAAATCAGGAAGAAGTCAAGGGGTCTTAATACTTTCCGAATGCACTGTAAATGGACATGTCATATTTACGGTGATGGATTTTGTGATCATAACTGCTTTTAGGGTTGAGTTGACCATGTGTTTGTGTTTTAGGAACGGTTACAACCTTTTCTGTAAGGAGCAGAAAGCCATCATACAGGGAGAGGGAGTCCCTAACACCCAGTATATGGTAATTTGCTCCCAGCGCTGGAAAACAATGACAAAGAGTAAAAAGGAAGCCTACCAAAGACGCTGTGACAAGGTTAATTGGAGAACATGCATGCTCATTTTTATAAATGTAGAGAAGTTCAGTAAAAGTTACACACACTCAAATACACTATTCTTCATCTGTTAAACTCGTTTTGGTATTTATTTTCATGTTTGGGGGCAAGTCCGTTGAGAAGCTGCTCTTTTAATGTCTTGTTGTGTAGACAGACACATGAATGGTCTGACCTCCAATTCAACTTTTTCTGTGTTCATTTTTCAGTTGAAGAAAGAATACGAGGTCAACATGAACCGATTTTTGTGTGTAAGTTTTCTCTTTATTTCAAAAACTGTCTGCTTGTGTGACCACATTATTTACAGAAACATTTGTAATGGCTGATTAGCATGTTAGATGAACACTTAAGCTGAGGATACACTTTTGAGGCAATATTTCCGAGAAATGTTGCTGGTAACAGAGTGGGGTATGAGACACTGGCGCAATAATGAGCAATGAGCAATATGGACATGAATAATAAATATATTATTATATTTCATATGAAGTATATATGAACTTCAAACTGATTTTCCCCATTTATTTACTCACCACCTATAGCTTGTTGTTGCCTTTTGACTGACATATATGTACTGTAATTGATCCGCTAACAAACAAGCAACAAAGAGTTGTTGCCCCTGCCCTGGGCATCCACTCAACCTACTGCCAGTCAAGTCAGTGGCAATGCAGACGTAAGGATAACTAGGCCTAGATTTAGAAAACATTTTACTTTACAATTCTAAGCAAGGAAGTGTAAATGGTATTCATCCAGCTAGCCAGTTATTTTAACATTCAGAAAACAACATATAAAATCTACATGCCTAGCTAGCTAGCGAATTAGCCTGTTTGTCCCATTGACTTAGCATGGGTTTAGGTTAGCATGGTATCGATTAGCATGCACACCAGCGTGGTTAAACATGACAAACTAAACGCAGTATGTACAGTGCATTTGGAAAGTATTCAGACCCCTTGACTTTTTTCACATTTTGTTACGTTACAGCCTTATTCTAAAATTGATTAACTTATTTTTTTCCCCTCAATCTACACACAATACCCCATAATGATAAAGCGAAAACAGTTTTTTAGACATTTTTGCAAATATATTAATAAAAAACATACTTTATTTACATAAGTATTCAGACCCTTTGCTATGAGACTCGAAATTGAGCTCCGGTGCATCCTGTTTCCATTGATCATCCTTGGGATGTTTCTACAACTTGGTTGAAGTCCACCTGTGGTAAATTCAATTGATTGGACATGATTTGGAAAGGCACACCTGTCTATATAAGGTCCCACAGTTGACAGTGCATGTCAGAGCAAAAACCAAGCCATGAGGTCGAAGGAATTGTCTGTAGAGCGTTGAGACAGGATTGTGTCGAGGTGCAGATCTGGGGAAGGGCACCACAACAGGACAACGACCCTAAGGACACAGCCAAGACAACGCAGGAGTGGCTTCGGGACAAGTCTCTGAATGTCCTTGAGTGGCCCAGCCAGAGCCCGGACTTGAACCCGATCTAACATCTCTGGAGAGACCTGAAAATAGCTGTGCAGCGATGCTCCCCATCCAACCTGACAGAGGTTGAGAGGATCTGCAGAGATTAATGTGAGAAACTCCCCAAATACAGGTGGGCCAAGTTTGTAGCGTCATACCCAAGAGAACTCGAGACTGTAATTGCTGCCAAAGGTGCTTCAACAAAGTACTGAGTAAAAGGTCTGAATACTCACGTAAATGTGATATTTCCGTTTTTTTTTATACATTTGCAAAAATGTCAACCTGTTTTTGCTTCGTCATTCTAGGGTATCGTGTAGATTTATGATATTTTAAAATATTTTTTTATCAATTTTAGAATAACGCTGTAACATAACAAAATGTGGAAAAAGTGAAGGGGTCTAAATACTTTACAAATGCACTGTATGTATTAACGTATCATGAATATTGTAGTGAGGAAACATTTGAGATGTGAATGGCCAACATTTTCTCTCACTTGAGCTCAAAAACGTCTGCTATGTTTTCCAAAATATTTTAGAACGGCAGATTGATCACATGACCAATACAGTGGGGAAAAAAAGTATTTAGTCAGCCACCAATTGTGCAAGTTCTCCCACTTAAAAAGATGAGAGAGGCCTGTAATTTTCATCATAGGTACACGTCAACTATGACAGACAAAATGAGAAAAAATTATCCAGAAAATCACATTGTAGGATTTTTAATGAATTTATTGGCAAATGATGGTGGAAAATAAGTATTTGGTCAATAACAAAAGTTTCTCAATACTTTGTTATATACCCTTTGTTGGCAATGACACAGGTCAAACGTTTTCTGTAAGTCTTCACAAGGTTTTCACACACTGTTTCTGGTATTTTGGCCCATTCCTCCATGCAGATCTCCTCTAGAGCAGTGATGTTTTGGGGCTGTCGCTGGGCAACACAGACTTTCAACTCCCTCCAAAGATTATCTATGGGGTTGAGATCTGGAGACTGGCTAGGCCACTCCAGGACCTTGAAATGCTTCTTACGAAGCCACTCCTTCGTTGCCCGGGCGGTGTGTTTGGGATCATTGTCATGCTGAAAGACTCAGCCACGTTTCATCTTCAATGCCCTTGCTGATGGAAGGAGGTTTTCACTCAAAATCTCACGATACATGGCCCCATTCATTCTTACCTTTACAGGGATCAGTCGTCCTGGTCCCTTTGCAGAAAAACAGCCCCAAAGCATGATGTTTCCACCCCCATGCTTCACAGTAGGTATGGTGTTCTTTGGATGCAACTCAGCATTCTTTGTCCTCCAAACATGACGAGTTGAGTTTTTACCAAAAAGTTATATTTTGGTTTCATCTGACCATATGACATTCTCCCAATCCTCTTCTGGATCATCCAAATGCACTTCAGACGGGCCTGGACATGTACTGGCTTAAGCAGGGGGACACGTCTTGCACTGCAGGATTTGAGTCCCTGGCGGCGTAGTGTGTTACTGATGGTAGGCTTTGTTACTTTGGTCCCAGCTCTCTGCAGGTCATTCACTAGGTCCCCCCGTGTGGTTCTGGGATTTTTGCTCACCGTTCTTGTGATCATTTTGACCCCACGGGGTGAGATCTTGCGTGGAGCCCCAGATCGAGGGAGATTATCAGTGGTCTTGTATGTCTTCCATTTCCTAATAATTGCTCCCACAGTTGATTTCTTCAAACCAAGCTGCTTACCTATTGCAGATTCAGTCTTCCCAGCCTGGTGCAGGTCTACAATTTTGTTTCTGGTGTCCTTTGACAGCTCTTTGGTCTTGGCCATTGTGGAGTTTGGAGTGTGACTGTTTGAGGTTGTGGACAGGTGTCTTTTATACTGATAACAAGTTCAAACAGGTGCCATTAATACAGGTAACGAGTGGAGGACAGAGGAGCCTCTTAAAGAAGAAGTTACAGGTCTGTGAGAGCCAGAAATCTTGCTTGTTTGTAGGTGACCAAATACTTATTTTCCACCATAATTTGCAAATAAATTCATAAAAAATCCTACGATGTGATTTTCTGGATTTTTTTTCCTCAATTTGTCTGTCATAGTTGACGTGTACCTATGATGAAAATTACAGGCCTCTCTCATCTTTTTAAGTGGGAGAACTTGCACAATTGGTGGCTGACTAAATACTTTTTTTCCCCACTGTATCTACACTCTGATTGGAGGATTCCTAAACATTGCTCAGCAATATTGCCCCCCAAAATTACCAATGTATCGTGGCCTTTAGTCATAATGTGGTCATAATGCTGTCAGAAACATGGGGCTTGTGTGTGTCCAATCAGACTGTGACAGATAAGGAGCAGCAGAGCATCCTAGTGGAGAACAGGAAAAGCGTGCAGACCTCAACGTTGGCTGCCCAAAAGGGGACGAAAATTAAGTTTCAAGGCGAGCCCAAGAAACCACCTGAGTGAGTATCCCTGGCTGTGGCCCAACTGTTCTCCTTATAAGGGATCTGAGTTTGTTAAAGTACTTCTGAACGTTGGTTAACCCATACAATTATTGGGAGGATATTTATTTATGTATACTATTCCGTTAGTCAGCACCTCTCCAACATTATTGGGTGTGTACCCACTCATTTACATTTTACATTTTAGTCATTTAGCAGACGCTCTTATCCAGAGTGACTTACAGTTAGTGAGTGCATACATTATTTTATTTTTCATACTGGCCCCCCTTGGGAATCAAACCCACAACCCTGGCGTTGCAAACGCCATGCTCTACCAACTGAGCTACATCCCTGCCGACCATTCCCTCCCCTACCCTGGACGACGCTGGGCCAATTGTGTGCCGCCCCATGGGTCTCCTGGTCGCGGCCGCCTACGACAGAGCCTGGATTCGAACCAGGATCTCTAGTGGCACAGCTAGTACTGCGATGCAGTGCCTTAGACCACTGCGCCACTCGTGCCTTTTACAGAACTATTGCATGAGTGCCGATTCATTTTCCCATATAGGTCAAAGTTGATTACGTTTTCAATATACAGTGTATTCAGACCCCTTGACTTTTTTACACATTTTGTTACGTTACAGCCTTATTCTAAAAATTATTAAACAATTATTATTAGAATTTTTCCCCCTCATCAATCTACACACAATACCCCCCCCCCCCCCCCCCCATAATGACAAAGCGAAAACAGGTTTTTAGAAATGTTTGCTAGTTTATAAAAAATTTAAAAAAGAAATATCTTATTTACTTACAGTTGAAGTTGGAAGTTTACATACACTTACAGTGAGGGAAAAAAGTATTTGATCCCTTGCTGATTTTGTACGTTTGCCCACTGACAAAGACATGATCAGTCTATCATTTTAATGGTAGGTTTATTTGAACAGTGAGAGACAGAATAACAACAAAAAAATCCAGAAAAATGCATGTCAAAAATGTTATAAATTGATTTGCATTTTAATGAGGGAAATAAGTATTTGACCCCTCTGCAAAACATGATTTACTTGGTGGCAAAACCCTTGTTGGCAATCACAGAGGTCAGACGTTTCTTGTAGGTTGCCACCAAGTTTGCACACATCTCAGGAGGGATTTTGTCCCACTCCTCTTTGCAGATCTTCTCCAAGTCATTAAGGTTTCGAGGCTGACGTTTGGCAACTCAAACCTTCAGCTCCCTCCACAGATTTTCTATGGGATTAAGGTCTGGAGACTGGCTAGGCCACTCCAGGACCTTAATGTGCTTCTTCTTGAGCCACTCCTTTGTTGCCTTGGCCGTGTGTTTTGGGTCATTGTCATGCTGGAATACCCATCCACGACCTATTTTCAATGCCCTAGCTGAGGGAAGGAGGTTCTCACCCAAGATTTGACGGTACATGGCCCCGTCCATTGTCCCTTTGATGTGGTGAAGTTGTCCTGTCCCCTTAGCAGAAAAAAACCACCAAAGCATAATGTTTCCACCTCCATGTTTGACGGTGGGGATGGTGTTCTTGGGGTCATAGGCAGCATTCCTCCTCCTCCAAACACGGTGAGTTGAGTTGATGCCAAAGAGCTCCATTTTGGTCTCATCTGACCACAACACTTTCACCCAGTTCTCCTCTGAATCATTCAGATGTTCATTGGCAAACTTCAGACGGGCCTGTATACGTGCTTTCTTGAGCAGGAGGAGCTTGCGGACGCTGCAGGATTTCAGTCCTTCACGGCGTAGTGTGTTACCAATTGTTTTCTTGGTGACTATGGTCCCAGCTGCCTTGAGATCATTCACAAGATCCTCCCGTGTAGTTCTGGGCTGATTCCTCACCGTTCTCATGATCATTGCAACTCCACGAGGTGAGATCTTGCATGGAGCCCCAGGCCGAGGGAGATTGATAGTTATTTTTTGTTTCTTCTATTTGCGAATAATCGCACCAACTGTTGTCACCTTCTCACCAAGCTGCTTGGCGATGGTCTTGTAGCCCATTCCAGCCTTGTGTAGGTCTACAATCTTGTTCGTGACATCCTTGGAGAGCTCTTTGGTCTTGGCCATGGTGGAGAGTTTGGAATCTGATTGATTGATTGCTTCTGTGGACAGGTGTCTTTTATACAGGTAACAAACTGAGATTAGGAGCACTCCCTTTAAGAGTGTGCTCCTAATCTCAGCTTGTTACCTGTATAAAAGACACCTGGGAGCCAGAAATCTTTCTGATTGAGAGGGGGTCAAATACTTATTTCCCTCATTAAAATGCAAATCAATTTTTGACATGCATTTTTCTGGATTTTTGTTGTTGTTATTCTGTCTCTCACTGTTCAAATAAACCTACCATTAAAATTGTAGACTGATCATTTATTTGTCAGTGGGCAAATGTACAAAATCAGGAGGGGATCAAATACTTATTTCCCTCACTGTAGGTTGGAGTCAATAAAACTCATTTTTCAACCACTCCACACATTTCTTGTTAACAAACTATCGTTTTGGCAAGTCGGTTAGGACATCTACTTTGTGCATGACACAAGTAGTTTTTCCAACAATTGTTTACAGACAGATTATTTCACTTATAATTTACTGTATCATAATTCCAGTGGGTCAGACGTTTACATACACTGAGTTGACTGTGCCTTTAAACAGCTTGGAAAATTCCAGAAAATGATGTCATGGCTTTAGAAGCTTCTGATAGGCTAATTGACATAATTTGAGTCAATTGGAGGTGTACCTGTGGATGTATTTCAAGGCCTACCTTAAAATCCAGTGCCTTTTTGCTTGACATCATGGGAAAATCAAAAGAAATCAGCCAAGACCTCAGAAAATAATTGTAGACCTCCACCTCTGGTTCATCCTTGGGAGCAATTTCCAAACGCCTGAACGTACAACGTTCATCTGTACAAACAATAGTATGCAAGTATAAACACCATGGGACCACGCAGCCGTCATACCGCTCAGGAAGGAGACGCGTTCTGTCTCCTAGAGATGAACGTACTTTGGTGCGAAAAGTGCAAATCAATCCCAGAACAACAGCAAAGGACCTTGTGAAGATGCTGGAGGAAACAGGTACAAAAGTATCTATATCCACAGTAAAACGAGTCCTATATCGACATAACCTGAAAGGCCGCTCAGCAAGGAAGAAGCCACTGTTCCAAAACCGCCATAAAAAAGACAGACTACGGTTTGCAACTGCACATGGGGACAAAGATTATACTTTTTGGAGAAATGTCCTCTGGTCTGATGAAACAAAAATATAACTGTTTGGCCATAATGACCATCGTTATGTTTGGAGGAAAAAGATGGGCCTTGCAAGCCGAAGAACACCATCCCAACCGTGAAGAACGGGGGTAGCAGCATTATTCTGTGGGGGTGCTTTGCTGCAGGAGGGACTGGTGCACATCACAAAATAGATGGCATCATAGCAACATCTCAAGACATCAGTCAGGAAGTTAAAGCTTGGTCGCAAACAGGTCTTCCAAATGGACAATGACCCCAAGCATACTTCCAAAGTTGTGGCAAAATGGCTTAAGGACAATAAAGTCAAGGTATTGGAGTGGCCATCACAAATCCCTGACCTCAATCCTATAGAAAATGTGTGGGCAGAACTGAAAAAGTGAGGCCTCATGGCTTGGTTTAGCTCTGACATGCACTGTCAACTGTGGGACCTTATATAGACAGGTGTGCCTTTCCAAATCATGTCCAATCAATTGAATTTACCACAGGTGGACTTCAACCAAGTTGTAGAAACATCCCAAGGATGATCAATGGAAACAGGATGCACCTGAGCTCAATTGAGAGTCTCATAGCAAAAGGACTGAATACTTACAGTTGAAGTCGGAAGTTTACATACACCTTAGCCAAATACATTTAAACTCAGTTTATCACAATTCCTGACATTTAATCCTAGTAAGAAATCCATGTCTTATGTCAGTTAGGATCACCACTTTATTTTAAGAATGTGAAATGTCAGAATAATAGTAGAGAGACTGATTTATTTCAGCTTTTATTTCTTTCATTATATTCCCAGTGGGTCAGAAGTTTACATACACTCAATTAGTATTTGGTAGCATTGCCTTTACATTGTTTAACTTGGGTCAAATGTTTCAGGTAGCCTTCCACAAGCTTCCCACAATAAGTTGGGTGAATTTTGGCCCATTCCTCCTGACAGAGCTGGTGTAACTGAGTCAGGTTTGTAGGTCTGTCACACCCTGGCCTTGAGAGGCCTGTTGTCTTTAGTTGGTTTGGTCAGGGCGTGAGAATCTATGCTGGAAATTCTATGTTTGTGATCTAGGTAGTGTATTTCTATGTTGGGCCGGGTGTGATTCCCAATCAGAGACAGCTGTCGCTCGTTGTCTCTGATTGGGGATCATACTTAAGTAGCCTGTTTGCCTACCTTAATTGTGGGATCTTGTTCCGTGTTAGGCTTGCATGTGTTTAGCTTGAGGACTTCACGTTACGTTGTTTCTTGTTTTGTTTAATGTTTATTTTGTTTAATAAACATGTTCAAATACCACGCTGCACCTTGGTCTGACCCGTCTCTCAACGATCGTGACAAGGTCGAAGGAATTGTCCACAGAGCTCCGAAACAGGATTGTGTCGAGGCACAGATCTGGGGAAGGGTACCAAAAAATGTCTCTAGCATTGAAGGTCACCAAGAACACAGTGGCCTCCATCATTCTTAAATGGAAGAAGTTTGGAACCACCAAGACTCTTCCTAGACCAGGCTGCCCGGCCAAACTGAGCAATTGGGGAGAAGGGCCTTGGTCAGGGAGGTGACCAAGAACTCGATGTTCACTCTGACAGAGCTCTAGAGTTCCTCTCTGGAGATGGGAGAACCTTCTAGAAGGACAACCATCTCTGCAGCACTCCACCAATCAGGCCTTTATGGTAGATTGGCCAGACGGAGGCCACTCCTCAGCAAAAGGCACATGACAGCCCGCTTGGAGTTTGGCAAAAGGCATCTAAAGGACTCTGACCATGAGAAACAAGATTCTCTGGTCTGATGAAACCAAGATTGAACTCTTTGGCCTGAATGCCAAGCGTCACGTCTGGAGGAAACCTGGCACCATCCCTACGGTGAAGCATGGTGGTGGCAGCAGCATGCTGTGGGGATGTTTTTCAGCGTTAGGGACTGGGAGACTAGTCAGGATCAAGGGAAAGATGAACGGAGCAAAGTACAGAGAGATCCTTGATGAAAACCTGCTCCAGAGCGCTCAGAACCTCAGACTGGGGCGAAGGTTCACCCTAAGCACACAGCCAAGACAACGCAGGAGTGGTTTCGGGACAAGTCTCTAAATGTCCTTGAGTGGCCCAGTAAGAGCCCGGACTTGAACCCGATCTAACATCTCTGGAGAGACCTGAAAATGGCTGTGCAGCGATGCTGCCCATCCAACCTGACAGAGCTTGAGAGGATCTGCCGAGAAGAATGGGAGAAACTCCCCAAATACAGGTGTGCCAAGCTTGTAGCGTCATACCCAATAAGGCTCAAGGCTGTAATCGCTGCCAAAGGTGCTTCAACAAAGTACTGAGTAAAGCTTCTGAATACTTATGTAAATGTGATATTTCAGATTTGTATTTTTTATAAATTTGCAAAAATATCTAAATCTGTTTTTGCTTTGTCATTATGGGGTAGTGTGTGTAGATTGATGAGGGGGGATTTAAAAAAAAAAAATCAATTTTAGAATAAGGCTGTAATTTAACAAAATCAGGAAGAAGTCAAGGGGTCTTAATACTTTCCGAATGCACTGTAAATGGACATGTCATATTTACGGTGATGGATTTTGTGATCATAACTGCTTTTAGGGTTGAGTTGACCATGTGTTTGTGTTTTAGGAACGGTTACAACCTTTTCTGTAAGGAGCAGAAAGCCATCATACAGGGAGAGGGAGTCCCTAACACCCAGTATATGGTAATTTGCTCCCAGCGCTGGAAAACAATGACAAAGAGTAAAAAGGAAGCCTACCAAAGACGCTGTGACAAGGTTAATTGGAGAACATGCATGCTCATTTTTATAAATGTAGAGAAGTTCAGTAAAAGTTACACACACTCAAATACACTATTCTTCATCTGTTAAACTCGTTTTGGTATTTATTTTCATGTTTGGGGGCAAGTCCGTTGAGAAGCTGCTCTTTTAATGTCTTGTTGTGTAGACAGACACATGAATGGTCTGACCTCCAATTCAACTTTTTCTGTGTTCATTTTTCAGTTGAAGAAAGAATACGAGGTCAACATGAACCGATTTTTGTGTGTAAGTTTTCTCTTTATTTCAAAAACTGTCTGCTTGTGTGACCACATTATTTACAGAAACATTTGTAATGGCTGATTAGCATGTTAGATGAACACTTAAGCTGAGGATACACTTTTGAGGCAATATTTCCGAGAAATGTTGCTGGTAACAGAGTGGGGTATGAGACACTGGCGCAATAATGAGCAATGAGCAATATGGACATGAATAATAAATATATTATTATATTTCATATGAAGTATATATGAACTTCAAACTGATTTTCCCCATTTATTTACTCACCACCTATAGCTTGTTGTTGCCTTTTGACTGACATACAGTGGGGAGAACAAGTATTTGATACACTGCCGATTTTGCAGGTTTTCCTACTTACAAAGCATGTAGAGGTCTGTAATTTTTATCATAGGTACACTTCAACTGTGAGAGACGGAATCTAAAACAAAAATCCAGAAAATCACATTGTATGATTTTTAAGTAATTAATTTGCATTTTATTGCATGACATAAGTATTTGATACATCAGAAAAGCAGAACTTAATATTTGGTACAGAAACCTTTGTTTGCAATTACAGAGATCATATGTTTCCTGTAGGTCTTGACCAGGTTTGCACACACTGCAACAGGGATTTTGGTCCACTCCTCCATACAGACCTTCTCCAGATCCTTCAGGTTTCGGGGCTGTCGCTGGGCAATACGGACTTTCAGCTCCCTCCAAAGATTTTCTATTGGGTTCAGGTCTGGAGACTGGCTAGGCCACTCCAGGACCTTGAGATGCTTCTTACGGAGCCACTCATTAGTTGCCCTGGCTGTGTGTTTCGGGTCGTTGTCATGCTGGAAGACCCAGCCACGACCCATCTTCAATGCTCTTACTGAGGGAAGGAGGTTGTTGGCCAAGATCTGGCGATACATGGCCCCATCCATCCTCCCCTCAATACGGTACAGTCGTCCTGTCCCCTTTGCAGAAAAGCATCCCCAAAGAATGATGTTTCCACCTCCATGCTTCACGGTTGGGATGGTGTTCTTGGGGTTGTACTCATCCTTCTTCTTCTTTCAAACACGGCGAGTGGAGTTTAGACCAAAAAGCTATATTTTTGTCTCATCAGACCACATGACCTTCTCCCATTCCTCCTCTGGATCATCCAGATGGTCATTGGCAAACTTCAGACGGGCCTGGACATGCGCTGGCTTGAGCAGGGGGACCTTGCGTGCGCTGCAGGATTTTAATCCATGACGGCGTAGTGTGTTACTAATGGTTTTCTTTGAGACTGTGGTCCCAGCTCTCTTCAGGTCATTGACCAGGTCCTGCCGTGTAGTTCTGGGCTGATCCCTCACCTTCCTCATGATCATTGATGCCCCACGAGGTGAGATCTTGCATGGAGCCCCAGACCGAGGGTGATTGACCGTCATCTTGAACTTCTTCCATTTTCTAATAATTGCGCCAACAGTTGTTGCCTTCTCACCAAGCTGCTTGCCTATTGTCCTGTAGCCCATCCCAGCCTTGTGCAGGTCTACAATTTTATCCCTGATGTCCTTATACACAGCTCTCTGGTCTTGGCCATTGTGGAGAGGTTGGAGTCTGTTTGATTGAGTGTGTGGACATGTGTCTTTTATACAGGCAACGAGTTCAAACAGGTGCAGTTAATACAGGTAATGAATGGAGAACAGGAGGGCTTCTTAAAGAAAAATTAACAGGTCTGTGAGAGCCGGAATTCTTACTGGTTTGTAGGTGATCAAATACTTATGTCATGCAATAAAATGCAAATGAATTACTTAAAATTCATACAATGTGATTTTCTGGATTTTTGTTTTAGATTCCGTCTCTCACAGTTGAAATGTACCTATGATAAAAATTACAGACCTCTACATGCTTTGTAAGTAGGAAAACCTGCAAAATCGGCAGTGTATCAAATACTTGTTCTCCCCACTGTATATGTACTGTAATTGATCAGCTAACAAACAAGCAACAAAGAGTTGTTGCCCCTGCCCTGGGCATCCACTCAACCTACTGCCAGTCAAGTCAATGGCAATGCAGACGTAAGGATAACTAGGCCTAGATTTAGAAAACATTTTACTTTACAATTCTAAGCAAGGAAGTGTAAATGGTATTCATCCAGCTAGCCAGTTATTTTAACATTCAGAAAACAACATATAAAATCTACATGGCTAGCTAGCTAGCGAATTAGCCTGTTTGTCCCATTGACTTAGCATGGGTTTAGGTTAGCATGGTATCGATTAGCATGCACCCCAGCGTGGTTAAACATGACAAACTAAACGCAGTATGTACAGTGCATTTGGAAAGTATTCAGACCCCTTGACTTTTTTCACATTTTGTTACGTTACAGCCTTATTCTAAAATTGATTAACTTATTTTTTTTCCATCATCAATCTACACACAATACCCCATAATGACAAAGCGAAAACAGTTTTTTAGACATTTTTGCAAATATATTAATAAAAAACATACTTTATTTACATAAGTATTCAGACCCTTTGCTATGAGACTCGAAATTGAGCTCCGGTGCATCCTGTTTCCATTGATCATCCTTGGGATGTTTCTACAACTTGGTTGAAGTCCACCTGTGGTAAATTCAATTGATTGGACATGATTTGGAAATGCACACCTGTCTATATAAGGTCCCACAGTTGACAGTGCATGTCAGAGCAAAAACCAAGCCATGAGGTCGAAGGAATTGTCTGTAGAGCGTTGAGACAGGATTGTGTCGAGGCGCAGATCTGGGGAAGGGCACCACAACAGGACAACGACCCTAAGGACACAGCCAAGACAACGCAGGAGTGGCTTCAGGACAAGTCTCTGAATGTCCTTGAGTGGCCCAGCCAGAGCCCGGACTTGAACCCGATCTAACATCTCTGGAGAGACCTGAAAATAGCTGTGCAGCGATGCTCCCCATCCAACCTGACAGAGGTTGAGAGGATCTGCAGAGATGGAGTGAGGAAACATTTGAGATGTGAATGGCCAACATTTTCTCTCACTTGAGCTCAAAAACGTCTGCTATGTTTTTCAAAATATTTTAGAATGGCAGATTGATCACATGACCAATATCTACACTCTGATTGGAGGATTCCTAAACATTGCTCAGCAATATTGCCCCCCAAAATTACCAATGTATCGTGGCCTTTAGTCATAATGTGGTCATAATGCTGTCAGAAACATGGGGCTTGTGTGTGTCCAATCAGACTGTGACAGATAAGGAGCAGCAGCGCATCCTAGTGGAGAACAGGAAAAGCGTGCAGACCTCAACGTTGGCTGCCCAAAAGGGGATGAAAATTAAGTTTCAAGGCGAGCCCAAGAAACCACCTGAGTGAGTATCCCTGGCTGTGGCCCAACTGTTCTCCTTATAAGGGATCTGAGTTTGTTAAAGTACTTCTGAAATACTTACTTCTTATAGTTTTGTGCAGTGCAGATGTATCATAATAATAATTTTATCTGCCATTCAAAATGTATGCAGTCATTATTCCCCCCATTCCCCAGTTTCAGCATTGAGTGTGACCCCAACCTCTAGCTTTGGAAACCCTTCCCCACCTCACTGAACCTCCCCCCTTCCTGAACAGGTGGGGTCACACAATGTTCTACAGCGAGAAGATGGCGGAGCTGAGAGCCGAGTCGAGCCACCTCAGCTCCAGGAAGTGCATGGCCGTGGTCAGCCCACTGTGGAAGAAGCTGTCCCAGAAGGAAAAGGAGTGCTACCAGAGAATGGCCCAGGAGAGGACCAGGGAGTACCAAGTAGAGCTACACAGCTGGTTTAATGTAAAGTCCATTCACTCTCTGGTTGTTTCCCACCTGGCACCCTAATCCCTATATAGTGTCTACTTTTGACCAGGGCCCGTAGAGCTCTGGTCAAAAGTAGTGCACTTAGGAATAGGATGCCATTTCGGACGAACCCTCTTTCTTTTAGATTAAATATGACCACTGTTATGATTTGAGGTCTATCTGTAAGTTTCTACTGTTAACTGGTGATCTTACTATTTACATTTTTCAGACCATGTTCCCAAAGGAACAGGCAAAGTACTTGGAGCAAAACCCAAATGTAAGTAGAGATAAAACCAAGAGGAAATTGATGTGTGTGTATATAGAGGTGTGTGTGTGTATATAAGGCCCTATAAAATGTTAGATTTTTCCCCAAATTCCGTTTTCTCCGTTTAGTTTTTTCAGGTTGACATTTCCCCCTGTTTTCATTCAGGTTTTCGCTCTCAAAATCACACTTTTTTTAATAGAAAAATAACTACATTGGATGTTGTAAGTCTACAACAATGCTTAAACCACATCAGGCGACCACTTTTAGGTCTGGAAGGAATTTAGATGTTAGGGTGTAGTTAGTTAACCTCTAATTCCAGTGCGGACCTAGCAAGAAGCTGTTGTTTAGCTGTGTTTTTGTAGCACACGTGATGGTAGAGTTTGCAAAACAAATACCCTCTGGATTGATGCAAATAATCATGATATCATTCTGCCAGGTAAGCATAGACTACTTTGTAGTTAACATTTAGTTGAGTTTTTGGGAAAGCCTTTCCATCTACCAGATGTCTTTTCATTAGCATTTCCACTAACGGCTACACAAAGTGGTAGGCGCGCACACCTCGCATACACAGACGGGGAATTCTCTTTGCCTCTTGAGAAAGTTGCAGGAAATACGAATCACTGATGCATTCTGTTCATGTCTTATGATAAACTTGGAAGTTAATTAATTTTCAATACATTTAGTTGATTCCCTACTAAGTTCAATACATTTTGGAATATTCTTGAATTCCGTTTTAATGTCTGGATTCCGTGATCCTTGCGAGTTCCCGGCACCACAGATTTTATAGGGCCCTATGTGTGTGTCTGTCTGGTTGCGATTGGCGTGAGTTATCTTTAGCGTTGATGTTGTATGTGTTAATGTGTATCTCTTCTTCAGAAATTGAAAATCCTCGACAACCCAGAGCAGGGAAGGATGGCAAAGCAGGGCAGAACATCAGTAAGTTAACACACCACACGTTGTCACCTCCACAACAACAACACAACGTGACGACAAATTACACGTGCTGATACAGTGCCTTCAGAAAGTATTCACAACCCTTTACTTTTTCTACATTTTGTTGTGTTAGAGCCGAATTTAAAATGGATTAAATTGAGACTTTTTGTCACTGGCCTACACACTATACCCCTTAATGTCAATGGAATAATGTTTTTCAAAATTCATAAAAAATTAAAAGCTGAAATGTACATTTACATCATTTAGCAGACGCTCTTATCCAGAGTGAGTGCATACATAATTTTATTTTTAATTTTTTCATACTGGCCCCCCGTGGGAATCGAACCCACAACCCTGGCGTTGCAAACACCATGCTCTACCAACTGAGCTACATCCCTTAATGTCTTAAGTAGTATTCAACTCCTTTGTTATGGCAAGCCTAAATAAGTTCAGGAGTAAAAATTTGCTAAATAAGTAAAAACGAAAAAGTCCGTTGTACAACTGAATGCATTCAACATTTAACCCAACCCCTCTGAATCAGAGAGGTGCGGGGGGCTCCCTTAATCGACATCCATGTCATCGGCGCCCGGGGAACATTGGGTTAACTGCCTTGCTCAGGGGCAGAACGACAGAGTTTTACCTTGTCAGCTCGGGGATTCGATCCGGCAACCTATCGGTTACTGACCCAACGCTCCTACCCGCCAGGCTACCTGCCACCCTTACATAAGTTGCATGGACTCACTCTGTGTGCAATAATAGTGTTTAACAGGATTTTTGCATGACTACCTCACCTCTTTATCCCACACGTACAATTATCTGAAAAGTCACTCAGTTGAGCAGTGAATTTCAAACGCAGATTCAACCACAAAGACCAGGGAGGTTTTCCAATGCTTTGCAAAGAAGGGCACCTACAGTTAGGGGGAAAAAAGTATTTGATCCCCTGCTGATTTTGTATGTTTGCCCACTGACAAAGAAATGATCAGTCTATAATTTTAATGGTAGGTTTATTTGAACAGTGAGAGACAGAATAACAACAACAAAATCCAGAAAAATGCATGTCAAAAATGTTATAAATTGATTTGCATTTTAATGAGGGAAATAAGTATTTGACCCCTCTGCAAAACATGATTTACTTGGTGGCAAAACCCTTGTTGGCAATCACAGAGGTCAGACGTTTCTTGTAGGTTGCCACCAAGTTTGCACACATCTCAGGAGGGATTTTGTCCCACTCCTCTTTGCAGATCTTCTCCAAGTCATTAAGGTTTCGAGCCTGACGTTTGGCAACTCGAACCTTCAGCTCCCTCCACAGATTTTCTATGGGATTAAGGTCTGGAGACTGGCTAGGCCACTCCAGGAACTTAATGTGCTTCTTCTTGAGCCACTCCTTTGTTGCCTTGGCCGTGTGTTTTGGGTCATTGTCATGCTGGAATACCCATCCACGACCCATTTTCAATGCCCTGGCTGAGGGAAGGAGGTTCTCACCCAAGATTTGACGGTACATGGCCCCGTCCATTGTCCCTTTGATGCGGTGAAGTTGTCCTGTCCCCTTAGCAGAAAAACACCCCCAAAGCATAATGTTTCCACCTCCATGTTTGACGGTGGGGATGGTGTTCTTGGGTTCATAGGCAGCATTCCTCCTCCTCCAAACACGGCGAGTTGAGTTGATGCCAAAGAGCTCGATTTTGGTCTCATCTGACCACAACACTTTCACCCAGTTCTCCTCTGAATCATTCAGATGTTCATTGGCAAACTTCAGACGGGCCTGTATACAGTGGGGGAAAAAAGTATTTAGTCAGCCACCAATTGTGCAAGTTCTCCCACTTAAAAAGATGAGAGAGGCCTGTAATTTTCATCATAGGTACACGTCAACTATGACAGACAAAATGAGAAAATGTTTTCCAGAAAATCACATTGTAGGATTTTTAATGAATTTATTTGCAAATTATGATGGAAAATAAGTATTTGGTCAATAACAAAAGTTTCTCAATACTTTGTTATATACCCTTTGTTGCTATACCTTAGCCACTCCTTTGTTGCCTTGGCCGTGTGTTTCAGGTCATTGTCATGCTGAAAGACCCAGCCACGTTTCATCTTCAATGCCCTTGCTGATGGAAGGAGGTTTTCACTCAAAATCTCACGATACATGGCCCCATTCATTCTTTCCTTTACACGGATCAGTCGTCCTGGTCCCTTTGCAGAAAAACAGCCCCAAAGCATGATGTTTCCACCCCCATGCTTCACAGTAGGTATGGTGTTCTTTGGATGCAACTCAGCATTCTTTGTCCTCCAAACACGACGAGTTGAGTTTTTACCAAAAAGTTCTATTTTGGTTTCATCTGACCATATGACATTCTCCCAATCCTCTTCTGGATCATCCAAATGCACTCTAGCAAACTTCAGACGAGCCTGGACATGTACTGGCTTAAGCAGGGGGACACGTCTGGCACTGCAGGATTTGAGTCCCTGGCGGCGTAGTGTTTTACTGATGGTAGGCTTTGTTACTTTGGTCCCAGCTCTCTGCAGGTCATTCACTAGGTCCCCCCGTGTGGTTCTGGGATTTTTGCTCACCGTTCTTGTGATCATTTTGACCCCACGGGGTGAGATCTTGCGTGGAGCCCCAGATCGAGGGAGATTATCAGTGGTCTTGTATGTCTTCCATTTCCTAATAATTGCTCCCACAGTTGATTTCTTCAAACCAAGCTGCTTACCTATTGCAGATTCAGTCTTCCCAGCCTGGTGCAGGTCTACAATTTTGTTTCTGGTGTCCTTTGACAGCTCTTTGGTCTTGGCCATAGTGGAGTTTGGAGTGTGACTGTTTGAGGTTGTGGACAGGTGTCTTTTATACTGATAACAAGTTCAAACAGGTGCCATTAATACAGGTAACGAGTGGAGGACAGAGGAGCCGCTTAAAGAAGTTGTTACAGGTCTGTGAGAGCCAGAAATCTTGCTTGTTTGTAGGTGACCAAATACTTATTTTCCACCATAATTTGCAAATAAATTCATAAAAAATCCTACAATGTGACAAAACAATTTTTTTTTCTCAATTTGTCTGTCATAGTTGACGTGTACCTATGATGAAAATTACAGGCCTCTCTCATCTTTTTAAGTGGGAGAACTTGCACAATTGGTGGCTGACTAAATACTTTTTTTCCCCACTGTATGTGCTTTTTTGAGAAGGGGGACCTTGCGGGCGCTGCAGGATTTCAGTCCTTCACGGCGTAGTATGTTACCAATTGTTTTCTTGGTGACTATGGTCCCAGCTGCCTTGAGATCATTGACAAGATCCTCCCGTGTAGTTCTGGGCTGATTCCTCACTGTTCTCATGATCATTGCAACTCCATGAGATGAGATCTTGCATGGAGCCCCAGGCCGAGGAAGATTTGACAGTTCTTTTGTGTTTCTTCCATTTGCGAATAATCGCACCAATTGTCACCTTCTCACCAAGCTGCTTGGCGATGGTCTTGTAGTCCATTCCAGCCTTGTGTAGGTCTACAATCTTGTCCCTGACATCCTTGGAGAGCTCTTTGGTCTTGGCCATGGTGGAGAGTTTGGAATCTGATTGATTGATTGCTTCTGTGGACAGGTGTCTTTTATACAGTTAACAAGCTGAGATTAGGAGCACTCCCTTTAAGAGTGTGCTCCTAATCTCAGCTTGTTACCTGTATAAAAGACACCTGGGAGCCAGAAATCTTTCTGATTGAGAGGGGGTCAAATACTTATTTCCCTCATTAAAATGCAAATCAATTTATAACATTTTTGACATGTGTTTTTCTGGATTTTTGTTGTTGTTATTCTGTCTCTCACTGTTCAAATAAACCTACCATTAAAATTGTAGACTGATCATTTATTTGTCAGTGGGCAAATGTACAAAATCAGCAGGCGATCAAATACTTTTTTCCCTCACTGTATAGGTAGATGGGATGATCAATGTCAACAGGATTTACCTAGCTCAATTTCGAGTCTCATAGCAAAGGGTCTGAAAACTTATGTAAATAAGGTATTTCTGTTTTTCATTTTTAATACATTTGCAAAATTTTCAAAAAACCTGTTTTCACTTTGTCAGTATGGGGTATTGTGTGAAGATTGCTGAGGATTTTATTTGAATTTTTTAATCCATTTTAGAATAAGGCTGTAACGTAACAAAATGTGGAGAAAGTCAAGGGGTCGGAATAATTTCCAAAGGCACTGTATGTAAATGTGATATTTCAGTTTTTTATTTTTAATAAAGGTGCAAAAGTTTATAGAAACCTATTTTTGCTTTATCATTATGGGATATTGTGTATATATTTATGAGGGGGGAAAACGATTTAATCAATTTTATAGAATAAGGCTGTAACATAACAACATTTGGAGAAAGTCAAGGGGTCTGAATACTTTCAGAATGCGCTGTATATACACTGCTGAAAAAAATAAAGGGAACACTTAAACAACACAATGTAACTCCAAGTCAATCACACTTCTGTGAAATCAAACTGTCCACTTAGGAAGCAACACTGATTGACAATACATTTCACATGCTGTTGTGCAAATGGAATAGACAACAGGTGGAAATTATAGGCAATTAGCAAGACACCCCCAATAAAGGACTGGTTTTGCAGGTGGTGACCACAGACCACTTCTCAGTTCCTATGCTTCCTGGCTGATGTTTTGGTCACTTTTGAATGCTGGCGGTGCTTTCACTCTAGTGGTAGCATGAGATGGAGTCTACAACCCACACAAGTGGCTCAGGTAGTGCAGCTCATCCAGGATGGCACATCAATGCGAGCTGTGGCAAGAAGGTTTGCTGTGTCTGTCAGCGTAGTGTCCAGAGCATGGAGGCGCTACCAGGAGACAGGCCAGTACGTCAGGAGACGTGGAGGAGGCCGTAGGAGGGCAACAACCCAGCAGCAGGACTGCTACCTCCGCCTTTGTGCAAGGAGGAGCAGGAGGAGCAATGCCAAATGACCTCCAGCAGGCCACAAATGTGTATGTGTCTGCTCAAACGGTCAGAAACAGACTCCATGAGGGTGGTATGAGGGCCCGACGTCCACAGGTGGGGGTTGTGCTTACAGCCCAACACCGTGCAGGATGTTTGGCATTTGCCAGAGAACACCAAGATTGGCAAATTCGCCACTGGCGCCCTGTGCTCTTCACAGATGAAAGCAGGTTCACACTGAGCACATGTGACAGACGTGACAGAGTCTGGAGACGCCGTGGAGAACGTTCTGCAGCCTGCAACATCCTCCAGCATGACCGGTTTGGCGGTGGGTCAGTCATGGTGTGGGGTGGCATTTCTTTGGGGGGCCGCACAGCCCTCCATGTGCTCGCCAGAGGTAGCCTGACTGCCATTAGGTACCGAGATGAGATCCTCAGACCCCTTGTGAGACCATATGTTGGTGCGGTTTGCCCTGGGTTCCTCCTAATGCAAGACAATGCTAGACCTCATGTGGCTGGAGTGTGTCAGCAGTTCCTGCAAGAGGAAGGCATTGATGCTATGGACTGGCCCGCCCGTTCCCCAGACCTGAATCCAATTGAGCACATCTGGGACATAATGTCTCGCTCCATCCACCAACGCCACGTTGCACCACAGACTGTCTAGTAGTTGGCGGATGCTTTAGTCCAGGTCTGGGAGGAGATCCCTCAGGAGACCATCCGCCACCTCATCAGGAGCATGCCCAGGCGTTGTAGGGAGGTCATACAGGCACGTGGAGGCCACACACACTACTGAGCCTCATTTTGACTTGTTTTAAGGACATTACATCAAAGTTGGATCAGCCTGTAGTGTGGTTTTCCACTTTAATTTTGAGGGTGACTCCAAATCCAGACCTCCATGGTTTGATACATTTGATTTCCATTGATAATTTTTGTGTGGTTTTGTTGTCAGCACATTCAACTATGTAAAGAAAAAAGTATTTAATAAGATTATTTCATTCATTCAGATCTAGGATGTGTTATTTTAGTGTTCCCTTAATTTTTTTGAGCAGTGTAGTTTCAAACAGTGTATGCACATCAAATGACTTGCAGGTGCTGGGTACAAAAAGTAAACACATGAAATAAAGATTAGATACCTGCATGCTGACCAATACTCTAGTTGTTTCTTTGTACAATATCAGCCTGACAAAGACCTTCAGGTCGAAACATTGCACAATAAAGCGCCTAGAGCATTTATTGGGTATTGTTTATTTCATATTTGCAATACTTACCAACAATACTGCAACAAGTGCTCCTATGGGGTGGAATCCAAACTTGACATGGGCTGTGTCCCAAATGGCATCGTATTCCCTTTAAAGTGCACTACTTTTGACCAGGGCCTATAGGGTTAGGCATAATCTGAATGTAAGTGTTAAATCCCTCACTGATGTCCAATTGGGGATTTCAGCCAGTATCAGCATGTATCTCTCTCAACCTAGGACTCCGAGGACGAAGACCTGGAGGACGACATCGACACATCCAGTGATGAAGAGGAGGTAGAAGATGACTCTGATGATGAGGTTAGAGTAGACACATTTTTTATTTCATCAAGCCTTTATTTTGGGATAATTCGCCATGATAAGTATTAACACTGATCTTATGTATCCTTAGGAGGAGGATGATGATGAAGATATGACAGACAAGGAGAATTGTTCAGGGAGCTCCAGTAGTAGCTCCAGTTCCGAAGAGGACTCCGATACGGAATGATTCACGCTGTCCATAACCTAATGACTGAATTAATGTCATGGGGTTATGGACGGCAGGTAGCTTAGTGGTTAAGAGCGTTGTGCCAGTAACCGAAAGGTCGCTGGTTCTAAACCCCGAGCCGACTAGGTGAAAAATCTGTCGATGTGACCTTGAGCAAGGCACTTAACCCTAATTGCTCCTGTAAGTCGCTCTGGATACGAGCGTCTGCTAAATGACTTAAAAAATAAATTTTAAAAATGTCACTGACACTTGTGTCCCAATAGACTCAGATGTTTTTTTGACATAACATTCAGTATCTTGTATCAACAGGCCCCAACAATGTTTACTGTTATTAATAAAATCAGAATTTTCCTGTGTGGTAGTTATGTGAAAGGACCATTTATTCATTGATTTATTCATCAATTTCCATAAAAACAGAACTAACTTGTGATATAATTTAGTGCGGCAGATTATGACATTTCATGTAAAGTTTGAGATAATCATATTGCTGTTTGATCAGTATCCTTAATGAAGTGGACAAGAGGTAAGACATTCATTTGCCAGTTGATATTTTTTAATGTAGTATGACATCCGTTCACAAATTCAATGGTTTTACCTGCGCCAGGTGTGCCATCAGTTTTTTTCTTTTAGACTATCTTTGAAGTTGTGCCTCAATATTTCTGTGAAATACCTTTTGTTTATACACTAATACACAGGGCCGGATTAATGTAAGGGCTTACCGGGGCTGAAGCCCCTGGGCCCAGGCCCGTGGGTGGCCCAAGAGGCAGAAGACAAAAAAATAAAGGAAATCCATACAGTATATATGTAATATTATTTTTTTACTGCAACCGCCAACCACAGGAGGATTCAGGAGCCTGCTCTTAATGAGTGTAGACAGCCTACTGCTGCCGCTCTGCTAATCATCAGATGGGAGGAGAGATGGTAGGGGGCACACGTGGGTAACTGGGGAGCCCTGCCATGATTCGGTAACTGATTAATAAAAAATAAACTGCATAGTAAATAGATGTGACTGGTCAGTTGTGTGAGTCAGGGGCTGGGCCCAAGAGGCAAAAAAACATTTATGTAAATGTTTTATCCAACCACAGGATCCCGCTCTCAATGTTCAAAATACACCAGAGAGCAATGCATAATTTAGGCACAGAGGATCAATAGTTTCAAAAACATTACTTGATGAAAGGTTATCACAAGCACGTACAGGTAACTGTCAAAATAAAGGAAAAACCAACATAGTGTCTTAAAAGGGTGTATGGCCACCACGAGCTGCCAGAACAGCTTTAATGGCAGGAAAATGCACCCCACCATAAAATGTAATTTGTATCCCTCATTTATTCAAGTGTTTCCTTTATTTTGGCAGTTACCGGTTGCCTACAGTCGGGAAGACTGCAATTTTGGCCAGCATGATTGCCATACACTACCAGTCAAAAGTTTGGACACACCTACTCATTCAAGGGTTTTCCTTTATTTTTTACTATTTTTTACATTGTAGAATAATAGTGAAGACATCAAAACTATGAAATAACACATGGAATCATGTAGTGACCAAAAATGTGTTTTATATTTGAGATTCTTCAAATTTCTTCAGCCTCCTGAGGTTGAAGAGGCTCTGTTGCGCCTTCTTCACCACACTGTCTGCGTGGGTGGACCATTTCAGTTTGCTGCAAAGAAACCACTACTAAAGGACACCAATAAGAAGAAGAGACCTGCTTAGGCTAAGAAACACGAGCAATGGACATTAGACCGGTGGACATTTGTCCTTTGGTCTGGAGTCCAATTTGGAGATTTTTGGTTCAAACCGCTGTGTCTTTGTTAGACCCGGTGTGGGTGAACGGATGATCTCCGCATGTGTAGTTCCCACCGTAAAGCATGGAGGAGGAGGTGTTATGGTGTGGGGGTGCTTTGCTGGTGACAGTGTCTGTGATTTTATTTAGAATTCAAGGCACACTTAACTAGCATGGCATTCTGCAGGACAATGAGCCAACACACCTCCAGGCTGTGTAAGGTCTATTTTACCAAGAAGGAGAGCGATGGATTGCTGCATCAGATGACCTGGCCTCCACAATTTCCCAACCTCAACCCAATTGAGATGGTTTGGGATGAGTTCGGACAGCAGAGTGAAGGAAAAGCAGCCAACCAGTGCTAAGCATATGTGGGAACTCCTTCAAGACTGTTGGAAAAGCATTCCAGGTGAAGCTGGTTGAGAGAATGCCAAGAGTGTGCAAAGCTGTCATCAAGGCAAAGGGTGGCTAGTTGAAGAATCTCAAATATAAAATATATTTTGATTTGTTTAACACTTTTTTGGTTACTACATGATTCCATATGTGTTATTTCATTTACATTTACGTCATTTAGCAGACGCTCTTATCCAGAGCGACTTACAGTTAGTGAGTGCATACATTATTTTTTTATTTTTTTCATACTGGCCCCCCGTGGGAATCGAACCCACAACCCTGGCGTTGCAAACGCCATGCTCTACCAACTGAGCTACATGGGGCACTTCAATCAGTGTTGATGAAGGGGAGGAGACAGGTTAAAGAAGGATTGTTAAGCCTTGAGACAATTGAGACATAGATTGTGTGTGTGTGCCATTCAGAGGGTGAATGGGCAAGACAGGTGCACCGGTTTGAGTGTGTCAAGAACTGCAACGCTGCTGGGTTTTTCACGCTCAACAGTTTCCTGTGTGTATCAAGAATGGCCCACCACCCAAAGTACTTCCAGCCAACATGGCACAACTTTGGGAAGCATCCCTGTGGAACGCTTTCGGCACCTTGTAGAGTCCATGCTCCAACAAATTTAGGCTGTTCTGAGGGCAAAACTGAATATTAGGAAGGTGTTCCTAATGTGTTGTACACTCAGTGTATGATTTGGTTTTACCTTCCAACATAAATTGATGTCAAATTAATACATTTATGTGGTATACTGTAAATATAGAATTTTACAGTGTTCAGCAGTTATCAAACTATATACAGTGGGGGAAAAAAGTATTTAGTCAGCCACCAATTGTGCAAGTTCTCCCACTTAAAAAAATGAGAGAGGCCTGTACTTTTCATCATAGGTACACATCAACTATGACAGACAAATTGAGAAATTGTGGGAGCAATTATTAGGAAATGGAAGACATACAAGACCACTGATAATCTCCCTCGATCTGGGGCTCCACGCAAGATCTCACCCCGTGGGGTCAAAATGATCACAAGAACGGTGAGCAAAAATCCCAGAACCACACGGGGGGACCTAGTGAATGACCTGCAGAGAGCTGGGACCAAAGTAACAAAGCCTACCATCAGTAACACACTACGCCGCCAGGGACTCAAATCCTGCAGTGCCAGACGTGTCCCCCTGCTTAAGCCAGTACATGTCCAGGCCCGTCTGAAGTTTGCTAGAGTGCATTTGGATGATCCAGAAGAGGATTGGGAGAATGTCATATGGTCAGATGAAACCAAAATAGAACTTTTTGGTAAAAACTCAACTCGTCGTGTTTGGAGGACAAAGAATGCTGAGTTGCATCCAAAGAACACCATACCTACTGTGAAGCATGGGGGTGGAAACATCATGCTTTGGGGCTGTTTTTCTGCAAAGGGACCAGGACGACTGATCCGTGTAAAGGAAAGAATGAATGGGGCCATGTATCGTGAGATTTTGAGTGAAAACCTCCTTCCATCAGCAAGGGCATTGAAGATGAAACGTGGCTGGGTCTTTCAGCATGACAATGATCCCAAACACACCGCCCGGGCAACGAAGGAGTGGCTTCGTAAGAAGCATTTCAAGGTCCTGGAGTGGCCTAGCCAGTCTCCAGATCTCAACCCCATAGAAAATCTTTGGAGGGAGTTGAAAGTCCGTGTTGCCCAGCGACAGCCCCAAAACACTGCTCTAGAGGAGATCTGCATGGAGGAATGGGCCAAAATACCAGCAACAGTGTGTGAAAACCTTGTGAAGACTTACAGAAAACGTTTGACCTGTGTCATTGCCAACAAAGGGTATATAACAAAGTATTGAGAAACTTTTGTTATTGACCAAATACTTATTTTCCAACATAATTTGCAAATAAATTCATTAAAAATCCTACAATGTGATTTTCTGGAGAAAAAAAATCTCATTTTGTCTGTCATAGTTGACGTGTACCTATGATGAAAATTACAGGCCTCTCTCATCTTTTTAAGTGGGAGAACTTGCACAATTGGTGGCTGACTAAATACATTTTTTCCCCACTGTATGTCAACTAGGCACTAAATAATTTAGGATAGTATCAGTTTTGAGCAGTTTGATTAAGTGATAGTAAAAAGATAACGAGAAAATAATATAAAAAGTCAAGTAAATATTACATTTTGAAAAATAGATACACTACATGGCCAAAAGTATGTTCGTCGAACATCTCATACCAAAATCATGGGCATTAATATGGAGTTGGTCCTCCCTTTGCTGCTATAACAGCCTCCACTCTTCTGGGAAGGCTATCCACTAAATGTTGGAACATTGCTGCGGGGACTTGCTTCCATTCAGCCACAAGAGCATTAGTGAGGTCGGGCACTGATGTTGGGCGATTAGGCCTGGCTCGCAGTCGGCGTTCCAATTCATCCCAAAGGTGTTTGATGGGGTTGAGGTCAGGGCTTTGTGCAGGCCAGTCAAGTTCTCCCACACCAATCTCGACAAACCGTTTCTGTATGGACCTCGCTTTGTGCACGGGGGCATTGTCATGCTGAAACAGGAAAGGGCCTTCCCCAAACTCTTGCCACAAAGTTGGAAGCACAGAATTGTCTAGAATGTAATTAAATGCTGTACTGTTAAGATTTCCCTTCACTGGAACTAAGGGGCCTAGCCCGAACAATGAAAAACAGCCCCAGACCATTATTCTCCTTCACCAAACTTTACAGTTGGCACTATGCATTCGGGCAGGTAATGTTCTTCTGGCATCCGTCAAACCCAGATTCGTCCATTGAACTGCCAGGTGGTGAATCATGATACATCACTCGAGATAATGCGTTTCCACTGCTCCAGAGTCCAATGGCGGCGAGCTTTACACCACTCCAGCCGACACTTGGCATTGCACATGGTGATCTTAGGCTTGTGTGCAGCTGCTTGGCCATAGAAACTCATTTCATGAAGCTCCCGACAAACAGTTATTGTGCTGACGTTGCTTCGATTTGGCAATTTGGAACACAGTAGTGAGTGTTGCAACCGAGGACAGACGATTTTTACGAGCTACGCGCTTCAGCACTCGGCAGTCCCGTTCTGTGAGCTTGTGTGGCATACCACTTCGCGGCTGAGCAGTTGTTGCTCCTAGATGTTTCCACTTCACAATAACAGCACTTATAGTTGACCGGGGCAGCTCTAGCAGGGAAGACATTTTACGAACTGACTTATTGGCATCCTATGATGGTGCCACGTTGAAAGTCACTGAGCTCTTCAGTACGGGCCATTCTACTGCCAATGTTTGTCTATGGAGATTGCATGGCTGTGTGCTCAATTGTATACACCTGTCAGCAACGGTGTGGCTGAAATAGCTAAATCCACTAATTTGAAGGAGTGTTCTCTCTAAAGGCACTAGGTAAAAAGGCGGACGATTGTTGGTAGGCTGATGGATGCCACATTGGAAAAAGGTGTCATCGTTCTCCTCAATGGCCTGCTTTATTTCGAACAGCTGTATGTCATTCCTGGCCCTCAGCATTTCAACCACTGCCCACTCCTGCTGGTCGGTCAGCACACGGCCACCACCATGGGGTCTTCTGTAAATTCTGATTGTAGAACAGAGTATACTGTCAATAGGTCATACTGTAAGAATACAGTAATATGTTTTGTGAATTTACCTGCATTACAATATGTTTTTTACTGTAAATGTAATGATAAAAGCATAGTGCATATCCTGCAGACTTACCGGTTTTCTTGGAAAATGTTCTCATGATCGAACAGTTTATCTTTTCAGATTGGGGTGAACTTATATGGCAGCCTCTGCCATGGTAAGGCTTCTGTTTACCACATGGTCAATGACGATGGCCCGGACGTCATTAGACACAACAGTTCCATGCCGTCTGCCTCCCTCTCTCTGATGTCCACCTCTTTGACGGGGCCCATGCCCACCTCTTCGACCTCTTTGACGGGGCCCATGCCCACCTCTTTGATCTCTCTGATGGAGCCCATGCCCACCTCTTTGACCTCTTTGATGATACCCATGCCCACCTCTTTGACCTATTTGATGGGGCCAATGCCCACCTCTTTGACCTCTTTGATGGGGCCCATGACCACCTCTCTGAAGGGCCCCTTGTCCATGAGCTCTTTGATTTCTTCCTCTCCTTTGATGTGTATCCAGCTCCATGTTGAAAGAAATTGCAAGTGTTCACACACACTCTTTTATATGGTGACCAATTGTGGTTAACACTATGTGAAATCAAGTAGCATTAACAAGTAGTCATTATGTATGGTTATCATGTATCATACATGTCATTTATACTTTACAAACACACATTTTATTTCTGCAGTGCTCAAAGTCCATATACAGTGCCTTCGGAAAGTATTCAGACATCTTGACTTTTTCCACATTTTGTTACATTACAGCCTTATACTAAAATTGATTGAATAAAAAAATTATCCTCAGCAATCTACACACAATACCCCATAATAACAAAGCGAAAACAGGTTTTTATAGCACATTTATAAAAATAAAAATACCTTATTTACATTGGTATTCAGACTCGAAATTAAGCTCAGGTTCATCCTGTTTCCAATGATCATCCTTGAGATATTTCTACAACTTGATTGGAGTCCACCTGTTGTAAATTACATTGATTGAACATGATTTGGAAAGGCACACACCTGTCTATATAAGGTCCCACAGTTGACAGTGCATGTCAGAGCAAAACCAAGCCATGAGGTCTGTCACACCCTGGCCTTGAGAGGCCTGTTGTCTTTAGTTGGTTTGGTCAGGGCGTGAGAATCTATGCTGGAAATTCTATGTTTGTGATCTAGGTAGTGTATTTCTATGTTGGGCCGGGTGTGATTCCCAATCAGAGACAGCTGTCACTCGTTGTCTCTGATTGGGGATCATACTTAAGTAGCCTGTTTGCCTACCTTAATTGTGGGATCTTGTTCCGTGTTAGGCTTGCATATGTTTAGCCTGAGGACTTCACGTTATGTTGTTTCTTGTTTTGTTTAATGTTTATTTGGTTTAATAAACATGTTCAAATACCACGCTGCACCTTGGTCTGACCCGTCTCTCAACAATCGTGACAAGGTCGAAGGAATTGTCCGCAGAGCTCCGAAACAGGATTGTCGAGGAACAGATCTGGGGAAGGGTACCAAAAAATGTCTCTAGCATTGAAGGTCACCAAGAACACAGTGGCCTCCATCATTCTTAAATGGAAGAAGTTTGGAAACACCAAGACTCTTCCTAGACCTGGCTGCCCGGCCAAACTGAGCAATTGGGGAGAAGGGCCTTGGTCAGGGAGGTGACCAAGAACCCGATGGTCACTCTGACAGAGCTCTAGAGTTCCTCTGTGGAGATGGGAGAACCTTCCAGAAGGACAACCATCTCTGCAGCACTCCACCAATCAGGCCTTCATGGTAGAGTGGCCAGACGGAAGCCCCTCCTCAGTAAAAGGCACATGACAGCCCGCTTGGAGTTTCCCAAAAGGCACCTAAAGACTCTCAGACCATGAGAAACAAGATTCTCTGGTCTGATGAAACCAAGGTTGAACTCTTTGGCCGAATGCCAAGCGTCATTTCTGGAAGAAACCTGGCACCATCCCTACGGTGAAGCATGGTGGTGGCAGCATCATGCTGTGGGGATGTTTTTCAGCAGCAGGGACTGAGAGACTAGTCAGGATCGAGGCAAAGATGAACGGAGCAAAGTACAGAGATCCTTGATGAAAACTTGCTCCATAGCTCTCAGGACCTCAGACTGGGGAAAAGGTTCACCTTCCAACAGGACAAACGACCCTAAGCACACAGCTAAGACAACGCAGGAGTGGCTTCGGGACAAGTCTCTGAATGTCCTTGAGTGGCCCAGCCAGAGCCCGGACTTGAACCTGATCGAACATCTCTGGAGAGACCTGAAAATAGCTGTGCAGCAACGGTCCCCATCCAACCTGACAGAGCTTGAGATGATCTGCAGTGAAGAATGGGAGAAACTCCCCAAATACAGGTGTGCCAAGCTTGTAGCGTCCTACCCAAGAAGACTCAAGGCTGTAATCGCTGCCAAAGGTGCTTCAACAAAGTACTGAGTAAAGTGTCTGAATACTTATGTAAATGTGATATTTCAGTTTTCTTTTTTTATTGCTAAAATCCTGTTTTTGCTTTGTCATTATGGGGTATTGTGTGTAGATTGATGAGGGGGGGAAAACAATTTAATCCATTTTAGAATAAGGCTGTAACCTAACAAAATGTGGAAAAAGTCAAGGAGTCTGAATACTTTCCGAAGGCACTGTATAGTAGACAAACCAGTTTTAAAATATGTAGGTTTACCAAACGGTTAAGTGATTAATAATTAAGTGCAGTTGGATTAAGTGATGGTCATATGTATTTAAACAAATGAGAAGAGTATCATATGAAAAATATTGTGAGCATTGAATTGTGAAAGGCAATTACTTTATATGAAAGCTATTTCTAGATGAAACACTGATTAGGTTTGGTGAAAAAGTTACTATGTGATTTAGAAGAAAAAAAACAGCTTTTTGATGATCTGTTTTGAGTTTTGTATGATGGACTGTAGTTTCTCTTTGCTTATTTGAGCTGTTCTTGCCATAATATGGACTTTTACCAAGTAGGGCTAACTTCTGTTATCTTCTACCTTATCACAACACAACTGATTGGCTCAAACGCATTAAGAAGGAAATACATTTCACAAATTAACTTTTAAGAAGGCACACCTGTTAATTGAAATGCATTCCAGGTGACTACCTCATGAAGCTGGTTGAGAGAATGCCAAGAGTGTGCAAAGCTGTCATCAAGGCAAAGGGTGGCTATTTGAAGAATCTCAAATATTAAATACATTTTGATTTGTTTAACACTTTTTTGGTTACTACATGATTCCATATGTGTTATTTAATAGTTTTATTGTCTTCACTATTATTCTACAAGGTAGAAAATAGTAAAAATAAAGAAAAGCCCTTGAACGAGTAGGTGTGTCCAAACTTTTGACTGGTACTGTATGTGTATATATATATATATATATATATATATATATATATATATATATACAGTGGGGAGAACAAGTATTTGATACACTGCCGATTTTGCAGGTTTTCCTACTTACAAAGCATGTAGAGGTCTGTAATTTTTATCCTAGGTACACTTCAACTGTGAGAGACGGAATTTAAAACAAAAATCCAGAAAATCACATTATATGATTTTTAAGTAATTAATTTGCATTTTATTGCATGACGTAAGTATTTGATACATCAGGAAAGCAGAACTTAATATTTGATACAGAAACCTTTGTTTGCAATTACAGAGATCATACGTTTCTTGTAGGTCTTGACCAGGTTTGCACACACTGCAGCAGGGATTTTGGCCCACTCCTCCATACAGACCTTCTCCAGATCCTTCAGATTTTGGGGCTGTCGCTGGGCAATACGGACTTTCAGCTCCCTCCAAAGATTTTCTATTGGGTTCAGGTCTGGAGACTGGCTAGGCCACTCCAGGACCTTGAGATGCTTCTTACGGAGCAACTCCTTAGTTTCCCTGGCTGTGTGTTTCGGGTCGTTGTCATGCTGGAAGACCCAGCCACGACCCATCTTCAATGCTCTTACTGAGGGAAGGAGGTTGTTGGCCAAGATCTCGCGATACATGGCCCCTTCCATCCTCCCCTCAATACGGTGCAGTCGTCCTGTCCCGTTTGCAGAAAAGCATCCCCAAATAATGATTTTTCCACCTCCATGCTTCACAGTTGGGATGGTGTTCTTGGGGTTGTACTCATCCTTCTTCTTCCTCCAAACACGGCGAGTGGAGTTTAGACCAAAAAGCTCTATTTTTGTCTCATCAGACCACATGACCTTCTCCCATTCCTCCTCTGGATCACCCTGATGGTCATTGGCAAACTTCAGACGGGCCTGGACATGCGCTGGCTTGAGCAGGGGGACCTTGCGTGCGCTGCAGGATTTTAATCCATGACGGCGTAGTGTGTTACTAATGGTTTTCTTTGAGACTGTGGTCCCAGCTCTCTTCAGGTCATTGACCAGGTCCTGCCGTGTAGTTCTGGGCTGATCCCTCACCTTCCTCATGATCATTGAGGCCCCACGAGGTGAGATCTTGCATGGAGCCCCAGACCGAGGGTGATTGACCGTCATCTTGAACTTCTTCCATTTTTTTATAATTGCGCCTTCAGTTGTTGCCTTCTCACCAAGCTGCTTGCCTATTGTCCTGTAGCCCATCCCAGCCTTGTGCAGGTCTACAATTTTAACCCTGATGTCCTTACACAGCGCTCTGGTCTTGGCCATTGTGGAGAGGTTGGAGTCTGTTTGATTGAGTGTGTGGACATGTGTCTTTTATACAGGCAACGAGTTCAAACAGGTGCAGTTAATACAGGTAATGAATGGAGAACAGGAGGGCTTCTTAAAGAAAAATTAACAGGTCTGTGAGAGCCGGAATTCTTACTGGTTTGTAGGTGATCAAATACTTATGTCATGCAATAAAATGCAAATGAATTACTTAAAAATCATACAATGTGATTTTCTGGATTTTTGTTTTAGATTCCGTCTCTCACAGTTGAAGTGTACCTATGATAAAAATTACAGACCTCTACATGCTTTGTAAGTAGGAAAACCTGCAAAATCGGCAGTGTATCAAATACTTGTTCTCCCCACTGTGTATATATATATATATATATATATATATATATATATATATATATATATATATATATATATATATATATATATATATATAGGTGTCTATACTTCATCAGCAAAGTTAGATAAGAAGTAGGGCCTTGTAAACAAAAAGGGAGTAATGTAGAGCTCTACGGGTCTTTAGCAAAGTCCAGCCAACCTTTTGATACAGGATGCAGTGTTGAGTATCAAAACTGTCATAGGAAACAAAACAAAGGGCACTATGGTAGATGGCATCCAAAAGTTTAAGAGTAGTAGCAGCTGCACTTCGATAAATAATATCACCAACAGATAAAAAGGTTGACTGAATAATCTGCTTGCTACTGCTTTATAACGGGAAACATGCCTATGTATGGCGTGCGCCAAGTTTATAAATCTAAATAGTTTTGTGAATGCAGAAATGGTGCATGCAGATATTTAGTGTTAAATTTAAGCAACGGTTATAAATGAGGCCCCAGGCACTGGGGTGTACGGAGTACCGGTAAAATAAATAGTGGCAGAAACTGTACCAGTAAAAGATTAGCCTATCAAAATAAAAATATCTAAGATCTAAGGTGGCGATATGTAACTTTTTAGGTGACCCAACCATATTCACATAGAAATGTGAGTTATAGATCTATCATTCTAATTGAAAGCAAGTCTAATAAACAGTAGAGCGGTTCTATGTGTGCTATTTCTATGCTTCCCTAAAATACTATTTTTTTAAAAATGGAAAATATATTTCACAGCGTTTGTGACGGTACAATGATTCTCTACACTATACTAGCTTATTTTGTCACATAAACAGAAATTAGGCTAACTATTTGGCGGAGCGATTTCTGCATAGTGCAACTTTAAACGAAACCTTTTACACTGTAATGTATCTCTAACTCATGTTAGCCGCATGAAAAATTTGCGAATGGTGGTATAGCCTTACGTTCCAAAATAAAGTGTGGGTTTGTCTCTACGACCAGAAAGAACACATTACATTTTGCCAAGTCAGGGATGGCAGGCCAAGGCCGAGAGACGCGCACTGACAGCAGTGTGGATGCATCAACCTAAACTCACTCCAGGTTAAAGGATTTTGCCCAAGGTTGCCCAGAGGAAGTCCATGGAGTTCCTCCTTGGCTACATCATGTGGCAGTTTATTCGATTCTTCGGCATCCAGGTTAAAGTGAGTATAGTCAGCCATGTATTGGTCTATGATGAAGATGATGATCATTACAGAGTAGGCTGTTTACATATCAATGTCAGAGACCTTTTCATTAATTGTGTCTTTGTGACTTTCTTGCTATATCCCAATCTCTACATTTCTTGGTGGTTCAAAGTACTCCTGAGAAGAGCCCTCTCAGTAGATGAATGCTCCATCCAGTGATGATGTCCTAAAGACCTCTACAGAAGATAAAGCCAAACCCTGGATGACAAACTGATCGATAGCCCACCTGACAATGAACCACCACTCCATGACAACATACAGGCTTCCCCTCAGGTGAACGACAAACCACTCGACCTCAAAGACGTGAAGGACTCTCTGGGTGATACTGCTCCCTTCATTGACCCGCAGGTGACCTCACAGGTCGACGCCACGTCTGCCTTTTACATGGAAGCCTCCTTGGAGGTTGCCACACCACCCATGGACCATGTGGTAGCCTACCTAGAAGGAAACACCACACCTGTGGACAAGATCCAGGTCTGCACACCCCTTGTTGTTGAGCAGCAGCGCCCGTTGGTGCTGAGCCTGTGTGTGGACAAGCTACAGCCACGTCAGAAGAGTGGAAGAGTCAGAAGAGTAGAAGCCAGCCTGGGGCGCTCAGTACTGCTGGGAAACACCTTGAGACAGATCTAGGAGGACTTGCAGAGGGAAGGTGCAAGCAGTCTAGAGCTGTCAGCCCAGCCACTGTCCCCTCACCTTCACATGCCCACGCACACACCTCTGGACAAGAAGAAGGCTAGTGCTCCCTCCATTGCCATTAGGCAGTCCACAAAGGTCGACGTCCCGTCTCCTAATGACGCCAGCCCGTTTGCCCCAAAGACTGATGGGTGGTTCGGCCGACTCTTTCGTTGGAGGAAGAAAGAGGTTAATCTTCCAGATGATACGGATAAATCAGGAAGGAGGCTGTTTTTTTTATATTATAAATTATACTAGGCTAATATGTGCTTGATGTTGCTCACTGACAACTGTTGTAGCTTTGGGGCTGATGGTTTCATAGAGATCAGTTAATTACTGAATATCAAAGATGTTTCTGGTTTTCTGTTAAGTTCATGGAGAAAGATAGAGATACTCTGCATAGTACAACATCTAATATGGCTACACCGGGAATACAGCAATAAACAGCATACCAATAATATTAAAGAGAAAAGTGAATAAGTAACAAGAGGATTTTTTTGAATTACATGCAATCCCTAAAGCAAGAAGCTCACCTGATCTTTCACCTCAGATTGTCTGGAATGAGTCCCAGGGAAGATGGGTGGATAGGAGGGAACCTCAGAGGAGGGTGATGACCAAGCCTCCATCTCCTCCTCCGTCCATCTCCATGATGAGGCCTGGTTGGGGAACTCTGCTGGTTCTCCTAAAGGGGTCATCATGGATTTATTGCTTTAGTCTACATGAGGTTTAACTCCAATACTGTCTCAGCCATTGTGTTACACAGCTTTTGTAGCTGGTTATGAATGTCTCAAACAACACAGATTAGTATCGGTCATTATCTTAATTTCCTGACCTTGAGACAATTACATTTCTATTTTCATTTGTTATGAACAAGGTAATGGTATGTTCTTCTTCTCATGTAGTCATTTACTTTTCTTTTTCAGTCAGTCTCGAGGCATGATCATGAACAACATCTTAAAATCCATCTTTGAAACTTTGAAAATACATTTTATGAAACAGTATATTTAATAAATGAATGAACACAAGATTTCTTCAGAATAGGTCAACTTTCAAGTCACATTTTTCAGCTTTTACATTGCCATTGACTATTCCATGGGTCATGGCTTATAAAATGGAATGTTGTATGCATTTACACACACACACACATTTATTTACTTATTTACAGTATTTATTCTGTTCAACGGTCTCCCTCCTTTCCCTTTACAATTAGAAATGGTCAACTTTTGCCAACATTTCTCTAATTCTCAGAGTTGTCTAGTGAGTGTGCAGTGATGTCCTCTGATTAATTAAGCAGTGATGTCCTCTGACTGATTTAACACTGACTAACTACAGTAAGGTGAAAACACTGTGTGTAGATTCTACTGTATATATATGAAGATTATTACTAGGTACTCTTACCAGACCAATTGATTTACTCACACTCAATGAGAGGCATTGGAAGATTATATTGTATGAACATGATTTGTATGAACTTAAAAATATATCTATATTTTAACAGGTCTGGAAGCTGCTCTGGTACTAACTCAGGAGAAATCCCTTTCTATGAACCTGGGAGAGATTGTGAAAATCTACTGTAGTTTAGCAGTTAAGAGCGTTGGGCCAGTAACTGAAAGGTTGCTGGTTCAAACCCCTCAAGCCTAGGTGAAAAATCTGTGGATGTGACCTTGAGCAAGGCACTTAACCCTAATTGCTCTGGATAAGAATTACTAAAATGTCAAATGTTATTAGTGATACCAGGACCTAGACCATTACATGGTACCAACAGAAGGCTGGAGGTAGCCCATGTTTTTTGTTTTATGACAACACAAGAGCAACTGGGTTGTCAAGCAGGTTCACATATTCCGAATCTGGATCTGGCTATACTGAGTATCTGCACATTAATGGATTTGAGGCTGAAGATGAGGCAGTCTATATCTGCACTTGTCATAACTGTGTCACTGGCATACACCTAGTGCCATCTAGTGCCACAATTATATGAGCAGCCTGTGCAAAAACCTAACTCCATTCAAAGCAGGAGAAACGATCAAACCTGTTGCCCATTACTACTGTCATTTCCACCACTTTCATCAAACTGACCAGACTTTTATCATTTGAAATCAACATACACTAATGTGTAAATCATATACCTTTATCTAAAATCTATATCTAAAATATAATATTGATATGCATCTACATTATAATTCTCAACACCTGCATGCTAAAACAAGGGCCGGGATGATACCAATATCGAGATACTCATCAGACAGAGTTTTTTTTTTTTTATGATGTCACTTTTTATTGTATGTGAATAGGGATCTCTGATGATGAATGCTGTATTGCATTCAGCATTCATGATCTTGCCTCTATTTGATATTTCAACAACTAAAGCCATTCTGCCAAGTCTTTAAAGCAGACATTTACCATAAAATCATGTTATATGTAAATCCCAGAGAGAAAGAGAGAGTGTTAAAGACTGGAGAGGGAGAATATGGGTCACTTGCACTGTACGTGGACATGCTTAAATCCACTGACAATAGCCGGCTGGGTTCACTGAAGACGGCAATGCTGCTAGTATTTAGCGTTCTCTTGTGTAGCGATCGATTGCTACTGCCTGAGTCGTCTGACGTAAAGATGGATGCCTTCCGATATAGGTAAATAAAAAACATTTAAGGACTGGCATGTATCTAATTGTTGTAATATTTAAGGCTAAAGGGAGTTACACCGTGAAGTGATGTTTTTCTTATGTGACACAATGTATCGAGTTTTTGAAACAGTGTACTAAGCAAACCATAGCATGCTTCGCAGTAATCTGTTTCTTTAAGTAACATGCAATGTCTTACAATTGTTTATGATTGCACCATATGTTGGATTGATGATACATTTATTTCCAGTATTTTTTTATTTTCTGTAAATAATCAAAAAATACCCCCCGTCTCTTTCTGCTAATCTGAAATCGACACGAATGCAATCGTGTCTATCTGCGTTGTTTTCTATTGTGCATACTGGACAATGTTATGCCCCATAGTAGGGACCGAGGACTTCTGTACGATAAAAAAAAGAAAATAAATTATCTAAGGAAAACATTTGTTCAATGCTGTACTGTAAACGATATGATGCAAAGCAGAAAACATAGCATGTCGTTATCTGATTTGTACTACAAACAGCGAATAATCCAATTATATTTTGTCATTAATGACAGGTTATAAACGTGAATAGCCTAGATTCCACTCTTTTAATATAATTCATTGTGCATTTAGTTGTAAGTATCACCATTTGTTACAATGTTTCATTGCTTGTTGTTGCTCCTGCTCGCCACTCTCCTTGCCATTACTCATTGAAATATATTTTACATTGTAAATGTAATGTATGAAGATGAAATGATGTTATGATATCGTGTCTTCTCTCCTGTCTGGTCCAGCCCTGTCTTGGCCAATGCTTGCTGCTTTACAGCATGAGCAAAGAAGTGTCGGCTCATCTTCTAGTTCTGGCAAATGAAAATGGATGAGATTTCGATGTCCAGCCTGGACAACAGCAAGCTGGAGGTAAATATAGTAGTAGGTTTGGTTTACTCCTGTGTGGACTATACATAAGGGTTTCGTTTTTCACCCACACATTTCATTTAGTCTGACTGTGTGTCATTTGGACTGCAGCTATGGCGGATGCGTAACCTGACCAGCGTAATTCAGCTTGGCCCTAGTGTGAATCAGTTCTGTAGCCAACCCTTCTGACAGTAGCATTCCATAGAAAGGCTATATCCTGGTTCTATATAATAATGCTGTGGTGGTTGGCAGGGCGTAGCTCAGGACATCCTGTCTGATCTGGTGGAGGATGCTTGTCTGGGCCTGTGCTTTGAGGTCCACCGGGCCGTCAAGCAGGGCTACTTTTTCCTGGAAGACACGGACCAAGAAAGCATGAGGGACTTTGGTATGTATTTCTACCTTCTACTCACCTTTTTTTAAATTATTGTTTAACAATGTTTAAGATAAAGACGCATACAGAAGATATCATTCCACAATTCTTAATGCGCTAACTACACCACCTTCCAATGATTACAATAGATAATATATACCTACATACCTTTACTATGTAAAGCGCTTTGAGGTACAATTTTTCATTATCTTTATTTTTGCGTGAGTAGAAATTGTGGACCAGCCAGGAGTGGATGTGTTCGGGCAGGTGTACAACCAGTGGAAGAACAAGGAGTGTGTCTGTCCCAACTGCAGCCGGAGCATCGCCGCGTCACGCTTTGCCCCGCACTTGGAGAAGTGCCTGGGCATGGGGCGCAACAGCAGCCGCATAGCCAACCGCAGGTTAGCCACCCACCCCCACACAACTGAAACAAGTGGCACGTTCCAAACCGTCTACAAAGCAGTCGCACTGTGCAAATTAACCAATTATTGAATGCTATGTAATCTACATTGCAGTTGGGCAATACATGTATGTAATATTGATGCGGTTACTGACATCATTAAATGGGGGGCTAAACTCACTAATTTCGCCTCCCTTTTCCACGTTTTTGTTATGGAATGCTAGAAGCCATGACTGAAGCAACGAGAGTTTGAAGTGGGAGTGTTATGTTCGCTAATAGCCTGGCGTTGTGTGCTCCTCTTTACTGATCCTAAACAGCAACCATACTTTACTAGATGAATGGCTTAGCAACCACTTGACGCAGCATGACAACGTGCACGTGATTGGTCAAGAATCCCAAATTCTGAGCATTTCCTCCTTTCTAGAATACCTTTGATGATATTTGTGTTTGTGATGCTAATGTTAGCTCACGAATAGTTGGGGGAAAAAAACAAGCCCTTTATAAAGACCAAGTCTCGTTCTTTCAACATAACATTGGCAACGATGTCTTGTATGTATTGTTTCATGTAAACAAGTCAGAGTTGCTGCGTGCTAATGGGTATTTCTGTTGTCTGTAATGAAATGGGCAGGCTGTAGGTTGATTCGGCTGCACTCAGCGCAGCTGTTTCACCGGGCATGACAAATTTCCCTATGCGTTACCATCCCCTTTTAGTGGGCAAGACTGGGCATGATTGAAATCAAAATCCAACCCACAATTATCCAAGGATTTAGGAACTTAAGTGTCACTTTTGGAAGATATTGACTTTATGACCAAAATTATCCCATTTACACGTTGGAGTAAATTTTGACACTAGCATAAATGTTTCTGACTAATATCGATGCCACATAGGCCGTTTTCAACTAGATACGTCTTTTTGGGGGGGTTCAGCTACCCTTTAAATACAGCTACCCTAAAACCAGCTGACATTGCAGTGCAGACAGCACTGTAATGCCATTAAGACTGGAGTTGCTGGGTCGAAGACCCAAGCCGACAAGGTAAAAAATCTGTTGATGTGCCCTTGAGCAAGGCACTTAACCCTTATTTGCTCCAGGGGCGCTGTACTATTATGGCTGACCCTGTAAAACAACACATTTCACTGTATCTATCTGGTGTATGTGACAATAAAACATCTTAATATATATATATATATATATATATATATATATATATATATTTTTATTTTTTATTTTTTTTTATTTTTTTTTTATTAGAGTATTATTATTATTTTCTAATCAGAATGTAGTTTGCACACTTGATTAAACTGTAGCCTTACTTTCTAAAGTAATGCTGAAGGAAGGCTTCTTTCAAATACTTTGCTCTAGCCTGCCTGGAGTGCCAGATGGGCAGGGTTTGCCATTTTGGGACTATTCTATTGGTCCAGTAAACCACACAAGCTCAATTAAGCGCAGATTAAGTATTGGAAATGATTTCAAATAGTATTTTGAACCCAGGTCATAATTCAATGGATGATGTCATTGACTGCCATTTCTTCCCCACACAGAATAGTCACCGGCAACAACACTAACAATAAATCAGAGAGCGACCAGGAGGATAACGATGACGTCAATGATAACGACTGGTCTTACGGGGCGGAAAAGAAAGGTAAAGGACTGGCTTTCACCCTCCTTTCCAAGGTGATCTAGGCACGAAACGAGAGCAAACGTTGTGAAACAGAAAGGTACTACATGACCTTGTCCAATAAGAACATAAGTTATTTTCCATTGCAAAACGTTTTCCTACAGTGTGCCCTACTAAAGATGACCCTGGTGACTGACAGTTACAGTGTATATATCTACTCACAAGAGGAGACAAATTGACATTGAGAATTTTAAATTGTGAATACCATGAGTCAATCTCTACATTAATTTTAACTGAAACAGAATTGACCTCAACTAAGTGCACATGCATCCAAAATGTAGTTGTATCTGTTTGATCTTCACTTGTAATCTAGTAGTTAAAAAAAAGTGTATAAAAAAATTAAGATATATATATATATATATATATATATATATATATATGCTTTGAAGTGTTATCAGTGTGCTTGGTTCTCTTGTGTATTTGTACGTTGTGATATCATGTATATCATTTAAAGTATGTCCAAGTGTCTTATAAAATGCTCTCATTTTTTCAGCGAAGAAGAGAAAATCAGATAAGGTATTGGCACTTTCTTTGAAACAACCTGTTATTGATCAAATTTAATATTTTCTGTAATAATATAGTTTTGCCACTAGTTGATCATTCTGCTTTTCTTGATGCTTTATCTGAATAGAATCCAGTGCCACAGCTGTATTTCAAGTGAGAGATCGAAGGGAGAATGTTGATTGGTATTTGGGGTTTGTGTAGTTGTAACCAATCTAATAAAGTTACTACAGGATAGCACGACCAAAACAAACCATACATATAAAGTTATCTTAATATGTTCATAAAGTTTCCAACAGTGTGCAGCATGATCCTGAAAGGCGATGAGATCAAATTTAGATTTCTTCCATTTTAATGCTTGTTGTGATTGTCAAGCTTTCTGTTAAACAAAACATATTATTTTTTACGAATAAGACAATTCAATTACATCTTTCTTAGTTTTGTGTAAACTATTTGTTTATATTTTCCTTTTTATTGTAGAATCCAAACTCACCCAGGAGATCCAAATCATTTAAACATAAGAGTGGTAAGTCATCATCATCAGTCTATACCTACTAAATGCAAGGTAATTGTGGCAAATGGAGCGACTGCTTTAGACCTCATTCTTTGGAGAGGCCTAATACACACTCTGGCATTAATTCAATAGTATGACAGTGTTATGACAAAGGATATACTGTATGTAAGTTGTCCCTGAGACGCTCTACCCTAGTTCTAGGTCATTGAGACTGAGAGACAAAGTAAGTAAGGTGTGGACTGTGGCTCATATGAAATATAAGCTATCCTACAGATAATGGTGGAGTTTTAGGTAATATGTTTTGCAGTTGCGCTGTGCATCTCAGAAGATATTGCTATTTTATATTAAGGTGGTTGCAGAGATCATTTGCGGAATGTAACTAAAATTAAAACATCCTGGAATGTCCCCATAATCATAATTTCACAGCATAATTTGGTTGGAGTGGAGAATGGAAATGACTTTGATAAAGAGTCAGTCTGTCTCCACAGGTATGATCGGCCCCAGACGGCGTATGGACAACCAGGAGAGCCCACGCATGCTGATGAAAGACGAGGCCTTCCCTCAGTGACAGACAGACAGGAAGACCATTCAGAGTCCACCCTGGCTCCTTTTGTTTTTCAATGGACCGTGACAGACGTGTAGTAGACTATTGCTAAATGGGTCATGTTCATTAGGCACCAAACTGAACAAAACTGACTGAAACAGGGAGGTAGTGACTGAACTTCTCCAATAAGAAATGCTTGTTTGTTTTCCATTGTGAAGCGTTTTAAAATGTTTTGTTACAGTGTGCCCTAATGAACACAACACTGCTGAAGCAGTCCAGAGACCCCCTGCACAGTTTGTGACTTCCGTTTTCCCCCCTCACCAAATCGTTGCACCAATAATCATTATTTTATATCATACATGATTTTATCGATAGGTAGCTCTTGGCTGGCCTCTACGAAATATCACGTTAGAATCTGTCAATGCACAGACAAGGAGTGAGGTCATACAGTACAGTGGCTAGGTAGAGGCAGTCGAGGTCAGAGCAATGGATACTAAGGCCCTTTTGATTATGCGCAGACTTTTTGATGATATTATCAGTCAAGAAGTCTTTTCAACAATCATTTTTTGACAAGAACATAATTATGGACAAATGGACAGTTAAAATCAGAAGTCACACAACTTACAATCATGATTAATGGTTTGTCGTTTTATTTTCTTACTCCACATTCACCCTGTCAACAACATGATTCTCCTACTGATGAGAGTATGCTTAAAGGACTCCCGTCACTTGTCATTTACCTGTGGAAATAGGTTTTGAAATAGACTGCAAACTCCTTGCTGTAGAACATGGGTTAATCTGTTTCATTGTAGATGGGTAGTTAGTTAGGCTTGTTTTCTAGCATTCAATACATGTTTTATTATTTGTTTACATTGTAAAGGGTTACATGTATCCTCTGTGTTGTGATAGTGTAAATATTTGAATAGTTGAAATGCTGCTATCATGGCTTTGTATTTGTTAATCTGTCAAGTAATAAACAATTACCTGTCGACGTGTAATAATTATTTGAACTGAGAGTATAGGAATCAAAGTTATGTTTAGCTTGACATGGGCTGATGCATATATCTAGGCAGCGGGGTCAGGGTTGCAACAAAGCCAAGTTTTAGTAAACATTTGTATCTGTTGAATGAACCTGAACATACCCTAGGCCTTCCCAGCCTGTAGTGCACTCAGCCACCAGCAGGGAAGGCTGTTGATTGCCTGTTTTGGGAATTCAACATTTTCCTAATTTTTTTGTGTGTGTGCCCAAAGTGATGTAGCTTGTAGAGCTTTTCAAATAAAAGAAATTTTTATTTGTCAAATGCGCCAAATACAACAGGTGTAGACCTTACAGTGAAATGCTTACTTACAGGCCCTTAAACACCAATGCAGTTAATAAAAGTGTTAAGTAAACAATAGATAAGTAGGAAATAAAAGCAAACAGTAAAAATAACAGTAGCGACGCTATATACAGGGGGTACTGGTACAGAGTCAATGTGCGGGGGCACCGGTTAGTCGAGGTAATTGAGGTAATATGTACATGTAGGTATAGATAAGTGACTATGCATAGATAATACACAGAGAGTAGCAGCAGGTTAAAAGAGGGGGTGGGGGTGGGGACAATGCAAATAGTCCGGGTAGCCATTTGATTAGCTGTTCAGGAGTCTTATTGCTTGGGGTTAGAAGCTGTTAGAAGCTTTTTGGACCTAGACTTGGCTCTCCGGTACCGCTTGCCATGCGGTAGCAGAGAGAACAGTCTATGACTAGGGTGGCTGGAGTCTTTGACAATTTGTAGGGCCTTCCTCTGACACCGCCTGGTATAGAGGTCCTGGATGGCAGGAAGCTTGGCCCCAGTGATGTACTGCGCCATACGCACTACCCTCTGTAGTGCCTTGTGGTCGGAGGCCAAGCAGTTGACATACCAGGCAGTGATGCAACCAGTCAGGATGCTCTCGATGGTGCAGCTGTAGAACCTTTTGAGGATCTGAGGACCCATGCCAAATCTTTTCAGTCTCCTGAGGGGGAATAGGCTTTGTCGTGCCCTCTTCACGACTGTCTTGGTGTGTTTAGACCATGATAGTTTGTTGGTGATGTGGACACCAAGGATCTTGAAGCTCTCAACCTGCTCCAATACAGCCCCGTCGATGAGAATGGGGGCGTGCTTGGTCCTTCTTTTCCTGTAGTCCACAATCAACTCCTTTGTATTGATCACGTTGAGGGAGAGGTTGTTAACCTGGCACCACACTCATCGTTGTCGGTGATCAGGCTGTTGTGTTGTTGGCAAACTTAGTGATGGTGTTGGAGTCGTGCCTGGCCATGCAGTCATGGGTGAACAGGGAGTACAGGAGGGGACTGAGCACGCACCCCTGAGGGGCCCCCATGTTGAGGATCAGCGTGGCATATGTGTTGTTACCAACCTTTACCACCTGGGGACCGCCCATCAGGAAGTCCAGGATCCAGTTGCAGAGGGAGGTGTTTAGTCCCAGGGTCCTTAGCTTAGTGATGAGCTTTGAGGGCACTATGGTGTTGAACGCTGAGCTGTAGTCAATTAATAGCATTTTCACGTAGGTGTTCCTTTTGTCCAGGTGGGAAAGGGCAGTGTGGAGTGCAAAAGAGATTGCATCATCTGCAAATTGGAGTGGGTCAAGGGTTTATTGGATAATGGTGTTGATGTGAGCCATGACCAGCCTTTCAAAGCACTTCATGGCTATAGACGTGAGTGCTACGGGTCTTTAGTCATTTAGGCAGGTTATCTTAGTGTTCTTGGGCACAGGGACTATGGTGGTCTGCTTAAAACATGTTGGTATTACAGACTCAGTCAGGGACAGGTTGAAAATGTCAGTGAAGACACTTGCCAGTTGGTCAGCGCATGCTCGGAGTACACATCCTAGTAATCCGTCTGGCCCTGTGGCCTTGTGAATGTTGACCTGTTAAAAGGTCTTTCTCACATCGGCTACGCCGAGCGTGATCACACAGTCGTCCGGAACAGCTGAAGCTCCCATGCATGCTTCAGTGTTGCTTACCTCAAAGCGGGCATAGAAGTGATTTAGCTCGTCTGGTAGGCTCGTGTCACTGGGCAGCTTGGGGCTGTGCTTCCCTTTGTAGTCTGTAATAGTTTGCAAGCCCTGCCACATCCGACGAGTGTCGGAGCCGATGTAGTACGATTCAATCTTAGTCCTGTATTGACGCTTTGCCTGTTTGATGGTTCGTCAGAGGGCATGGCGGGATTTCTTATAAGCGTCCGGGTTAGAGTCCCGCTCCTTAAAAGCGGCAGGTCTACCCTTTAGCTCAGTGCGGATGTTGCCTGTAATCCATGGCTTCTGGTTGGGGTATGTACGTACGGTCGCTGTGGGGACGAAGTTATCGATGCACTTATTGATGAAGCCAGTGACTGATGTGGTGTACTCCTCAATGCCATCGGAAGAATCCCGGAACATATTCCAGTCTGTGCTAGCAAAACAGTCCTGTAGCTTAGCATCTGCGTCATCTGACCACTTCTTTATTGACCTAGTCACTGGTGCTTCCCGCTTTAGTTTTTGCTTGTAAGCAGGAATCAGGAGGATAGAATTATGGTCCGATTTGCCAAATGGAGGGCGTGGGAGAGCATTGTAGGCGTCTCTGTGTGTAGATTAAAGGTGGCCTAGAGTTTTTTTCCCTCTGGTTGCACGTTTAACATGCTGGTAGAAATTAGGTAAAACAGATTTAAGTTTCCCTGCATTAAAGTCCCCGGCCACTAGGAGCGCCGCCTCTGGATGAGCGTTTTCCTGTTTGCGTATGGCCTTATAGAGCTCATGGATTGCGGTTTTAGCGCCAGCATCAGTTTGTGGTGGTAAATAGACATCTACGAAAAATAGTGTGGTCTACAGCGTATCATGAGATACTCTACCTCAGGCGGGCAAAACCTTGAGACTTCCTTAATGTTAGATTCCGTGCACCAGCTGTTGTTTACAAATATACACAGACCGCCACCCCTTGTCTTACCGGAGGCCGTTGTTCTATCTTGCAGATGCAACGTAAACCCCGCCAGCTGTATGTTATCCATGTCGTCGTTCAGCCACAACTCCGTGAAACATAAGATATTACAGTTTTTAATATCCCGTTGCTAGGATATTCGTTATTCAAGCTTTCTATGTGTTTTTGAAAATGTATTGATTTTAAAGCCTATACACTCATAATTTGTATTTGGCATGAGGGTTGACAGGGTAGCCTTCAGTCTCAGAGTAAAGTATCTTTGCTACAGTCAGCTTTCAAAAGTTTCAGCCATAGAGATAGATAGGACTCCTCTTTGTATCTGTGACTGCATGAGCAGCACCATTGAGGCGATCTCCATTTTGACGTAGTCCATTTTATTCTTCACGATTGGCTAATCCCTTCTGATGACCCGGTTGGACATGACTCCAACCGGGTCACCAGGAGGGATCAGCCAATGAAGATGGAGGTTCCACCCAGTTGACTTCATTTAAAATGGTGGAAGCCCTCAATGGCGCTACCCATGCTATTACGGTCTTTTGGACACTAGAGGCCTCTATCATTCTCTATGGTTTCAGCCAATCGGGCAACAAGTAGCTAGCTAGCTAGTAGGAGGAGGCACTGGCAGTTGACACGGCGCCACACTTCTATCTTCAGACATTGGACAGACTCTTCAACATGCTCTTGTGACCATTAATATAAATTGGCCTGACAAATTCAACTATTTGGGGAGGGGATGACAAACATATCACTTTGTCTGTAGGAAGGAGTAAACGACCGTTTGTCACTCGCAAGTAAACACCCCGGAACTGATTAGCTAGCTAACGTTAGTAACGTTAAGCTCAGCTGGCTATCTTTTTGTTGGCGTTAGTTGCTAGCTAAACAACTGTCAACACGCGTGGAGAATAAACGTTTGGCCTGTGTGCTATCAGCAAGACGGCTTGTTCTCTACACCGAAAACTTCACGGCGACCTACCACCACTTGTAGCTCCGAAAATGACTTCAAGAGGGGGTTTTCCAGGTACTCCGATGAACCCCAGTGTTAACCCCATGAACGCTGGACATGCAGGCGGTGGAATGAGGATACCAGGAATCCAACAGAATTCGGGTTTCCGAGCCATGAATGCCACTCCTCAGTACCATCAGGTAACTTGTCGAGGTTTCCCCTCGGCTAACTTGTAACTAATTGTATGTAATTTACCGTGATAACTTTGCTATAGTTGCTTTATTGGCTAAAATATGGCAAGTAATGTTATTTAGTGACAAGTTGGGTACTGTATAACGTTATCGCGTTTTACAAGTCATGACTCATGTTACAAAAAGTGTTGGCTAACTACTAGCTAGTAATGTTAGCTAGACACTGCTGTAAATGTCAGACAAGTGGCAATGCAGTTACTGTAGTTAGAACATTAATTAGTTCTCCCTATTCATCTGTGGTATATTGACTTTTAATTTCATCTGTCAACTTCCGCATTTCAAGAAAGTGAAAAACGGACCGCGGAATGAATTGTTGATCATACCTGTGTGAAGTTAGCCACATTAGTGTAATTTGCGGTCGCCTTCAAAATAAACGTCCCACAATAAAAATGATTCAAACGGATACAAATAGTGGAATCATGCCATATTTGGAATAGATAATGCTAAGCCATGTTGGAATGTTATATAAATTCAACAAAAGACAATTAGTTCATTTTACACTAAAGTGAAAATCACACTAACTGTATTATACTTTTAATTGCATTGGGGCATACTTACGGTGCCTTGCAAAAGTATTCATCCCCCTTGGCGTTTTTCCTATTTTGTTGCATTACAACCTGTAATTTAAGTGGATTTTTATTTGGAGTTCATGTAATGGACATACACACAATAGTCCAAATTGGTGAAGTGAAATGAAAAAAAATAACTTGTTTCAAAAAATTATAAAAATATAAATAACGAAAAAGTGGTGCGTGCATATGTTTTCACCCCCTTTGCTATGAAGCCCCTAAAATAAGATCTGATGAAACCAGTTACCTTCAGAAGCCACACAATTAGTTAACTAAAGTCCACCTGTGTGCAATCTAAGTGTCACATGATCTGTCACATGCTCTCAGTGTATATATACACCTGTTCTGAAAGGCCCCAGAGTCTGCAACCCCACAAAGCAAGGGGCACCACCAAGCAAGCGGCACCATGAAGACCAAGGAGCTCTCCAAACAGGTCAGGGACAAAGTTGTGGAGAAGTACAGATCAGGGTTGGGTTATAAAAAAATATCAAACTTTGAACATCCCACAGAGCACCATTTAAATCCATTATTTAAAAAATGTAAAGAATATGGCACCACAACAAACCTGCCAAGAGAGGGCTGCCCGCCAAAACTCACGGACCAGGCAAGGAGGGCATTAAACAGAGAGGCAACAAAGAGACCAAAGATGACCCTGAAGGAGCTGCAAAGCTCCACAGTGGAGATAGGAGTATCTGTCCATAGGACCACTTTAAGCTGTACACTCCACAGAGCTGGGCTTTACGGAAGAGTGGCCAGAAAAAAGCCATTGCTTAAAGAAATAAATAAGCAAACACGTTTGGTGTTTGCCAAAAGGCATGTGGGAGACTCCCCAAACATATGGAAAAAGGTACTCTGGTCAGATGAGACTAAAATTGAGCTTTTTGGCCATCAAGGAAAACGCTATGTCTGGCGCAAACCCAACACCTCTCATCACACCGAGAACACCATCCCCACAGTGAAGCATGGTGGTCGCAGCATCGTGCTGTGGGGATGTTTTTCATCGGCAGGGACTGGGAAACTGGTCAGAATTGAAGGGATGTTGAATGGCGCTAAATACAGGGAAATTCTTGAGGGAAACCTGTTTCAGTCTTCCAGAGATTTGAGACTGGGATGGATATTCACCTTCAGCAGGACAATGACCCTAAGCATACTGCTAAAGCAACACTCGAGTGGTTTAAGGGGAAACATTTAAATGTCTTGGAATGGCCTAGTCAAAGCCCAGACCTCAATCCAATTGAGAATCTGTGGTATGACTTAAAGATTGCTGTACACCAGTGGAACCCATCCAACTTGAAGGAGCTGGAGCAGTTTTGCCTTGAAGATTGGGCATAAATCCCAGTGGCTAGATGTGCCAAGTTTATAGAGACATACCCCAAGAGACTTACATTTACGTCATTTAGCAGACGCTCTTATCCAGAGCGACTTACAAATTGGTGCATTCAACTTATGATAGCCATTCAACTTGTGGGGGAGGGGGGTGTAGAAGGATTACTTTTATACTATTCCAGGTATTCCTTAAAGAGGTAGGGTTTCAAGTGTCTCCGGAAGGTGGTCAGTGACTCCACTGTCCTGGCGTCGTGGGGGAGCTTGTCCCACAATAAGAACTAAGACGCTAATATTTGTGTAAACTCTACACAGTTGTGTGAGTGCCACTGAGTAGGCTGATACCCCTTTTAATGGGTGCACAATCCATAGGTTAGGCTGTACACTGCATATAAGTATGCCCCAATGCAATTCTAAAGTCTAATACATCCACAGTGCAATTTCAAATTAACTAATTGTCTTTTGTTGAATTTATATAACAACATTCTGACCTTGTTTAGCATTATGTAGTGCAAATATGGCATGATTCCACTATTTCGATCTGTTTGAATCACGTTCAATTGGGAACTTTTATTCTGAAGGCCAACAGCAAATTACACTATTGTGGCTAGTCCTTATTATGGCTAGCTTCATACAGGTAATCATGCATCACGTGTTTGCAAGTGTTTAGCAAGTTAACAGTCATCCCAAATGCAAGCTTTTTCATCACCACCATATGCATGACTATATGTAGTTAGTTCATGCATAACGTGTTAGGCTACTTACACTTTCATTACTAATACATGGTTCCTCTTTGAAAGATATCATAACAAACATTGATCACTTCAGTTAGGAAGGAAGTTGTCAGCTTGCCATAAATGTAACCCGTCTGTCCCATTGTGCTTTCCATTTCCAGCACCCTGGTATGCCACCCAACAGGGGGATCCCGATGGGGCCAATGGGGGGCCCTGGACCCTCTTATGGGGGCGGGAACATGCCCTTACGCACAGGAATGGGGCCGTCAGCCATGGACGCCTCCCGAAAGCGATTCCTTCAACAACAACAGCAGGGGGGGCTGGGAGGCCCAAGGCGTGGGTGAGTTAGGGGGTGGACTGTCTGGGGGGCCCACAGCCTGTTTTTAAAAGGGGACATGGGGGTTGTTGTGGTGGGATTTGTGTGGCACCATTGCACAGCATATTGATTAACCATGATTTAGGATTATGGCTGTACAACAATATTTTTGGTCTTGCCAGACATTGGCCTTGTCCGTAATCTGTCGTGCCTACTACTTACTTACTTACTAAAACTACACACTGTCTACTAATCGAACTACATACTATTTAGAACATACTGTTTAGTAAAAATGAATGCAGTAAGCAACAAATATCAACATACTAGGCTCACCCATCCTGAGAATGAATAATCTAATGTGAAATTGCGCTGATTCCCGCCATTTGTTCATTTGGGTACAACGTGTGCCCTTATCTCATTATCAGCTGTTGTCAGACACTCGTGAGTCTGGAAATACTATTTTCTTCCTCAAAAGTGTGCAGCGAATTCTACTAGATGAAAAGCCAAAGTGAGTATAACATCCTGGCATTTAAAGCATACTCGATGTTCGAAATTTTGCATACCTAACATGCCTACTATTTAGAAAGCTAGTATGGTTATTCGGGCACGGCCATTGTCTATACCAGGTTATCTTTCTTGGTGAATTCTCAGGCAAAGTTATTTTTGAATGAATGATGCAGAGTTCAAATGCTGAATATTTAATGTCATGAAGACATGCACCCTAACTGCACTACTGTCAACGATAATGCATCTGGTAACCACAACCAATAGAGCTACATGTGACCCCCCCCCAGACGTTCACAGCCTTTAGGGATCTTCCAGGGTCTTTGATGGTGGTGTAGGGACACTACTGACTCTTTTGTACCCCCGTCCTCACAGTCAATGGTCTGTCTGTTGCTCCACTCATTCTGCTGCACAGAAAGAGTGCACAGAGGAGTTAAAAACAAAGAAACCTTAACCAAAGACGACGTCCCATGACCATGCCCCACTGCCAGACAGAGCCACGTGGACAAGGGCATCTTTTTTTAACCTCAAAACAGAATGACGTCATCTGCTTGTAAATGTTCGGGAGGACGGATGCCTGGTGGTTATTTCTATCATTTTGATCTACAACAAGGGTCTTGTGTGTTTAAGAGATTTTACTTAATACTTTACAGTTCATATAAGGAAATCAGTCAATTGAAATAAATTCATTAGGCCCTAATCTAAAGGGCTTTATTACAGACAGTGAAACTCCTCAATTTCGTCTGGGTGGCTGGTCTCAGACGATCCCGCAGGGGAAGAAGCCGGTGTGGCGGTCCTGGGCTGGCGTGGTTACACGTGGTCTGCAGTTGTGAGGTCAGTTGGACGTACGTCCAAATTCTCTAAAACGACGTTGGAGGCGGTTTATGGTAAAGAAATGAACATTCAATTCTCTGCCAACAGCTCTGGTGGACATTCCTGCTGTCATCATTCCAATTGCACGCTCCCTCAACTTGAGACATCTGTGGCATTGTGTGACAACTGCACATTTTAGTGGCCTTTTATTCTTCCCAGCACAAGGTGCACCTGTGTATTGATCATACTGTTTAATCAGCTTCTTGATATGCCACACCTGTCAGGTGGATGGATTATCTTGGCAAAGGAGAAATGCTCACTAATAGGGTTCTAAATACAGTGGGGGGAAAAAAGTATTTAGTCAGCCACCAATTGTGCAAGTTCTCCCACTTAAAAAGATGAGGCGCCTGTAATTTTCATCATAGGTACACGTCAACTATGACAGACGAAATGAGATAATTTTTTCCAGAAAATCACATTGTAGGATTTTTAATGAATTTATTTGCAAATTATGGTGGAAAATAAGTATTTGGTCAATAACAAAAGTTTCTCAATACTTTGTTATATACCCTTTGTTGGCAATGACACAGGTCAAACGTTTTCTGTAAGTCTTCACAAGGTTTTCACACACTGTTGCTGGTATTTTGGCCCATTCCTCCATGCAGATCTCCTCTAGAGCAGTGATGTTTTGGGGCTGTCGCTGAGCAACACAGACTTTCAACTCCCTCCAAAGATTTTCTATGGGGTTGAGATCTGGAGACTGGCTAGGCCACTCCAGGACCTTGAAATGCTTCTTACGAAGCCACTCCTTCGTTGCCCGGGCGGTGTGTTTGGGATCATTGTCATGCTGAAAGACCCAGCCACGTTTCATCTTCAATGCCCTTGCTGATGGAAGGAGGTTTTCACTCAAAATCTCACGATACATGGCCCCATTCATTCTTTCCTTTACACGGATCAGTCGTCCTGGTCCCTTTGCAGAAAAACAGCCCCAAAGCATGATGTTTCCACCCCCATGCTTCACAGTAGGTATGGTGTTCTTTGGATGCAACTCAGCATTCTTTGTCCTCCAAACACGACGAGTTGAGTTTTTACCAAAAAGTTCTATTTTGGTTTTATCTGACCATATGACATTCTCCCAATCCTCTTCTGGATCATCCAAATGCACTCTAGCAAACTTCAGACGGGCCTGGACATGTACTGGCTTAAGCAGGGGGACACGTCTGGCACTGCAGGATTTGAGTCCCTGGCGGCGTAGTGTGTTACTGATGGTAGGCTTTGTTACTTTGGTCCCAGCTCTCTGCAGGTCATTCACTAGGTCCCCCCGTGTGGTTCTGGGATTTTTGCTCACCGTTCTTGTGATCATTTTGACCCCACGGGGTGAGATCTTGCGATCGAGGGAGATTATCAGTGGTCTTGTATGTCTTCCATTTCCTAATAATTGCTCCCACAGTTGATTTCTTCAACCAAGCTGCTTACCTATTGCAGATTCAGTCTTCCCAGCCTGGTGCAGGTCTACAATTTTGTTTCTGGTGTCCTTTGACAGCTCTTTGGTCTTGGCCATAGTGGAGTTTGGAGTGTGACTGTTTGAGGTTGTGGACAGGTGTCTTTTATACTGATAACAAGTTCAAACAGGTGCCATTAATACAGGTAACGAGTGGAGGACAGAGGAGCCTCTTAAAGAAGAAGTTACAGGTCTGTGAGAGCCAGAAATCTTGCTTGTTTGTTATTGACCAAATACTTATTTTCCACCATAATTTGCAAATAAATTCATAAATCCTACAATGTGATTTTCTAGATTTTTTTTTTTTTCTCAATTTGTCTGTCATAGTTGACGTGTACCTATGATGAAAATTACAGGCCTCTCTCATCTTTTTAAGTGGGAGAACTTGCACAATTGGTGGCTGACTAAATACTTTTTTTCCCCACTGTACATTTGTTCACATTTATTATAAGTTGTTTATGCATATGGAAAATTTCTGGGATATGTTATTTCAGGTCATGAAACATGGGACCAACACTTTACATGTTGCGTTTTTATATTTTTGTTAAGTGTTTATATTAGATACTTGATTAGGGAGTCGCACCAAGGGCTGAAAGTGAAAGGCTCTCCAAGGCCCTGAATAATTTGATTTACTTGTTAAGGAAGGGGGAGCTAGTTTAATTAGATCAAAGAAAACAAAAGCTTTTGTTGATTCAGTTGTGATAAGTGCAAGCCTTTGGGTCCAAGAGTTGTGAGCCTGAACAGGCATCATGGTCATATTCAATAGGCACGAAGCGGAAGAAAACATATTGAAACGTAGAGGTACCATCTGAAGTCGTCCAATAAGAAACACTCGTTTTCTGTTGCAAAACATTTTGGTACGTTTTGCCTGAATGAACACAACCCAATCCTCTCGCTTTTCCATGTGTGGAATAGTGTAGCTATCATCATAAAGGTGTTGCTGTTTGAATAGGCAACATTTCTAAGTGCCTTACAGTATGCCATTAAAGATACGTGAAGCTCTAACACTTTGTCTCGATTTGTGTTTTTGCAGCAAAAGGCGCAGGATGGCCGACAAGGTGCTTCCACAGCGGGTGAGTATAAACGTTGCCCCCTTGAAAAATAGATATGCATACAGTATACGGCTCTGGATCGATCCATTTATTCCCGACTGGGGAGGAAGAACACATATCCCTCCCATATTGAAACCTCCTTGTTCCAGATCCGAGACCTGGTTCCAGAGTCTGAGGCCTACATGGACCTGCTGGCCTTTGAGAGGAAGCTGGACCAGACCATCGCACGCAAACGCATGGAGATCCAGGAGGCCATCAAAAAGCCCATTACGGTACAGCTCGAACTAATTTGTATGTATGGTATTGTAAGATAATAACGACCATAAATTGACCAATTAACATAATTTGGTCTTCCAGTGTTTCCCTTAGATTCCCTTTCAGTCAGTATACAAAGGCTCCCAAAACAAAATCCAGGGCAGCATCCAGTTTATGCCAAATTCTTTTAGTCTGTCTAGATCTGTAAAAATTATTTTAGATCTGTCAGGCAGGGTGGCCTCCCCGACATTGGTATAGGAATGGGAAACACTTTCTTTGTAAAAGGTTGCGTGATGTGTCCCTCTCAGCAAAAGCGCAAGTTGAGGATCTACATATCCAACACCTACACACCCGGCAAGCCAGAAGGTGAAGAGGCAGAAAAAGTGTCATCCTGGGAACTAAGGGTGGAGGGAAAACTCCTTGAGGATGTAAGTGACCCAACTGTGTCTGTTTGTGTATCTGATGGCAGTGGTAGCTGGCCTAAAACTTGTGACATCACTTACCTAAAACCACACAAGACAAATAAAATAATATTTCTAGCCAAAGCTTAGTCGTAAGTCACAAGCCAGTAGGTATTGGCTGTGATCCACCATGTAGGGAAAACAATTTTTTTTTTAGAGCAGAGGAAACGATACCTGAATAAAACTGCATCCATAGTGCTTGTTTGTTATACTTGTATAACAACACCACTTTATTTTTGCGATGTACACTCAACACCGTATGTATTTGGACAGTGAAGCTAAAATTTGTCTCTATGCTCCAGCGTTTGGGATTTGAGATCAAATGTTTCATATGAGTCGACATTACAAAATGTCACCTTTTCGAGGGGATTTTCATACATATATTTTTAACCGTTTAGAAATTAATGCACTTTATACAGTGCCTTCGGAAAGTATTCAGACCCCTTGACTTTTTCCAAATTTTGTTACGTTACAGCCTTATTCTAAAATTGATTAAATAAAAAAATATCCTCAGCAATCTACACACAATACCCCATAATGACAAAGGGAAAACGGGTTTTTAGAAATTTTACGAAATGTATTACAAGTAGAAAACAGAAATACCTTATTTACATAAGTATTCAGACCCTTTGCTATGAGACTCAATTTCCATTGATCACCCTTGATGTTTCTACAACTTGATTGGAGTCCACCTGTGGTAAATTCAATTGATTGGACATGATTTGGAAAGGCACACAACTGTTTTTAAAAGGTCGCACAGTTAGCAGTGCATGTCACAGCAAAAACCAAGCCATGAGGTCGAAGGAATTGTCCGTAGAGCTCCGAGACAGGATTGTGTCGAGGCACAGATCTGGGAAAGGGTACCAAAACAATTCTGCAGCATTGAAGGTCCCCAAGAACACAGTGCCCTCCATCATTCTTAAATGGAAGACGTTTGGAACCACCAAGACTCTTCCTAGAGCTGGCCGCCTGGCCAAACTGAGCAATCGGGGGAGAAGGGCCTTGGTCAGGGAGGTGACCAAGAACCTGATGGTCACTCTGACAGGGCTCCAGAGTTCCTCTGTGGAGATAGGACAACCATCTCTGCAGCACTCCACCAATTAGGCCTTTATGGTAGAGTGGCCAGACGGAAGCCGCTCCTCAGTACAGTAAAAGGCACATGACAGCCCGCTTGGAGTTTGCCAAAAGGCACCTAAAGACTCTGACCATGAGAAACAATCAATCAAATGTATTTATAAAGCCCTTTTTACATCAGCAGATGTCAAAGTTCTATACAGAAACCCAGCCTAAAACCCCAAACAGCAAGCAATGCAGATAGATGTAGAAGCACGGTGGCTAGGAAAGAACCACTCATCATGGTTCTTTCATGATTATCCATAGCCATGGTAGCATCCACATTAATATAGGAGTGTTCAGAAACATCTTCTATTCTTACTCACAATAAAAGTGACTCCAAAATGAGACAATGCATTATTCACCATTCAGTTCCTATTGGGCAAAATATTATCTGAAACCAAAACAAACTACAAATGCATCCAACAACTTTGTAGAGATACAAGCTTTATGTAGTCATTAACCACATTTCCATACAACCATTTCATGCGGGTTATTTGCCTGATGCATTAAAAAAAACAGTCATGACAGGCCTGATGGAAATTTGGTGGATAATGTTGTTGTTGGTGAAATCGATTATGTGACAATTGTGGTGGAAATGCTTTTATGCGCAAATATTGATATTAAAACCATGTCGCTGGAAAACTTGGAGTCATGAGATTTAAAATAGGGAGTTGCAGAGTTTTTATAGGCAGATGAAATAAGTTTAAAGTTCATAAGTTTATAACTTATGGTGGATAAAGTGGACGGTAATGAGCTTTTATGCAAATTTCCAATAAATATCGAGGGTAGGCTATTATTTGAAAGATGCTGGTGACATGATGATCGGTGCTTGGCTGCCAATTATTTAAAAAATAAAATAAAGTGGACAGGGTATTTTTTATTTATTTATCAGCAAATTGTCTATAGAGCATGTGTCAAACCAGATTGGGCAAGTATGCCATTTTCTCGCAACAGTTTTTGTGACAAAACCGTCAGTAGAGTTGAAAATGGAAACACATTGAACTTCAGATTTATTTTATTCGGTACATGAAAATGTAAGCGCAAAATACCTTTTTATGTACACTACGTCATCATGCACAGCTGTTTATCTGCAAAAAGTCTGTTTGATGGAAACAAATTTGCATATTATTTTAAATGCAGAATTTAGAATATTCGCATGAAAATCTGTCGCCAATTGTATGGAAACCTAGCTACAGTGTGCAAGGAATATGGGACCAAATACTAAACTTTTGACTACTTTTAATACACTATAAGTGAATTTGACCTAATACTTATAACTTCTTCAAATGGGGGGGGACTAGGTACATAAAGTGCTTTCATTTCTAAACGGTAATTTGATCTCAAATCCCAAATGCTGGAGCATAGAGCCAAATTCAACATATTAACATAACTATCCAAATACATATGGTGTTGAGTGTATGCTCACTGCTCAGAAATATTATTGTTTTCGCCGCCACCATTTCATCGGAATCTAATGCATGTTTTTGACAATTTACTACCAGAGCCTGTCTCAAGTATTTTAGGCACTGTTATCGTGTCTTAACTTCAGCGTTCTCCAACTCCGTTGGCCTGTTTCCTTGGCTTACACTACCCAGCCAGATGTTTTTTCAGTTTTTCTCTCATGTTCCCCTTTTCTCCGAAACAAGGAATTGAAACCATGGCTCGTTCTTTCTGTTACGTGCCATGAGTCGACATGCACCCTTCATACTTCTCCTCTTCCAGCTGACAGTCATTGTCTGCATCCCAAACGGCTCCCTATATAGTGCACTACTTTTAACCAGAGCCCTATCGTAGTAGTGCACTATATATGGAATATGGTGCAATTTGGAACGCAGCCAATGAATGGCTTGGCTGCAGCCACATTTTAAAAAGGGGGGGATTTTTTTCTTGTTTTCCATTGCCTCAGTGGTTAGAGCGTGTGTAGGAAGGAGAGAGAGGGAAGGGGTGAGAGGGGGCATGTTGCGCAAACAGTCATTGGCAGGGGTGAGTTTTGGTGGGGGGTGTAAAAACTTAGCCAACTTCTCCAGAATGTTAGGTTTTCGCCAGCCACAGCCCCCTGATGTGGTCAGTACCAAACAATGCAGCTGTAGCAAAACACTGTAAAACAAAAAAATACCACAGTGTGAATGATTTTGTTTTCTTTCCTTCTATTCTTTCCTCACATGCTATTCCTAGCCTGGGAAACAGAAGAGGAAGTTTTCGTCTTTCTTTAAGAGTCTGGTCATTGAACTCGATAAGGAACTGTATGGGCCTGATAACCACTTGGTGGAGGTATGAAGGACACCAATACATACTTTGTCAACTACATTAACAAAATGTTTTTAGAATAGTACCCCTGAACAAGCATTCAAATTGCCATCACTGTTCAGTTGGTCAAACATTTACCAATATAATAACATATGTAGCACACAGCCATGTTGATCATACGAATGGTGTTGGTCCTTGTATAGAGAACGAATTGCATGAAGAAAATCTAAACAAAACTAAAGAAGAATAGATGTCAGTGTGCTGTTTTTGCACCTTGTCATGTTCTTTAGGGCACACAACGGAAAACGTTTTGCATCGGAAAAAGGAAATTGTATAAGTGTTTCTTATTTGACAAGTGCAGTTAGACCCTCCCTGTTTCAGTCCGACTTTTACCATTTGGTGCCTAATGAACATGACTCTGGGTTGTATTCAATAAGCGCAAAACGGAATAAAACAAGCCGAAATGGGGAGGGACTTGCTAAACTTGTCCAATAAGAAACAATTGTTTTTAATTTAGTTTGCAAAACCTTTTGCCCTAATTAATACGACCCACAGTTCTAAACTCTCTCTGTATTTTCTCAGTGGCACAGGATGCCCACCACCCAAGAGACAGACGGCTTCCAGGTGAAGAGACCAGGGGACGTGAGCGTAAAATGCACCCTGCTCCTAATGCTGGACCACCAGGTATACACACACCAGTGTATATTTTGGCACTTTTATTTTATTTAGTCTAGTCTTAGTCAATATTAAGTCTTAGTCACATTTGTCATTTGAATAATGATTTAGTCTAGTTATTGTCAAAATGACAAACGGTTGGCCATTAGTCTACTATATAAATGCCCTTTCAGTTTAGTCACATCACATTTGTATTGCCTCATTAACCTATAGTAAACATAAATCACTGACTTCGATGTGCACAAACATACATAGCCTTGTCCTACCAACATATTTTTCTGCATAACATCCTATTCTCTTCCCAATAGCAGAAATATGACATTTGACTTTGAACAGGAGCTAATGATCGTTTCGCCCAGTGATGGTGTCGAGTCACTTAACCTATAGGCCAAATCGAGTCAAGTTCCCTGTGCTTGAGCCCGAGTCACCAATGGTCGCGTCACGAGTCCCTATGTCCAAGTGCTCAAGTCTTGGTCCAAGTGCTCAAGTCTGAGTCACTGGGGTTTAGTGTTCTTTTTGGTTTTTACCTATAGTCCAGGCAGGGGTCATGTAATTGATGATGTGTCTATACAGTGCCTTGCAAAAGTATTCATCCCCCTTGGCGTTTTTCCTATTTTGTTGCAATACAACCTGTACATTTCATGTAACAGTCAAATGGTGAAGTGAAATAAAAAAAATAACTTGTTTAAAAAAATTATAAAAAATAAAGAACGGAAAAGTGGTGTGTGCATATGAATTCACCCCCTTTGCTATGAAGCCCCTAAATAAGATCTGGTGCAACCAATTACCTTCAGCAGTCACATAATTAGTTAAATAAAGTCCACCTGTGTGCAATCTAAGTGTCACATGATCTCAGTGTGTGTGTATGTGTGTATATATATATATATATATATATATATACCTGTTCTGAAAGGTCCCAGAGTCTGCAACCCCTCTAAGCAAGGGGCACCACCAAGCAAGCGGCACCATGAAGACCAAGGAGCTCTCCAAACAGGTCAGGGACAAAGTTGTGGAGAAGTACAGATCAGGGTTGGGTTATAAAAAAATATCAGAAACTTTGAACATCCCACAGAGCACCATTAAATCCATTATAAAACATTTTAAAATGAAAGTATATGGCACATTTACATTTACATCATTTAGCAGACGCTCTTATCCAGAGCGACTTACAAATTGGTGCATTCAACTTATGATAGCCAGTGGGAAAACCACCTTTTTTTATTTTTGGGGGGGTGGGGGAAGAAGGATTGCTTTATACTATTCCAGGTATTCCTTAAAGAGGTAGGGTTTCAAGTGTCTCCGGAAGGTTGTCAGTGACTCCGCTGATGTGGGGGAGCTTGTTCCACAACAAACCTGCCAAGAGAGGGCCGCCCACCAAAACTCATGGACCAGGCAAGGAGGGCATTAATCAGAGAGGCAACAAAAAGACCAAAGATAACCCTGAAGGAGCTGCAAAGCTCCACAGCGGAGATTGGAGTATCTGTCCATAGGACCACTTTAAGCCGTACACTCCACAGAGCTGGGCTTTACGTGGCCAGAAAAAAGCCATTGCTTAAAGAAAAAAATAAGCAAACATGTTTGGTGTTCGCCAAAAGGCATGTGGGAGACTCCCCAAACATATGGAAGAATGTACTCTGGTCAGATGAGACTAAAATTGAGCTTTTTGGCCATCAAGGAAAATGCCTGGCGCAAACCCAACACCTCTCATCACCCCAAGAACACCATCCCCACAGTGAAGCATGGTGGTCGCAGCATCATGCTGTGGGGATGTTTTTCATCGGCAGGGACTGGGAAACTGGTCAGAATTGAAGGAATGATGGATGGAGCTAAATACAGGGAAATTCTTGAGGGAAACCTGTTTCAGGCTTCCAGAGATTTGAGACTGGGACTGAGGTTCACGTTCCAGCAGAACAATGACCCTAAGCATACTGCTAAAGCAACACTTGAGTGGTTTAAGGGGAAACATTTAAATGTCTTGGAAAGACCTAGTCAAAGCCCAGACCTCAATTCAATTGAGAATCTGTGGTATGACTTAAAGATTGCTGTACACCAGCGGAACCCATCCAACTTGAAGGAGCTGGAGCAGTTTTGCCTTGAATGGGCACAAATCCCAGTGGCTAGATGTGCCAAGCTTATAGAGACATACCCCAAGAGACTTGCAGCTGCAATTGCTGCAAAAGGTGGCTCTACAAAGTATTGACTTTTGGGGGGTGAATAGTTATGCACGCTCAAGTTCTGTTTTTTTTGTCTTATTTCTTGTTTGTTTCACAATAAAAAATATTTTGCATCTTCCAAGTGGTAGGCATGTTGTGTAAATCAAATGATACAACCCCCCCCAAAAAAAATCTAATTTAATTCCAGGTTGTATGGCAACAAAATAGGAAAAATGGGGGGGGGGGGGGGTGAATACTTTCATAAGCCACTGTATTTCTCAGTGTTTTAGAATTAGTTGCTTATAAGGCTATATATTGATTTTGTATTTATCAGAGTTATTGACCTCCCAATAAGCCAGTTTCTTTGATATTCAGAGGCTGACTTTGCTTGGTAAGTAATCTAATTCTATCACTATCGATTGATTAAGCTATACACTTTCTGTACACCCAGACAGCTTTTAGGGAAACACTTGTGACCTCTCGTTGGGTTAAGCCACAGAAGAAGAGTAGCCAGCAGTTAAAGCTTACATTTTTCTACGTTGGTAGGCCTACTGTCTGGGGTGGAAAGGTAGGCCTAACTTTTGAAAGTACCATGCTCAGATTCATAATGACATCTCAGATTAAATTATTTGCGAACAAGACACTGATTTGGCATTGGAGAAATATGATAATATAAACACAGGCCTATCTCTCTGTCCATTCTTAGCCTGTAATTTGTGTGGCATTTAAAAAATATTCTGCTAATATGTGAAGTCACGTAAGATTGCATGAAATGTTTATAAAAGGCAACAACAAAAAATCTCTGACCTGCAAATACGATGATAGATTCGCATGCTTTTACTATAAAGGAGATCTTTCCACCCCTACTCTTGTCCACGGTAGTCTGTGAACCCACAACCTTCTGGCCCGCAGCCTTGTGCGCTATAAAAATAAATTCCTGTGTTGCCATGCAATGCTTACAGGACGAAGAACAGTTTAGAAAGAAAACGGCATATCTAAGGCTGTGGACTGTCCAAGAAGTGAGGGCATGTTCTCTGCTATCCACTTTGTTTTAATTATTATTTTGAGGGTAGGGGAGGGTCACTTGTTTTTTCAAGTGCTCTGAGGGTTTAGGTAAAATATATTTTGCATGTTTGTTCTACATAGAAATCTGCTATCTGAACGTTCCAAAACGTTGTGTCCTGCTGAACACGCCCTAGGTTGCTTACACTGCTGCTACTCGCTGTTTATTATCTATGCGTAGTCACTTTACCCCTACCTACACTACCAGTCAAATGTTTTAGAACACCTACTCATTCAAGGGTTTTTCTTTATTTTTACTATTTTCTACATTGTAGAATAATAATGAAGACATCAAAACTATGAAATAACACATGGAATCATGTAGTAACCAAGAAAGTGTTAAACAAATCAAAAAATATTTTATATTTGAGATTCTTCAAAGTAGCCACCCTTTGCCTTGATGACAGCTTTGCACACTCTTGGCATTCTGTCAACCAGCTTCACCTGGAATGCTTTTCCAACAGTCTTGAAGTAGTTCCCACATATGCTGAGCACTTGTTGGCTGCTTTTCCTTCACTCTGCGGTCCGACTCATCCCAAACCATCTCAATTGGGTTGAGGTCGGGGGATTGTGGAGGCCAGGTCATCTGATGCAGCACTCATCACTCTCCTTCTTGGTCAAATAGCCCTTACACAGCCTGTAGGTGTGTTGGGTCATTGTCCTGTTGAAAAACAAATGATAGTCCCACTAAGCCCAAACCAGATGGGATAGCATATCGCTGCAGAATGTTGTGGTAGCCATGCTGGTTAAGTGTGCCTTGAATTCTAAATAAATCGGTGTCACCAGCAAAGCACCCCCACACCGTAACACATCCTCCTCCATGCTTTACGGTGGGAACTACACATGCGGAGATCATCTGTTCACCCACACCGCGTCTCACAAAGACACGGTGGTTGGAACCAAAAATCTCCAAAGGACAACATTTCTACCGGTCTAATATCCATTGCTCATGTTTCTTGGCCCAAGCAAGTCTCTTGGTGTCCTTTAGTAGTGGTTTCTTTGCAGCAATTCGACCATGAAGGCCTGATTCACACAGTCCCCTCTGAACAGTTGATGTTGAGATATGTCTGTTACTTGGACTCTGAAGCATATATTTGGGCTGCAATTTCTGAGGCTGGTAACTCTAATGAACTTATCCTCTGCAGCAGAGGTAACTCTGGGTCTTCCATTCCTGTGGCGGTCCACATGAGAGCCAGTTTCATCATAGCGCTTGATGGTTTTTGCGACTGCATTTGAAGAAACTTTCAAAGTTTTTGAAATTTTCCGGATTGACTGACCATGTCTTAAAGTAATGATGGCCTGTCGTTTCTCTTTGCTTATTTGAGCTGTTCTTGCCATAATATGGACTTGGTCTTTTACCAAATAGGGCTATCTTCTGTATACCCCCCCTACAACTGATTGGCTCAAACGCATTAAGAAGGAAAGAAATTCCACAAATTCACTTTTAAGAAGGCACCTGTTAATTGAAATGCAGTCCAGGTGACTACCTCATGAAGCTGGTTGAGAGAATGCCAAGAGTGTGCAAAGCTGTCATCAAGGCAAAGGGTGGCTATTTGAAGAATTTCAAATATAAAATATATTTTGATTTGTTTGACACTTTCTTTGGTTACTACATGATTCCATATGTGTTATTTCATAGTTTTGATGTCTTCACTATTATTCTACAATGTAGAAATTAGTAAAAATAAAGAACCCTTGAATATGAGTAGGTGTTCTAAAACTTTTGACCGGTAGTGTACATGTACAAATTACCTCAACTAACCTGTACCCCCGCACATTGACTCGGTACTGGTATCCCCTGTATTTAGCCTCATTATTGTTATTTTATTGTGTAACTTTTTTCTGAAGTTTTATTTTAAGTTTATTTAGTAAATATTTTCTTAACTCTATTTTCTTAACTGCGTTGTTGGTTAAGGGCTTGTAAGTAAGCATTTCACAGTAAGTTACCTGTTGTATTCGGCGCATGTGACAAATAAAATTTGATTTATAGCTAGCTAATGAGACCAACATGACTGAACAAGGTGTATCCTAAACAAATGGTTAACGGTCCAGTCCGCAAGTGGACTAGTTTTAGAACGGCCCGCTATATGCTTTATGAATGTAAATGTGACCCGCCAATGCGCGATAGAAAGAAAACACGTAGCGACGGTATTATTGGTCATATCATCTGAATGGTAAGGGCTAGAATCAAGCCGTTTTCTCTGAGGAAAAGAGGGCGACTTGGCTACAGAACCTGGCTATGAAATGCAGTGTGGTAAGTGGGAGGGTTGAGCGAGACAACAAATTCAATGCCAGCCTACTTTTATATACGCGAGGGAGAGAAAAACATAGCTAGACTGTTAAACTATTAATCTCAATGCTGCTATTGTTTTTAATTTTGTAAAGCAGCTTGTGTTTCTTAACCAGGCAAAGGGTAGCTAAATAGAAGGCTGGTGGTGACTGGTTAGCTATGGGGAAGCAAGAGATGTGTATAATCAGAGGCGGAGCCAGTGGAGCCTGTCTGCCTACACTCATCCCTTGCTCCTCCGCAGCTCACCAACTGTAGGCGGTGTGTAGCACATCCTTCCCACTGCTGAACAGAACTGCGCTGTGCATCTGTGCTGTAATACGGCATGGTAACACTTAGACATTATAGTGCCAATAAACCAAAGTAGCTATGGTGAAATATCACATGCTAGAAAGGACAAATGTTTACGAAGAATCTGGTAAAGTTTTAGTATTGTTAATCCACTAATGCACTCTGTCCATGTGCCCCTTTGGCATACAGGAGCTAACTTAACAGGGTGATGGCAACTTTGTTCATAGAATTGTGATGTATGTTTTGACTGTTATTACTACGTAGTCACTCAGACGTTATCAGGGTCATGTTTGCCAGCAGCATACCACCCTGTATCCCACTACTGGTTCGCCTCTGAACCTAAGCAGGGTCGGTCCTGGTACTTCCCTGGATTGGAGACCAGATGCTGCTGGAAGAGGTGTTGGAGGGCCTCTAGTCTAAGGAGATCCAAATGCCCCAGAGCAGTGAAGGGGACATTGCCCTATGTAGGGTGCCGTCTTTTGGATGGGACGTTAAACGGCTGTCCTGACTCCCTGTGGTCGTTAAAAATCCAGTGGCACTTATCGTAAGAGTAGGGGTGTTAACCCCAGCGTCATGGCTAAATTCCCATCATGGCCACCTAATCATCCCCCCCATTCCTAATTGGCATATCACTCCCTCACCTCTCCACCTGATTGCTGATGTGTGGTGAGCGTTCTGGCACAAAAATGGTCGCCGTGCATCACCCAGGTGGGTGCTACACATTGGTGGTGAATGAGGTGAGTTTCCCCCAACTACAGTGGGGAAAAAAGGATTTAGTCAGCCACCAATTGTGCAAGTTCTCCCACTTAAAAAGATGAGCGAGGCCTGTCATTTTCATCATAGGTACACGTCAACTATGAAAGACAAAATGAGAAGAAAAAATCCAGAAAATCACATTGTAGGATTTTTTATGAATTTATTTGCAAATTATGGTGGAAAATAAGTATTTGGTCACCTACAAACAAGCAAGATTTCTGGCTCTCACAGACCTGTAACTTATTCTTTAAGAGGCTCCTCTGTCCTCCACTCGTTACCTGTATTAATGGCACCTGTTTGAACTTGTTATCAGTATAAAAGACACCTGTCCACAACCTCAAACAGTCACACTCCAAACTCCACTATGGCCAAGACCAAAGAGCTGTCAAAGGACACCAGAAACAAAATTGTAGACCTGCACCAGGCTGGGAAGACTGAATCTGCAATAGGTAAGCAGCTTGGTTTGAAGAAATCAACTGTGGGAGCAATTATTAGGAAATGGAAGACATACAAGACATACAAGACCACTGATAATCTCCCTCGATCTGGGGCTCCACGCAAGATCTCACCCCGTGGGGTCAAAATGATCACAAGAACGGTGAGCAAAAATCCCAGAACCACACGGGGGGACCTAGTGAATTACCGGCATAGAGCTGGGACCAAAGTAACAAACCCTACCATCAGTAACACACTACGCCGCCAGGGAATCAAATCCTGCAGTGCCAGACGTGTCCCCCTGCTTAAGCCAGTACATGTCCAGGCCCGTCTGAAGTTTGCTAGAGTGCATTTGGATGATCCAGAAGAGGATTGGGAGAATGTCATATGGTCAGATGAAACCAAAATATAACTTTTTGGTAAAAACTCAACTCGTCGTGTTTGGAGGACAAAGAATGCTGAGTTGCATCCAAAGAACACCATACCTACTGGGGTGGAAACATCATGCTTGGGGGCTGTTTTTCTGCAAAGGGACCAGGACGACAGATCCGTGTAAAGGAAAGAATGAATGGGGCCATGTATCGTGAGATTCTGAGTGAAAACCTCCTTCCATCAGCAAGGGCATTGAAGATGAAACGTGGCTGGGTCTTTCAGCATGACAATGATCCCAAACACACCGCCCGGGCAACGAAGGAGTGGCTTCGTAAGAAGCATTTCAAGGTCCTGGAGTGGCCTAGCCAGTCTCCAGATCTCAACCCCATAGAAAATCTTTGGAGGGAGTTGAAAGTCTGTGTTGCCCAGCGACAGCCCCAAAACATCACTGCTCTAGAGGAGATCTGCATGGAGGAATGGGCCAAAATACCAGCAACAGTGTGTGAAAACCTTGTGAAGACTTACAGAAAACGTTTGACCTGTGTCATTGCCAACAAAGGGTATATAACAAAGTATTGAGAAACTTTTGTTATTGACCAAATACTTATTTTCCACCATAATTTGCAATTGGTGGCTGACTAAATACTTTTTTTCCCCACTGTATGTAAAGTGCTTTGAGTACCTCAGTTGGTAGAAAAGTGCTATATAAATCCAATCAATAATTATTATTAATTAGGCACCAAACAGAATAAAACTGACTGAAACAGGGAGGGACTAACTGTCCAACAAGAAACACTCATTTTTGTTTTCCGTTGCAAAGTGTTTTTAAAAGATTTTCCGTTGCGTTCCGTAATGCACATGATCCTGATCCTGATCCTGATAATAGATATGGGGGAAGGTCAACTGAAGGATGCATGACAGATGTGTCAACCCTTTCGCAATATGTATTTCATTTTAGGGAAGTGGAGGCGTGCCGATTTTTAAGCCAAACTGGCAATACCACATTTGCAATACTATACTTCCAAACATGTTTTATATCTGCATGTTGATTTTGAGGGTGGAATAGTGATGTTTAAATGTCCAGTAACCCACAGAGACGATGTGATGGGGAGTGTGTTTATCTGTTCTCCAATTGGCTATATTGACCTAGAAGCCTTCATCCCCCTGCCTCTCTCCTTTTTCTTCTCCTCTGCATCTTTCCTGCTCCCCCCCCCCCCCCCCCCCCTTACACCTCTTCTTCCACCACCTACTCTTCACACAGCCCCCACAGTACAAGCTGGACCCGAGACTGGCCCGGCTGCTAGGTGTACACACCCAGACACGGGCCAGCATCATGCAGGCGCTGTGGCTTTACATCAAGAACAACAAGCTGCAGGACAGCCACGAGAAGGAGTACATCAACTGCAACCGCTACTTCAGACAGGTGCAATCCCAAACAAGCCTTTAAGGCGTAAAGGGATGACTTACTTATTCATGATTGCAACTAGTGGAGCAAAGGGCCTCAAGGCTTAAAGGGATAATTCATCTCAAAATTGAACATTGTCAGTGTTGAATTGGATGTCGCCAATGTTTTTGAGGCCTGCAGAATTATCTTAATGTAGATATAGCATGATCGACAAAACCACACAATCCTAAATAGATTATAGCTCGAATTTAGACTTTTGTGGAATAAAAACCAATGACAAAATGTGTTTTTTGGGGTGAACTGTAATTTAAACATTACTTGACACATAGCCCTAGAGAGCAATTGTGAAAGCTCTCAACCGTTGTCAACTTAATTTGGCATAAATACAACACAAACATGCAGAAATATCAGCAAACAATAAATCCACAATGAAAGAAACTCCTACGTAGGGTCCATTTACGTTGGTAGAATGTGTGTGATAAGTTGTCCTAAAGAAGGGATTTTCAAAACTCAACGCGGGGACCTCTAGCTGTTCCATGTGTTTGAACTATTACAGAGCTACTGTACACCTGTCCTAAAGCACAGGTGTCAAACTCTTTCCATTGAGGGCTGGGTCACTGATCATTTCGGAACATAATTTTGCACACATTTAAAGAAAATAACAAAACAGCAAAAACTCTGCCTTCCATGGAATGAGTTTGACACCCCTGTCCTAAATGAATATAGTTTTTTTTGTAAATAAATCAAAACTTTACTTCAACAAAGTTAGCTATCTCTTTAACTTGTCTGAACTGCAGATTTTAGGCTGCACACGTATGCGTTTCTCTGAGATTCCCATGAAGCTGGCGGGACTTCTGCAGCATCCTGACCCCATCATCATCAATCACATGATCAGGTGTGTCTCTGAGTGTGTATGAGTGGCTATTGACCAATCCCAAATCGACACTTCTGAGCGGAATGGATGGGAATAAGCCAGGGATCTCAAACTTGCGGCCCACAAGCTGTTTTCTTGTTGTGGCCCCCATACTGATATCTAATACTTATTGGAATCGGGCCCTATTGGAAGTGTTCCTAAACCCATATTCATAGTTTATTACTATAGCTTAGTAATATCATAGTCATGTCAAAATCTGGGATACCATTTCTTACATCTGTATTTAATCATTAATGTACAGTAATCTTTTTAAAGGGATTTTTCTATGTTCATCTCTTAAAACCGATCATGACTGTCATATTAATACTTCTCTGTTCTATGCTCACCTCTGTAGCGTTGACCCGAATGACCAGAAGAAGACGGCGTGCTACGACATTGACGTGGAGGTGGATGATCCTCTGAAGGCCCAGATGAATGGTTTCCTGTCCTCAACTACCAATCAGCAGGAGATCGCCACCCTGGAGATGAAGGTCGATTGAATTGACTAATCAATACTTTCACTAATAAAACTTCCATGACAGAACTAGTGAGTAGATATCTTCGTAAATTGGGAGAGCCTCTCTTGCTCAGGTCTTAGTTTGAAGTGCAATGTTTGAGCATCTGGCCATTTCTCTTATTAGGTGATAGATGAAGTCATTGAATCAACATGGCTAGTGCTTAGCCTGGTCCCAGATATGATTGTGCTGTATAGCCAAGACAGTTGGCAAGACGGCATAAACATATCTGGGTCCAGGCTTATTAGTGCTGGCCTTTCCAATTCAACTATAAAAACATACAGCTCTTCATGTCTTCATTTGTAGTATCTCATCAGGCATGTCCTCACTCGGCTCTTCACAGATCCACGAGACCATAGAGTCTATCAACCAGCTTAAGACCCAGAGAGACTTCATGTTGAGCTTCAGCAACAACCCACAGGACTTCATCCAGGACTGGCTCAAGTCCCAGAGTCGAGACCTCAAGGTACTGACTGACTGTAAATAGCTTGGCATAAAGGGCTGCATTCCATTCCAAAATGCTGCTCCCTTCCCTCCCTCTCTTTGGTTCTTTCCGCACACTTCCATAGCCAAATATTTTCACTATGTAAATCCAACGACTTGTGTATCTGTCCTACTTAATAAAATGTATGTATAGGAATCCATTGCCTTGAATGTGATGTACACAAATACATATCCTCTTCTCGTGTTGTGTAGAGGAGATTGAGATGGTGGACCAACTTATTGAAGTATTGTACACTTACCTGTAAATTATTGTTGTTTCTCAGTTGATGACGGACGTGGCAGGCAACCCAGAAGAGGAGAGGAGGACAGAGTTTTACCAGGCCCCCTGGGTACCAGAAGCTGTGGGCCGATACGTCTACTCTAAGGTAGGCATCCAGCACCATGGGATGGGTCTCAATACTTTTCATTAGGGCTATATTTGTTGGATCTGTGCAGTGCACTCTGTATTGGTCTATCACTAAAAGGGAACAAGGTTGACACACCTGTATGAATACTTTTAGGTTGTTTTTATGTATGGAGGGCTGGTCGACATTTATAAAGGAATGCTTACCATGCCGTTTCACTGTTAAAGGGATAGTTCACCCAAATTACACAATTACACATTGATTTCCTTACCCTGTAAGCAGTCTATGGACAAGGTATGACCGCAATCCATGCTTCGGTTTTATTTTCCTGGCACTGTTTCCAAATGCAAACGTTTTAGCATTTGTGGCACAAATCCCATTCAAGTCATGGTACCTAATATTAGCATTTTTCATATCCAAATCATCCAAAAGTATCTAAAATTAATTGTGACGCTCAACAAAGTCACTTAGATGATTTCAATATGATGTGTGAAAAAGGGTAATATGGGTACCATGACTTGAATGGGATTTGTGTCACGAATGCTAAAATGTTAGCATTTAGAAACGGTACCAAGGAAACGAAACCAAAGCACGGATTGCTGTCATACCTTGTCCACAGACTGTTAACAGGGAAAGCAAACAATGTCATTTTGTAATTTGGGTGAACTATCCCTTTAAATATATACATGTATTTCTGTGTCTTAGGTGCAGCAGAGAAGACAGGAGTTGGAGCAGGTGCTGGGAATCCGACTCACCTGAGTCCTTATGGAGCGTAGCTCCCCAATCCATTAAAATAAAACAAGGCACATTTTAAGATGGTCTTAAACCTCCAGTTTTACATGAATCATATCCAAAACACAACCACAGAACTGGAATCAGCTTGCATCAATCCGCATTGCCTTTTTCAACCACTTTGTAATAGCATATGTTATTATATATATTATTCCATAACTATTGTAGCTAATGTGGTCTTTCAATCACAAAGCCTTATGTCCTTATAGGAATTGTTTGGTGCCATGGTTTCAGCAGGGTAAAGGCTTTTGAGTACTTTGCTGGTATCTGTTAATAGCATTTCTTTTAAAGTAATTACTTTAGGACCAAAGTGATGATTTACATAGTCTATCTTATAGTCTTGTCTTTCTCCACATTATGAGGGATACTGACTGCCAGCTGATTCAAATATTTGCCTTATAATATTGCAAAATGTACAAATGAGTTGTAGCTTTCTTCCCACATACATTTGCTTATGATGTCTTAAGCATTGGTACTGTCAAGTTGTTTTGACTCAAGTTGTTGTGTGCCATTTTGAAATGATTTTTTTACCCTAGTTCTTCAAAGCCAAAGAGATTATTTAGCAGACACTCTTATCCAGAGCAACTTACAGTTAGTGAGTGCATACATTTTCATACTGGCCCCCCCTGGGAAACGAACCCACAACCCTGGCGTTGCAAGCGCCATGCTCTACCAACTGAGCTACAGGGGACTAGTATTAGTTAGGGGAAAGTACCTAAAGCCTAGTAACCTTTTCACAAACAACACTTGACGAAGCTTGTTATGAATACAGATAATATCATAGAATCCACATTTGGACAGGACAGTCAGGAAATCGTAGTGCTGGTAAATGATGGTTTGGGGCTTTTCTATTTGCTAGGAAAGGTGCCCACTTTGTCTAGCTGTTGCAGTCAATTTGGATTTGTGTTTCTCTGTTTACTTGCTGTTTTGATTGGTTGTTAGGGTATTTCACTGTCTGAATTCCAAGGGGTAGGGGAGATTGGCAGTTTGAGTGGGTGCAAGTGGGTCTCCCTAAAAGGAATTAAAGGGATACTTCAGGATTTTGGCAATGAAGCCCTCTATCTACTTCCCCAGAGGCAGATGAACTCATGGATAACATTTTTGTCTCTGCATCCAGTATAAGGAAGTTAGAGGTAGTATCGCGAGCCAGTGATAACTAGCGTTAGCGCAATGACTGGAAATCTATGGTATCTACTAGCATGCTAGTAGTTTCCATAGACTTCCAGACATTGCGCTAACGCTAGTTTGTAAATGCGCTAACTCTAGTTAGCAACTTCTATCAAACTGCACGCAGAAACATGGGTATCCACGAGTTCATCTGACTCTGGGGAAGTAGATAAAGGGCTTTATTGCCAAAATCCTGAAGTATCCCTTTAACTTAATTTAGGAAGTCTGAAACTGTTATTTGAATGAATAGAATCCAAACCATAGTAGTACAATGTGTGTATGGTTGTTGTCCACCATTGTATTTTTGTTAGTATTTTCATGTAAGTCTTCAAGGGATAATCCACCCCAAAGCACTAATTCCTATGATTAACAGTGTTAAATAAGACTAATATATGAAGAAAGAAATTGATTGATTGATTTTGTCGTTATAACAAGGTTGGTGGCAATGTAAAAATCTATGTGGAAATCTGTTGCAGCTTAAGTGGACGACAAAACCCACAATGCAATGCTCTTTCTCTGGGCTCTAGCTAGGTAGTTAGCTAGCAAACGTAACTACACACAATAATGTCAAAGTCAATATCAGCATGTGAAGTAGCGAGCAAGCTGTAAAATCACCTAATCAAACTGCACTATCAATTTAGGAGTCTTGCAGTTCGTCTCTGCCCAGAGTTTCATATATACAGTCATTGGCCCACAGCAAGTGCAGAGTATGTTGCTTTGGCAACTATGGCTCTTTCCCACAGACACACAGGGTGCATTGTGATATGGTACTTGAAGGAGAAACTGGGTTGAATAATTTGGTACACTGTTTACATTGAGCACATCTAAGCAAAATATGTACTTTGTCATGAAGGTATAAATGGATGGATGTGTTCTAGACAAGTACGCCCATACCATCTGTTGGCAGATTTGGCGATCTGGAGTGCAGGTCATTGTTTTAAAAGCGCAATTAAATGTGATAGTGTGTTATCCCCTATCTCCAGTGACAAGAACCATGTAGCTATGATGCGTTCCTACACGATTTCCTGATTTTGACAGACTGACCACTTAGAAGTTAAATCATGTGGACATTTTTTATTTTACCCACTGATGGAACAGGCTTTCCCCAAATTGACAGGATTTTCATGATTTTAATTTCTGGGGTTGGATTATCCCTTTAATCTATACTGAACAAAAATATAAACGCAATATGCAACAACTTTACTGAGTTACAGTTCATATAAGGAAAGCAGTCAATTGAAAAAAAAGAATTAGGCCCTAATCTGGATTTCACATGACTGGGCAAGGGTGCAGCCATGGGTGGGCCTGGCCCAGACAATCAGAATGAGTTTTTCCCCACAAAAGGGCTATTACAGACAGAAACTACACATTTTAGTGGCCTTCTGTTGTCCCCTGCACAAGGTGCGCCTGTGTAATGATCATTCTGTTTAATCAGCTTCTTGAATTGCCACACCTGTCAAGTGGATGGGTTATCTTGGCAAAAGAGAAATGCTCACTAACCGGGATGTAAACAAATGTGTGCACAAACATTGAGAGAAATACGCTTTTTGTGTGTATGGAACATTTCTGTGATTTTATTTTATTTTATTTTAGCTCATGAAACATGGGACCAACACTTTATATGTTGCATTTTATATGCAGGTTTTTACTTTAGGAAAATGTCAAAATGCCTATGAACATTCCAAAAATCGGATTTTGTCAAAATTGTTCTTGTGAAACAGGGCAGTTACGTTTCACGGAATCTCACTGTTGTGCCTGTTCCTCTTGATTTTCTACGACATCTTTGTAAAAGAGTTTGCATGTTTTGTATCCTCAATCGAAAGCTTTTATACAATTATACTCGGGAGTGCCTTTGGAATATTTTGTTAAATAAATATACTTGAAGAAACATTTCTACGTATTTTTATTTGGACAGTGAAGCTAAAACATTTCTGGGCTCTATACTCAAGCATTTTGGATTTGAGATCAAACGTTTTATATGAGGTGACAGTACAGAATGTCACCTTTTTATTTGAGGGTGTATTCATACATCTGTTTTACCTTTTGGAAATTTGCACTTTATGTACAAAAGTTTGGACACCTACTAATTCAAGGGTTTTTCTTTATTTTTACTATTTGTTACATTTGTAGAATAATAGTGAAGACATCAAAACTATGAAATAACACATGGAATCATGTAGTAACCAAAAAAGTGTTAAACAAATCAAAATATATTTTATATTTGAGATTCTTCAAATAGCCACCCTTTCTTTGCCTTGATGACAGCTTTGCACACTCTTGGCATTCTCTCAACCAGCTTCATGAGGTAGTCATCTGGACTGCATTTCAATTAACAGGTGTGCCTTCTTAAAAGTGAATTTGTGGAATTTCTTTCCTTAATGCGTTTGAGCCAATCAGTTGTGTTGTGACAAGGTGGGTGGGGGTGGGGGGTATACAGAAGATAGCCCTATTTGCTAAAAGACCAAGTCCATATTATGGCAAGAACAGCTCAAATAAGCAAAGAGAAACGACAGTCCATCATTACTTTAAGACATGAAGGTCAGTCAATACACAAAAACCATCAAGCGCTATGATGAAACTGGCTCTCATGAGGACCTCCACAGGAATGGAAGACCCAGAGTTACCTCTGCTGCTGTGTATGATACACTACATAATGAGAAGTATGTGGACACCTGCTTGTCGAATATCTTATTCCGATATCATGGGCATTAATATGGAGTTGGGGACCAACTGCTATAACAGCCTTCACTCTTCTGGGAATGTTGGAACTTTGCTGCAGGGACTTGCTTCCATTCAGCCATGAGCATTAGTGAGGTCGGGCACTGATGTTGGGCAATTAGACCTGGCTCGCAGTTGGCGTTCCAATTCATCCCAAAGGTGTTCGATGGGGTTGAGGTCAGGGCTCTGTGCAGGCCAGTCAAGTTCTTCCACACCGATCTCGATAAACCATTTCTGTATGGACCTCACTCACAGAATCATCTAGAATGTCATTGTATGCTGTAGAGTTAAGATTTCCCTTCACTGGAGCTAAGAGGCCTAGCCCGAACCATGAAAAACAGCCCCAGACCATTATTCCTCCTCCCCCAATCTGTTGGCACTATGCATTGGGTCAGGTAGTGTTCTCCTGGCATCCGCCAAACCCAGATTCGGCTGTCGAACTGCCAGATGGTGAAGTGTGATTCATCACTCCAGAGAACGCGTTATATACCACTCCAGCCGGCCCTTCGGCATTGCGCATGGTGATCTTAGGCTTGTGTGCGGCTGCTCGTCCATGGAAACCCATTACATGAAGCTCCCGACGAACAGTTCTTGTGCTGACATTGCTTTCAGAGGCAGTTTGGAACTCAGTGGTGAGTGTTGCATCTGGGACAGGCGATTGTTATGCGCTACGCGCTTCAGCACTCAGCAGTCCCGTTCTGTAAGCTTGTGTGGGTTAACACTTCACGGCTGAGCCATTGTTGCTCCTCTACGTTTCCACTTCACAATAACAGCTCTAGCAGGGCAGAAATGTTATGAACTGACTAGTTGGAAAGGTGGCATCCGATGACGGTGCCACGTTGGAAGTCACTGAGCTCTTTAGTAAGGCCATTCTACTGCAAATGTTTGTCTATGGCGATTGCATGGCTGTGTGTTGGATTTTATACACCTGTCAGCAACGGGTGTGACTGAAATAGCCGAATCCACTAATTTGAATACGTGTCCATATGCTTTTGTGTATATATCGTGTATTTATGCCTCTAACTTTCTCACTGGTCCTAGATCTGTTTGTACAGCCAACTCATACAGTCATTCTCATTGCCAAACTTTAGCATGAAAATGAACTTAAAGGAGAAGTTTACTTTTTTACAACCAAATCAGAATTTGGGATGTAAATGGTATGTTATAGAAGTGTCCAAACTGTTGTGTTTTTGTTGCTATTTCACTTGTTTTTGAGAAACTTACCCCAACCAGCGATTTACTTTCTTATTCTGCTGTATGGGTGCTCAAATAAAACATTAACAAAAGCTCAAAAAACACCCAAATAAGTCATTTTAGAAATGGAAAGTACAGTGATGCAGGTCTTGTAGATGTTATACACATGAAATTATCTCATTCCAAACTTTATCCGCAACGTTAAATTCAATTTTGTGCAACTTGCAGATAAAGTTCGGAATACCACAATTTCATGTGTACAACTTCTAAAGACCTGCATCACTATAGTGATAGTGTTCCCCTTTCTAAAAGGACGTATTTGGGTGTTTTTAGAGCTTTTGTTTGTTTCATTCAAGCCCCCATACCGCAGAACGAGGATGAGGAAGTATATTGTTGGTTGGTGTAAGTTTCTCAAAAACAAGTGAAATCGCAAAAGTGTCTGGACACTTCCATAACATGCCATTTACATCCAAAATAGAGATTTGTTTGTAAAAGAAAAAGTTAACCGTTTAAAAGAGTTGTTTGTTCATCACAAACAGATCTGGGACCAGGCTATGTTTTCAGCTATACAGTGGAGGCTTAAGAGCTGGCCTCTCACGCATGCCCAATGTGTTCATGTTCAGGCTGGTTAAGAAGCCTGTGGCCGTTTACAGAATAGGACTGCTTAAACCGGTATGGCTGGTCTTACCTGTTTATTACTCTCCTCAAATAACGGCCGAACTAACCACACATCTATGTCCTTGTGTGCTGCTGGGAGCTGGCTTGAACAAACTTGTGCTGGAATAGACAAGCCAGTCCGTTTAACTGATAAGTCGAAGACCACATATTCAATGCCAGTCTATTTTGAAATGCATTCAAAACGTAATGATTTATCATATACATTGAGTGCACAAAACATTAGGAACACCTTCCTAAAATTAAGTTGCACACCCTTTTGCCCTCAGAACTCAATTTGTCAGGGCATGGACTCTACAAGGTGTCAAAAGCATTCCACAGGGATGCTGGCCCATGTTGACTCCAATGCTTCCCACAGTTGTTTCAAGTTGGCTGGGTGTCCTTTGGGTGGTGGACCATTCTTGATACACACGGGAAACTGTTGAGTGTGAAAAACCCAGCAGAGTTGCAGTTCTTCACACACTCAAACCGGTGCGCCTGGCACATACTACCATACCCCGTTCAGTGGCACTTAAATCTTTTCACCCTCTGAATGGCACACATACACAATTCATGTCTCAAGGCTTAAAAATCCTTCTTTAACCTGTCTCCTCCCCTTCATCTTCACTGATTTAAGTAGATTTAACAGGTGACATCAATAAGGGATCATAGCTTTCACCTGGATTCACCGGGTCAGTCTGTCATGGAAAGAGCCGGTGTTCCTAATGTTTTGTACACTCTGTGTATATTGCACACTTATTGCACAGTATTGATATAGCTAATATGGTACATCAGGCCCACTCATAGGACCATGCAAATTGATTTTACAATCTTCAACAAATTTGACTGGCACAGCTTTTCGAAATAGATATGGTATTTGCAACAAGGACAAGTATTATTACCCATGGGGCGGCGCACAATTGGCCCAGCGTCGTCCAGGGTAGGGGAGGGAATGGCTGGCAGGGATGTACCTCAGTTGGTAGAGCATGGCGTTTGCAACGCCAGGGTTGTGGGTTCGATTCCCACAGGGGGCCAGTATGAAAAATAAAAAAATTAATGTATGCACTCACTAACTGTAAGTCGCTCTGGATAAGAGCGTCTGCTAAATGACTAAAATGTAAATGTAATTACCTTTCATTTCAAGTTTAGTGTTTGACTGTACTATACCTCCAGTACAGCAGGCGGCAGTAGGCTCCAATTTTAATTGTAGAACATTTACTGAAGAAGAGATTCGTATTTCGGATGTACGCTTTTGTCCAACGGAAGTTTGGAATTTCAAGATGGCGCTGGACGGAATGGACCATCATGTAAGTGATTTTTTGGTCTTTATTATGAATTCTTCACACTTAGGGGAATATTGTAGGTACGGCATTGAATAGAGACACTTAACAATGTGTTCTGTAAAGTTGGTACATGTCAGAAGTTGATAGAACCGTTTTGAATAGACCAAAACGATTGTCAAAATAGAGAATCCTGACGGTTTGCTGTCTCATTGTAAACTAGCTAGCTAGTTAGCTACTTTTAGCAAGCTAGATAGCTCGCTTTTAGTTTTCTAGCTAACGTTAACTCATCTAATTGATCATTGTTTCAGTGACATTCCTTATATTTGTGACTATAAATAACTCAGTAGAAGTTAGGTAAAATTGACAAAATTATTGCTAGTTAGCTAGCTAGCACCCTAACGCGTTAACTTCTTTAGGAAATATACATTTAAAGACTACGTTTTGTAGCTAGCTGACGTTAGCTAAAGAGCTGCCAGAATGACACTTGTCAGTTAACTGTAGTTATTATATTGCTGGCTATATTTCCAAGAGGAGTATTTAGACAATTCTATGTTAGTTTTGCTAGATAATTAGGCATGTACAGCTAGCTACAAGGCGTTAGTCACCTTAATGTTAGATAATTAGCCAGCAAGTTAACGTTAGCTAGCTACATTGTTTACTTGACAACAAAGATCTCACTGTTATTGAATGTCTGTCTGTGTTTTGCAGATGGAGATGGAGGACAGTAAATGTGGTTCTGGTCTCCGGCAATACTACCTGTCTAAAATAGAAGAATTACAGGTAAGCAAACACAAGTTTTCATTTAATTGACTGTTAGCTACATGTTGTCTATTGACACCATAGTGACACTGCTAATATCCTTTGTGAAGCTAAGAAATAAATGGTCTCTCTGCCTCCAGTTGACAGTGAATGACAAGAGTCAGAATCTCAGACGTCTACAGGCTCAGAGGAATGAACTCAATGCAAAAGGTAGGAATGATTGTTAGCTATCCAGCACTTTCAAACAAAATGGCACTCAGAAACATGCACTTTATGAATTGGTAGTTATTGTTAAAAATCAATTTGCTTTGTCCCCAGTGCGTCTCCTTCGTGAGGAGCTGCAGTTGCTACAGGAGCAAGGTTCCTATGTTGGAGAGGTGGTGAGGGCCATGGACAAAAAGAAAGTGCTGGTCAAGGTGTGTATAGTAGCCTTCTTTTGCTGAAATATAGGCCTAACACAAACTTTTACGGTGGTATACTGTAGCTGCAGCTAGATGACACTGACAGTCTACTACTGTAACTACTTCATTGTTTCCAGGTCCATCCAGAGGGGAAATTCGTGGTGGATGTGGATAAGAACATTGACATCAATGATGTAAGTATGGACACGTTGTTGATATTTGACCCCAATGTGGTGTGAACTTAATGTTTAAATGTACAAAGGTACATGTATCTGTGTACATACAGATTATTAACACATAACCATAATTGAACTATAATATTTATTTTGTTTTTGTCTAGTTGGTTTGGGTGTTAAGGGAATAAAATTCAGTTGGAAAACAAATATCCCCATCCAATTCAGGTGGCTGCACAGAAGGAAAAAAACATGAAAACACAATGAAATTAAGAATAAATGCAACAAACTTCCTCATTATTCAGGACTGTATCACACTGATTAACCCCGCTGCCCATTCCCACCAGGTGACTCCAAATTGCCGTGTGGCGCTGCGCAACGACAGCTACACCCTGCACAAGATTCTGCCCAACAAGGTAGACCCGCTGGTCTCCCTCATGATGGTGGAGAAGGTACCCGACTCCACCTATGAGATGATTGGCGGCCTGGACAAGCAGATCAAGGAGATCAAGGAAGTGATCGAGCTGCCAGTCAAGCACCCAGAGCTCTTCGAGGCCCTCGGCATTGCGCAGCCCAAGGTGGGTGGCCCAAAAGGGAAAGCCCCTTATTGGGTTCTTGGTTAATTCACAGGTCATATCAACTGTATATGTTACCCAGTACCCACTATGAGCTTATAAGGTAAACTCAATTACTTTTTGCATTAGAGTTGACCTTATAAGCTTATAGAGTAGGCAACATATACTGTCTTAAAGGTATACAACACTCCCAAAATCAAACTTTTGTCAGACTTTTTCATACCTTGTTGGGAGTGTCCTAAGTTATTTTTCTGTCAATGCTCCACAGCATTTATCACATATAAACCTCAGCAGTCTTGATTCCCAGAAGGAACAGAAAAAAGTGACACCAGTTAATTCTAGCACAATAAAATACATCATGACATTTGAGATGCACCTTGGGATGTCTAACCTCCATTGTTGTGTGTCTCGCCACCAGGGCGTGCTGCTGTACGGCCCCCCGGGCACAGGGAAGACCCTGCTGGCCAGAGCTGTGGCCCACCACACCGACTGCACCTTTATCAGGGTGTCTGGCTCAGAGCTAGTGCAGAAGTTCATTGGAGAGGGTGAGTCATCAGCGGTCATTCGGTCAGCCATTTCGGTTACCATTCGACAGGGTTCCCAAGCGTCTAGTAATTCCGTAATGTCAGGGGATTTCCAGAATCAGGGAGATATTTTGCTGCTTCCGTTCTCCAAATAGCTGCTGTTTAGCCAGCTACAGCACGTTTAAGTGCATTTCAGTCCATTTTCATGTAGCACTTAGTGATAGTAGGCTAAATGTCTCTCACCATGCGATTTGTAAAACAGAAGCTGTTATTATTAGTATTTCGCTAAAATCACACTGCTGGCTGTAACCCTGCTCTGTCTTCCCCATCCCAGGTGCCCGCATGGTGCGTGAGCTGTTCGTCATGGCCCGTGAGCACGCGCCCTCCATCATCTTCATGGACGAGATTGACTCGATCGGCTCGTCACGTCTGGAGGGGGGCAGCGGGGGCGACAGCGAGGTGCAGAGGACCATGCTGGAGCTGCTGAACCAGCTGGATGGCTTCGAGGCCACCAAGAACATCAAGGTGGGTGACACGTACGTACACACAGATACACCACTGTCTTCTTGATTATGCTTTATAATGTGGCCTACTCTACAATAACACTCACTCTATATAACACCACACACCCTCTGTTTGCACCCTTATTTACTTGTATGCTATCCCTCTGCTATAACACTCTTGACACCACTTCCTCAGTGGCTTTTCTCCGCTGATTGATTTCTGTCACTCTCCTGTCGGTACTCTCTGACAACACTTTCTTTCCATGCTCACCATCAATCACACTCTAGCTACTCTATTGTCCTCTATTCACTGTCCTCCCACCCACTCTAGCACTCTGCAACCTATCAATCTGTATTTGCATGTTCTCTGTGATGCTATATTTTTTAAATTAAGATGATTATAACATTTACATTTTAGTCATTTAGCAGACGCTCTTATCCAGAGTGACATACAGTTAGTGAGTGCATAAATTTTTTCATACTGGCCCCCCGTATAGTAGTTAGCAATAAATGCAGATAAAGAATATATTCAATATATTCGGCGTGTTGATCTCAGAATAGGGGGTCTGGCCAAAAGTGTATCAGCCAATGAGCTATATAAGAGAGGTGCAAAAAATCTTCTCCCTGTGTGATCACTAACGTTGCCTTCCTTGGCAGCTGTGTCATCACACACTCCACATAACAAACTTAGTTCCTGACTGGGTAATTTGCAATGCAACTCGAGATATGCAAGTGTTCGAAATAATGCTTCGGTTATAGTTGATCAGAAGCACATTATAGTTGCATGTATGTTTCAATATCGCAAATTATTACACACAAAGTTATTAACGTTAGCTAACTAGCTAGCTGATGTTAGCATCTGAGTTGGCAAGCTAACATTTCCACCCGCCAATGAATAATGGTGTATGTTTCTCATATCGAATTTGCGTCCTACAAATAGAAAATCAGAGTTCAGAGCGTGATGTCACATACTGTATGTTGTGGACATGTTATAGTCACGGTAGTACCACTATTACTTATTGCATGGCGCCCTCACCTAACATGGGCAGACTAAAACAAGTCTTATAATAATTATTATTAGTCTTCACTTAACATCCATTACCATTTTAAACATTTATATCACATGTAAATCTTAACATCAACACTGAAGCTGCTAGTCAATATACCCTAGGAAAGGGGAGAGAACACGTAACGTGACCTTTCAAAAGAGACAGGTCAGGGATGTCTAGTAACACCCCATCACTTGTCCTGTTGAGCAATTTCTTTTCATTTTGTATTTTTCCTGTTCAAATTAATACAACTTGAATCACCGAAACAGACAGGTAGTCAGAGACAGCTGCGTGTAGCATCATTGTCAGCCTGACTAAGACCTTCAGATAGTGCTGAGCGATTAACCAAAATGGTGGTTATTTTTAAACAACTAATGTCAGTTCAATTATTTTAATTCTGTTTCTTTTTTTTCTTTTTCTGTGAGCTCAATGCGCAGTTTCTCTAGAGATAAATCAGATCAGGCCCGAACTGTGCGATATACACTGAACAAAAATATAAACGCAACATGCAACAATTTCAAGGATTTTACTGAGTTACAGTTCACATAAGGAAATCAGTCAATTGAAATAAATTAATTAGGCGCTTATCTATGGATTTCACATGACTGGGAATACAGATATGCATCTGTTGGTCACAGATACCTTAAGGTAGGGGCATGGGTCAGAAAACCAGTCAGTAACTGGTGTGACCATCATTTGCCTCATGCAACACATCTCCTTCGCATAGAATTGATCAGGCAGTTGATTTTGGCCTGTAGAATGTTGTCCCACTCCTTTTCAATGGCTGTGCGAAGTTGCTGGTTATTGGCGGGAACTGGAACACGCTGTTGTACACGTTGATCCAGAGCATCCAAAACATGCTCAATGGGTGACATGTCTGCTGAGTATGCAGGCCATGGAAAAACGGGGACATTTCAGCTTCCAGGAATTGTGTACAGACATGGGGCTATGCATTATCATACTGAAACATGAGGTGATGGCGGTGGATGAATGGCACGACAATTGGCCTCAGGGTCTCGTCACGGTATCTCTGTGCATTCAAATTGCCATCGATAAAATGCAATTGTGTTCATTCTCCGTAGCTTATGCCTGCCCATACCATAACCCCACCGCCACCATGGGGCACTCTGTTCACAACGTTGACATCAGCAAACCGCTCACCCACACAACGCCATACACGCTGTCTGCCATCTGCCCGGTACAGTTGAAACCGGGATTCATCCGTGAAGAGCACACTTCTCCAGCGTGCCAGTGGCCATCGAAGGTGAGCATTTGCCCACTGAAGTCAGATACGACGCCGAACTGCAGTCAGGTCAAGATCCTGGTGAGGACGACGAGCACGCAGATGAGCTTCCCTGAGACGGTTTCTGACAGTTTGTGCAGAAATTCTTCAGTTGTGCAAACCCACAATTTCATCAACTGTCCGGGTGGCTGGTCTCAGACGATCCCGCAGGTGAAAAAGCCGGATGTGGAGGTCCTGGGCTGGCGTGTTTACACGTGGTCTGTGGCTGTGAATCTCTAATATGACGTTGGAGGTGGCTTATGGTAGAGAAATAAACATTAAATGATCTGGCAACAGCTCTGGTGGACATTCCTGCAATCAGCATGCCAATTGTTGTGTATTTGGTTTGCTAATTTAGTAACTAGTTTGCCATCCAGCTAAGTGGTTAGCGGCTTCCGAAATCAATAATTTGTTTGGTAACAGCAGAGAATCTCCTCCTGGATCAAGAGCCTTGTTTTGCTAATATTAGTTTTGTGCGTGCAGCAAACTGTGAACAGCATTTTTTATTTACTTTTATACTTGTATAGTTTAGGTCAGAAGCTGTACAAAATGTTAGCAATGCGCTTGTTTGCATTTAGTTGGTATTCTCTATGAGGATTCCTTAGTACCTGTTAGCATTTTGTTAGTATTCTGGTAAGTGACGTGTTTTGAACTTTGAGTATTAGTGCTTTTTAAATAAATACCTGCGGTCAACTTGTGCACTAGGTAATAGATATAGCAGATTGCGTTTATCATTTCGCCCGTTTAGATAATCTTTCATTATGGAGCTTACCGGTACTATATCATTTCTCAAAACAGCTGTTTGAGCCAGCCACGTATGTTTGTTAACAAAGAAGCACAACAAGCAAAGTGGGAGCTTCGTGAGGTGAGTCATCTCGGCAGCGCAACTTAAGTGAGGTTATCAAGTTACACTTGTATGAAATTCACTACTGTTTGCCAGCAATATATCTTATAAATATTAAGTTAACTTCTAAGATGTGCCAAATCAATTCTCTCCAGCTGGGTTTTGCTAATGTTAGCTAAGTGGCTAACGTTAGCTTGCAAGATGAAGCATCTTGGTAACAGCAGCAGAGACAATCCCCTCCTGGATTAAGTTATTTGTTTTTGTGGTTGCTGCAAACTGCGTTTTGAGATACTTGTATAACTTTATGAGCTGGGTTGTCTGTCCTAGTAGTAAATGTTTGCATGCGCTCGTTAGCATTTACCTAGCATCTGCTATGAGAATTCCTTAGTACACTGTGTGTGGACACCCCTTCAAATTAGTGGATTCGGCTATTTCAGCCACACCCGTTGCTGACAGGTGTATAAAATCGAGCGCACTGCCATGCAATCTCCATAGACAAACACTGGCAGTAGAATGGCCTTACTGAAGAGCTCAGTGACTTTCAACGTTGCACCGTCATAGGATGCCACCTTTCCAACTAGTCAGTTCATAAAATGTCTGCCTTGCTAGACCTGCCCGGGGCAACTGTAAGTGCTGTTATTGTGATGTGGAAACGTCTAGGAGCAACAACCAGGGCTCAGCCGTGAAGTGGTAGGCCACAAAAGCTCACAGAACGGGACCACCGAGTGCTGAAGCGCGCAGTGTGTAATAATGGTCTATCCTCTGTGGCAACACTCACTACCGAGTTCCAAACTGCCTCTGGAAGCAACGTCAGCACAAGAACTGTTCGTCGGGAGCTTCATGAAATGGGTTTCCATGGCCGAGCAGCCGCTTACATGCCTAAAGCTCGCCGCCATTGGACTCTGGAGCAGTGGAAACACGTTCTCTGGAGTGAAGAATCACGTTTCACCATCTGGCAGTTCAACGGACAAATCTGGATTTGACGGATGCGAGAAGAACACTACCTGCCCGACTGCATAGTGCCAACTGTATAGTTTGGTGAAGGAGAAATAATTGTCTGGGGCTGTTTTTCATGGTTTGGGCTAGGCCCCTTAGTTCCAGTGAAGGGAAATCTTAACAATACAGCATTTAATGACATTCTAGACGATTCTGTGCTTCCAACTTTGTGGCAACAGTTTGGGGAAGGCCCTTTCCTGTTTCAGCATGACAATGCCCCCGTGCACAAAGCGAGGTCCATACAGAAATGGTTTGTCGAGATAGGTGTGGAATAACTTGACTGGCCTGCACAGAGCCCTGACCTCAACCCCATCGAACACCTTTGGGATGAATTGGAACGCCGACTGCGAAACAGGACTAATCGGCCAACCTCAGTGCCCGACCTCACTAATGCTCTTGTGGGTGAATGGAAGCAAGTCCCTGCAGCAATGTTCCAACATCTAGTGGAAAGCCTTTCCAGAAGAGTGGAGGCTGTTATAGCAGCAAAGGGGGACATTGCTGGACATCCTTCTTAAATGGAAGAGGTTTGGAACCACCAAGACACTTCCTAGAGCTGGCCACACAGCCAAACTGCGCAATCGGGGGAGAAGGGCCTTGGTCAGGGAGGTGACCAAGAACCTGATGGTCACGGACAGAGCTGTAGAGTTCCTCTGTGGAGATGGGAGAACCTTCCAGAAGGACAACCATCTCTGCAGCACTCCACCAATTAGACCTTTATGGTATAGTGGCCAGACGGAAGCTACTCCTCGGTAAAAGGCACATGACCGCCCGCTTGGAGTTTGCCAAAAGGCAAATGAAGGTCTGATGAAACCAAGATTGAACTCTTTGGCCTGAATGCCAAGCATCACGTCTGGAGGAAATCTGGCACCATTCCTACGGTGAAGCATGATGGTGGCAGCTTCATGCTGGGGGGATGTTTTTCAGCAGCAGGGATTGGGAGACTAGTCAGGATCGAGGCAAAGATGAATGGAGTAAAGTACAGAGAGATCCTTGATGGAAACCTGCTCCAGAGCGCTCGGTTCAGCTTCCAACAGGACAAACGACCCTAAGCACACAGCCAAGACAACGCAGGAGTGGCTTCGGGACAAGTCTCTGAATGCCAGAGCCCGGCTTGAACCCGATCTACCATCTCTGGAGAAACCTGAAAATAGCTGTGCACCAACACTTCCCATCCAAGCTGACAGAGCTTGAGATGATCTGCAGAGAAGAATGGGAGAAACTCCCCAAATACAGGTGTGCCAAGCTTGTAGCGTCATACCCAAGAAGACTCGAGGCTGTAATCGCTGCCAAAGGTGCTTCAACAAAGTACTGAGTAAAGGGTCTGAATATTTACGTAAATGTGATATTTCCATTTTTTATAAATTAGCAAAAATGTCTTAAGTATTGTGTGTAGATTGATGAGGGGGAAAAAACTATTTTAATTTTATTTAATCAATTTTAGAATAAGGCTGTAACCCAATAAAAGGTGGAAAAAGTCAAGGGGTCTGAATACGAAGGCACTGTAGTATTCAATGTGTCAAAGCAATTATTTAAATATACCTTTTAAAATGTTGTGGATGAGTTCTAGAAACTGCAATAATGTGGGCCTGGAATTCGAGAAAGTAATGAATAGTTTAATTATTATGTCATAAGAGGCACTGAAGAACATAGGAGCCAAATGTTTGATTTGGGGGTTTCAGTTTGAATGCCAGTTCTAGAGTAGATTCACTGTTGCAGGTGGTGTACAGGCCCATTGAGAATGCACATTTTGACTCTTGGGTCAAATGGTTTAAGGGTTACATGTTTGGTGTAGGTCCATGATGTGATAAAATGTCAACATTCTCCTGGAATGGGCTACTGTTCATTGTATCACTTTCCTCTGATACAATACTCATCACATCTCATACTCCTCTCTATCTTTCTACTGCTTTGTATGATGCCCAAGTCCACATTGACTGCTAGCCAGTACATTGATAACTATGCTTTTCACTGCTAAATGACTAAAATAAATAAATAAATATGTACCTTGATTTCAAATGTTTCCATTTCCAGAGAAAACCTCTAAAAACAAAATGCACAGAAACTTGTGCAATTGTAAATGCAAGGCTACTCAAGACTATAGTATTCAAAGTCATTATGATTGAACTAACTAGCATATTTTTTTCTAGTTCTGTTAAATTTATAGAACAAATGTTCAGTCTGGAGTAGCAGGGAATCATTTATGTGGTCAGACATGTTAATTCCCTAAACCCTTTGTCCAATGTTCTTGCAATTTACAACCTACTTTTCTAACATGGCAATATATTTTCTCCCCTTTACGTGTAGTAGATGTATTGAATTTTTTGTTTGTTTTTGAAGGTGGTCACATAGGCTAACCCTAACAGGCTAACATATAGAAAAGTGCATACCAAAGAAGCCAATAGGGAGAAGGCTGAATAACACCAAAAGGACTAATACTGTGTGTTTGTGCTGTCTCAGGTCATCATGGCCACCAACCGTATTGACATCCTGGACTCTGCCCTGCTCCGGCCCGGCCGCATCGACAGGAAAATAGAGTTCCCCCCTCCCAATGAAGAGGTCAGTACTGTTCCAGCATGTTTTTTTAGCCCCTCAAATATTATGATAAAAAATATATATATATGAATAATATACAACTAGTCAAATCTGCCTTGGGCCGGGATTCTATCCGATCGTGCTTTGTCAGCTATGCACCTTTTTTAAAGGGAATGTTTGTAGAAACCTCATTCACGGTAAACGCTGCATATGTCGGCTCAATCAGAAATGACCTTTAAATGTCAAGAGTGCTATAACGCAGATTCTTCGCTGATCTGTAAAAAATTGATAGTTACATATCGGGATATACATTTTTACGATATCTTATCGTTTTGAAAATATTCCAATATTATTTTTACGCTTGTTGGCTGTAGCTGCACCAAAACTCCAGTATTTTTTCTTCATGGTTCTCCATCTTTTTTTAAATTGAGAGCCAATTTGTTTTCAGCTATTTTATTTCCATGACTGATCAAAACTCGTTTCCTCATGGCTCTCTTGTATCTCTGTAGCAGACATATGGTGAGCAATATGTTTGGTACATTGAGTCGCAATAAAATCTGTATATAATCGCAATACATAACATATCTTCACCTAAGTATTGTGATAATATCTTATTGTGAGATCCCTGGCATTTCCCAGCCCTATTAGAATTTCATCTGGAATAAAAAGTGCTGTATTCTGGTACCATTGTTTAAATTTTTTTTTAAATAAAGGATTAATATAATTGAATCTAGTCCAGCATCCTCATGCTCTGAAATGTGTGTATTTGCGTTGACACAGCTTGCTACTACAGTGTCTTAATTCTTGCCCCGTCCCATTTATTTCTGCTCCTCAGGCCCGTTTGGACATCCTGAAGATCCACTCGAGGAAGATGAACCTGACGCGTGGTATTAACCTGAGGAAGATAGCAGAGCTGATGCCAGGAGCTTCCGGGGCTGAGGTTAAGGTGAGAGACTGAGACACACTGTTTGGAATGGGGCCAACCATATGAAGGCTACCACAGGGCTGAGACAGTTTGGAACGGGGTTCAGTGTATGAGGGCTGGTAGGGAAGTATTTTAGCCCCTACCCCTTAGGCCAGTGGTTCTCACTTTTTGACCCGCTACCCCCAAAAAGGAGTGGTTCAAAGCACGAGACACCCCGCACACACGTACACAATCCCTGCGCCAATGAAGCCTGTCATTACAGCCATAAACGGTGATGCATTTTCAAAATGCAGGACACAGAAATAAACTGCATTTTACACCTGCATTTTGAGCTCAAGGCCATTCATGTTACAGTGCATTCGGAAAGTATTCAGACCCCTTTACGTTTCACCCTTATTCTAAAATGGATTAACCTCTACGGGATCGGTGTCCCGTATACGGGACGGTTGCGCTAATGTGATTAGCATTAAGTAACAGCAAACTTTCCAGGACATAGACATGTCTGATATGGGCAGAAAGCTTAAATTCTTGTTAATCTAACTGCACTGTCCGATTTACAGTAGCTATTACAGTGAAAAAAGACCATGCTATTGTTTGAGGAGAGTGCACAACAACAAAAAGCTTATCACAGCAACTGGTTTGATACATTCACCTCTGAAGGTAAATAATGTACTTACATTCAGTAATCTTGCTCTGATTTGTCATCCTAAGGGTCTCAGAGATCAAATGTAGCATAGTTTTGTTTGATAAAATCCATTTTTATATTCAAATGTAGGTACTGGGATCTACAGTTTGAACCCCTGCTGTCTCTGGCTCCACACCCACCCCGCCCGGCCATCTAGATGTGTGAAAGTTAGTGTATAAGCTAATGAGAATAATATAATAATATGCCATTTAGCAGATGCTTTTATCCAAAGCGATTTACAGTCATGTGCGCATACATTTTTACGTATGGGTGGTCCCGGGGATGATCCATCATGTATGACATTCCTGGGAGTGTGTAAACTTACATTTAGTATTACCATATCATTTTTGTATGTTCTCTATAGTTATGTACTTAAATGTGTCAATTGACTAATTCGGCACATTTGGGCAGACTTGATACAAAATAGTCCAGTATTGCAATGCTTCACTGGATCAATCTGAAACTTTGCACACACACAATTGCGCCTAAACTGCAATATTATATTGTGGCCTTTCTCTTGCGTTTCAAAGATGATGGAACAAAACATTTTTTATATTATATTTTACTAGATGTGTTATATTCTCCTACATTAATTTCACATTTCCACAAACTTCAAAGTCTTTCCTTTCAAATGGTATCAAGAATATGCATATCCTTGCTTCAGGTCCTGAGCTACAGGCAGTTAGATTTGGGTATGTCATTTTAGGCGAAAATTTGAAAAAAGGGTCCGATCCTTGAGGTTAAAGTACCTCATAATAACAAAGCGAAAACAGGTTTTTAGAAATGTTTGCACATTTTATTAAAATTAATAAACATACCTTATTTACATAAGTATTCAGACCATTTGCAATGATAGTCTAAATTGAGCTCAGGTCCATCCTGTTTCTATTGAACATCCCTGATGTTTCTACAACTTGATTGGAGTCCACTTGTGGTAAATTCAATTGATTGGACATGATTTGGAAAGGCAAACCCCTGTCTATATAAGGTCCCACAGTTGACAGTGCATGTCAGAGCAACAACCAAGCCATGAGGTCGAAGGAATTGTCTGGAGAGCTATGAAACAGGATTGTGTCGAGGCACAGATCTGGGGAAGGGTACCAAAAAATGTCTGCAGCATTGAAGGTCCCCAAGAACACAGTGGCCTCCGTCATTCTTAAATGGAAGAGGTTTGGTACCACCAAGACTCTTCCTAGAGCTCACCTGAAGCACAGATTCAATGTTTTTGAGACTAGAATTTGGTGCAACACCATAGGCCTATGTTAGTAACCAGATCGAATTGGCAAAAGGCATATCAAATACAAATGGAGTAGCCTATTATAATGTGTATGAATTCATTCAGTTTCACACTCGCCACCACTCAAAACCTTCTCCCGGTCCCACGGGGAGTCGGGACCCCCAGTTTGAGATCCAATGCCTTAGCAGTTGTGTTGATCTGTTTTTCACCATTTTACATTTTGTTTAGTTCAATGTAGTGGACACATGTCCCACAGGGTTTTACATTTACAGGGTATGACTGTAGAATATCATGAGAGAATACCCACTGACTTGATACTCCCCAAGTTATAGAATGGGGCCCACTACATTAGGGCTAGCATATGCACAAGGGCAGAACATGTAAAACTAGCCTAGGAATTAGTGACCCTCTTCCTGGAGTGCCTTAGTGCTCGACCACTGTGGGTCTTAATGACTTTTTCACTGTGGGTCATTGCCTTATTTCACCATGGTAACAACCTGTATGTGTGTTTCTGTTCCCTCTTGCATCTCAGGGTGTGTGCACAGAGTCAGGGATGTACGCCCTCAGGGAGAGGAGAGTGCACGTCAACCAGGAGGACTTTGAGATGGCTGTTGCCAAGGTTAGTCTTCTGTCCTGTTTATCTGTCTCACTTACTGTCCATCACTCTCCAAGAGACCTTTTGTCTCTGTTTTACCTTATTCCTCTTATCCCCACATGCCTAATATATCAATACTAACTTGTGTTGATCAGAGATTAGGTATACATTCTTTCTTAAATCTGTACTGGTCTCAGATCTGTTTGTTGTCTTTCCAACTACTATGGTCATTGTCTTGCCAAAACAGTTTGACATGACAGCAACTATAGGAGTTGGCTATACACAGCTCAAACAGATTTGGGACCAGACAAACTTACCATCTGTATCTTGTCATTAAAATGGACAGTCAGACCCTTTTCCCCTGATTTTGTTGTTTCGTTTTGCTTGTCACTGATTTTAATATAAAATGAAATGGTATTTGTCACATGCTTCGTAAACAACAGGTGTGGATTAACAGTGCAATGCTTACTTATGGGCCCTTCCCAACAATGCAAAGAGAAAGAAAATAGAGAAATAATAGGAAAGTAAAATGCGTAATATAAGTAATAATAGATTCACAATGAGTAACGATAACTTGGCTATGTACAAGGGTTAATAGTACGGAGTCTATATGCAGGGGTACGAGGTAATTGAGGTAGCTACTTTTGTATATATTGTATGTGAATTCTGCTATTTCAGCCACACCTGTTGCTGACAGTTGTATAAGGTTGAGCACACAGCCATGCAATCTCCATAGACAAACATTGGCAGTAGAATGGCCTTACTGAAGAGCTCAGTGACTTTCAATGTGGCACTGTCATAGGATGCCACCTTTCCAACAAGTCAGTTTGTCAAATTTTTGCCCTGCTAGAGCTTCCCTGGCCAACTGTAAGTGCTGTTATTGTGAAATGTAAACGTCTAGGAGCAACAGCGAGGAACTTGAAGCTCTCGACCTGCCCCACTTCAGCCCTGTCGATGTGAATGGGGGCGTGCTCGGCCCTCCGTTTCCTGTAGTCAACGATCAGTTCCTTTTGTCTTGCCGACGTTGAGGGAGAGGTTGTTGTCCTGGCACCGCACTACCAGGTCTCTGACCTCCCTATAGGCTGTCTCATCGTTGTCAGTGATCAGGCCTACCACCATCGTGTTGTCGGCAAACTTAATTATTGTGTTTGAGTCGTGCGCGGCCACGCAGTCATGGGTGAACAGGGAGTACAGGAGGGGACTGAACACGCACCCCTGGGAAGCCCCCGTGGTGGATGTGTTGCCTACCCTCACCACCTGGGGGAGTCCCGTCAGGAAGTCCAGGAACCAGTTGCAGAGTGAGGTGGTCAGTCCCAGGGTCCTTAGCTTAGTGATGAGCTTGAAGGGTGTTATGGTGTTGAACACTGAGCTGTAATCAATGAACAGCATTCTCATGTAGTGTTGCTTTTGTCCAAGTAGGAAAGGGCAGTGTGGAGGGCAATAGGGATTGCGTCATCTGTGGATCTGTTGGGGCAGTATGCGAATTGGGGTGTGTCTGGGATGATGGTGTGAGAGTATGGCTCCTTATAAGGTCAATTATCACTGGCTAACGACCCCTATCCTTTGTGTCTTTCCAGGTGATGCAGAAGGACAGCGAGAAGAACATGTCCATCAAGAAACTCTGGAAGTAGACCTTTGGGATTTTTTTGACCCCAACGCAGATATTTACCCGCAAAGTCACATATGTATATTTTTCCTCTTTTGTTTAGGGTTGGTTTATAATTGTTACCTAAAGTTCATTCTAAAATAAATTGTCTCCCCACTGAGAAACAAGTCCCCCCTTTTCCCTTTTTTTCCCTCTGCTGTAGCCTGGTTCCAGATCTGTTTGTGCTGTATACCTAACATGACCATAGGGGGTTGGCTATACAGCACAAACTGATCTGGGACTAGGCTACCTCTCCTGAGTCTTGAATATAGTAAGTGTTTATTTTTCGGAAGTCAAGACCAGGGGGGTATACTACAAAACAGGATCAAGGAGTTGCCCAGGTAACTTTTGATAATCAACCAGTAGCGGTACGTGGGTAAATAACTGAGGAAGCCAAGCCAGTAAAAAAAGCCATATTACAACCTATGTTCTGATAATTGCGTTGTTTGCTCTATAACCTATTTGTTCATACGCCACCGTGATATACAATAAGACAAGTCACACTGGCTGTTTCATCATAAAACCAGAGAGCAACATCTGTCCGGTGTAGTCCACAAAGCAAATATTGCATTTAACAAACAGTTATATCACCTGTAATATGGTCAAGCAAGTTTTTTGTTTGATAGTTTACTAAATAAACAACTACTAATTTAGAAAAAACTTAGACATCAAAAACAATTTAGTCCAATCAATGTTGCTAAATATCATGTGGCTGTCCATGGTATGTGTGTAAGAAGAAAAAAAAAATGCCTCACCCTACTTGTAGACATCCTCTCATGTTGGCAAAACGGTCTATGGCTTTGTCATACAGTACACTTTTAGTTTTTGTTGTCATAGGGTACCAAACTAAAGTGCTTTCTAGTCTAATTTCCTGGCATGGGCAACAATGAACCAGCGAAGTTGGCTGGCTAGCTAGTTAATGTGAGCCTACTAAGCTACATCTAGGCTACATATTGAACTTCAATTGTCTCAGGCCAGTGGCACAACATATTAATTTATGGTTAGATCAGAAGCCTGTACAGATAATTAAGTCCAAAACCCCATCTCCATCCATGGCTTAGGAAAGGGACGATTTAGCAAGCTAGCTACTGCAGGACATCAACACAAGCAAACGAGAAACACGTTTTTCTGAAAATGTGTTTTGCTTAGGAAGTGATTTGATTGGTCTGAAGCCAAATCCAAACTGGCCTCCATTGGGGGGTGTTTTGCTGCACCAGGTCAGCTCAACGCTGATTGGCTAATTTATAAAAAAGATTATCAAGGGAGGCCCACATTTTTAGACGGGTATAGACGAGATCTTCCTGACCACCCCCGGAGGTATCAGATCAGGTATTTTGCCAATAAACATCAGAATTGGGCTGCCTGTATATACACAGCCATCCTGAGAACCCAATTCAGAGTATTTTCATATCCAAATGTTTTTCCTTCTAACTTTTATGTGACCTATATCAGATTTATGCATTCACACTGATGTAGCCTCCAAAGTAACACACAGATGCAATGCTCATTTCCTGCCACTGTTCCTTGAAATGTGGCTACTAAGCTATATGGAATTGTTTTAAGAAGGTCATACCAAGGGTCATTTAGCTATTTGGTTTTGAATTTTAAGACCCCTTAAAGTATCAAAAATATAAACAAACTATTTGGTAAATAATTTTTGGCCTTATTGCTATTAGCCCATACAAACACATTGAATAACAGATTCACTACATGGAACAACAGATAGTCCCCAAAAAAATCTAAAGGAATTATCTTCTGAAGTGTCTCCTATATCCGAGAGACATAGGATCAGGAAAATACACCGAACAAAAATATAAACGCAACATGTAAAGTGTTGGTCCCATGTTTCATGAGCTGAAATACAAGATCCCAGAAATGTTCCATACGAACAAAAAGCTCTCAAATGTTGTGCACAAATTGGTTTACATCCCTCTTAGTGAGCATATCTCCTTTGGCAAGATAATCCATCCACCTGACAGGTGTGGCATATCAAGAAGCTGATTAAACAGCATGATCATTACACAGGTGCACCTTGTGCTGGGGACAATAAAAGGTCACTAAAATGTGCAGTTTGTCACACAACCAGTGGCGTAAAGTACTTAAGTAAAAATACTTTAAAGTACTACTTAAGTTGTTTTTTGGGGTATTTGTACTTTACTTTACTATTTATATTTTTGACAACTTTTACTTTTACTTCACTACATTCCTAAAGAAAATTATGTACTTTTTACTCCATACATTTTACCTGACACCCAAAAGTACTCGATACATTATGAATGCTTAACAGGAAAGGAAAATGGTCCAATTCACGCACTTATCAAGACAACACATGGTCATCCCTTCTGCCTCTGATCTGGCGGACTCACCAAACACAAATGCATCTTTTGTAAATTATGTCTGAGTGTTGGAATTGGCTATCCATAAATATTAAAAACAAGAAAATGGTGCCGCCTGCTTTGCTTAATAGAAGGAATTTGAAATGATTTATACTTTTACTTGTACTTTTGATACTTAAGTTTATTTAGATTCAGAATTTTAGTATTTTACTCAAGTAGTATTTTACTGGGTGACTTTTACTTGAGTAACTTTCTATTAAGGTATCTATACTTTTACTCAAGTATGACAATTTGGTACGTTTTCCACAACTGCACACAACACAATGCCACAGATGTCTCAAGTTTTGAGGGAGTGTGCAATTGGCATGCTGACTGCAGGAATGTCCACCAGAGCTGTTGCCAGAGAATTGAATGTTCATGTCTTACCATAAGCTGCCTCCAATGTCGTTTTAGAGAATTTGGCAGTATGTCCAACCGGCCTCACAACCGCAGACCACATGTAACCACGCCAGCCCAGGACCTCCACATCCAGCGGTTTGCTAATGTCAACGTTGTGAACAGAGTGCCCCATTGTGGCGGTGGGGTAATGATATGGGCAGGCATAATCTGCGAACACAATTGCATTTTATCGATGGCAATTTGAAAGTACAGAGATACCGTGACGAGATCCTGAGGCCCATTGTTATACCATCCATCCGCCGCCATCACCTCATGTTTCGGCATGATGATGGATGGCCCCATGTCGCAAGGATCCGTACACAATTCCTGGAAGCTGAAAATGTCCCAGTTCTTCCATGGCCTGCATACTCACCAGACATGTCACCCATTGAGTGTGTTTGGATTGCTCTGGATCGACGTGTACCACAGCATGTTCCAGTTCCCGCCAATATTCAGCAACTTCACACACCCATTGAAGAGGAGTGGGACAACATTCCACAGGCCACAATCAACAGCCTGATCAACTCTATACGAAGGAGAAGTGTCGTGCTGCATAAGGCAAATGGTGGTCACACCAGATACTGACTGCTTTTTAAAAGTTATGTGACCAACAGATGCATCTCTGTATTCCAAGTCATGTGAAATCCATAGATTAGGGCTTAATGAATTTATTTCAATTGACTAATTTCCTTATATGAACTGTAACTCAGTATAATCTTTTAAATTGTTGCATTTTGCTTTTTTATATTTTTGTTCAATATATTTATCCCCTTATTTAAGGAACTAAACTATCTCCATATACTTCCATTCATTTTTTTAAATGGTACTGGGGACCTTCAGATGAGTCTTGTGAGGCTTGTGGGCGTCCTAGAGCAAAACGGAGAATGCCATATGGTTCGTGAGTTTCGTCTTTGGCCTACATAATACTGTAGGCCAAACCGTTCGGACGCTACAGACCTTTTTGTGAGAAGACCGATTTTTGGGATGTCTCATGGTCTGACAAACACCGCTCTAGCTCTGCCACCTTTCACCGCAGATACGGTAGGGCGATATCGGCCGACGTATTGGATTTAGACGCATCCCATGGGAGAAAAAAACCCATCTGAAATGTACATATGACAGGGTACGCCATTTTCAGAGACGGTTTTTGGCTCGTGGGCGCTACTTTCAGAACTACTCTGTAAAAAGTATACAAAAGTACCGGAGATGATCTTTTTAAGTATTTTGGGTAAGGTTGGAAAACACAAGTCACATTGGGATTCGAACTGTCGGCCTTGTATCACAACCAGTATTCAACACCAATCAGCCTGTTAACAACCCTTAGTAAACTTTTGGAAAAAATTGTGTTTGACCAGATACAATGCTACTTTACTGTAAACAAATTGGCAACAGACTTTCAGCAAGCTTATAGGGAAGGACATTCAACAAGCACTGCACTTACCAAATTACTGATGATTGGCTGAGAGAAATTGATGATACAAATATTGTGGGAGTTGTTTTGTTAGACTTCAGTGTGGCTTTTTACATTATCGATCACGTATGTGTTATGGCTTTACAGAACACAGTGTGTTCTTTAATGGAAGCCTCTCCAACATAATCCAGGTAGAATCAGGAATTCCCCAGGGCAGCTCTCTTGGCCCCTTTTTAAAATATTTACTAATGACATGCCACTAGCAGATGACTCAGCACTATACAACATTTTACATTTTAGTCATTTAGCAGATGCTCTTATCCAGAGCCAGAGTGCATACATTTTCATACAGCAATGAGCTGCAGTTAGTTTCAGAATGTGTGGCAAGGAATAAGTTGGTCCTAAATATTTCAGAAACTAAAAGCATTGTATTTTGGACAAATCATTGACCAAACCCTAAACCTCAACTAAATGTTCTAATAAATAATGTGGAAATTGAGCAAGTTGGAGTAACCCTGGATTGTAAACTGTCATGGTCGAAACATGTTGATACAACAGTAGCTAAGATGGGGAGAAGTCTGTCCATAATAAAGCGCTGCTCTGCCTTTTTAACAACACCATCAACAAGGCAGGTCCTACAGGCTCTAGTTTTGTTGCACCTGGACTACTGTTCAGTCGTGTGGTCAGGTGACACAGAGGGACCTCGGAAAATTTGAATTAGCTCAGAACAGGGCAGCACGGCTGGCCCTTAAATGTACATGGAGAGCTAACAATAATATGCATGTAAATCTCTCATGGTTCAAAGTGGAGGAGAGATTGACTTCATCACTACTTGTTTTGTAAGAAGTGTTGACATGCTGAATGCACCGAGGTGTCTGTATAAACTACTAGCACACAGCTCGGACACCCATGCATACCCCACAAG